GCAAATTGGCTGCCACATTCACTTATAAAATACATGTCACTACACATTACAGGACATCCTCTGAATTGCTTTAAGATGTCCTAACGTGAAAGGCAAGGATTATCTGGTTTTCTTCCTGTTGGGAAGGGGTGAGTTAGGAAAACTGAGTTTTCTTCTATTTTAGCTCGGCTCTGTTGACAGCACTTCCACTCCCACCTGGATCAGAGTTCAAGCCCCACTTCAGGACTTGAGCTCACAGGTTAAGTTGACATCCATCTTGCACACAGCCATGAGTGCCAATCTGGAGGACGGTTGGCCAGGACAGCAGGAAAAATTCCTGCTCTTTTCCAATGGTGTCAGAGAACCTTTAACGTCTATCTGTAAAGTAGACGTTAAGTTTTTGATCTGATATCCTAACCACTACCTCCCCCTCAATTCCGACTTCTGTGAATTATGGGCAAAGGAGGAAGAGGAGCTTTGCCAATCTCAGCGTTTGAGTGGATTTCCAGGAAATAACTTGCTGTGCGTGTGAAGGATTCCATATTTACAAATCCTTTTAAGAATCCAGCATCTTCACCCCTCTCCATTGATGGAACCCATATCATTTATTCCTCTGAGTACCAGACTGAGTCGTTGTCCAACTGGTCTCAGTGAAGAGATTATTCACTTAAATTCACTGAACTAAAAGTGCTACTAAATTACCCTCTTCAACCAGCACACAAAACAGACCCACTCCCGGCTGACAAATCACCAGCATCGCTCTTCGCTTGCTACCTCTCCATCCTCTGTGGCTCCAGTTCCACACTCGTCTTTGCCTTAACCCAAGTGAGCTATCCCTCTCACCCACCCTCCACTCCCCTTCCCACACCCTTCCCAATGAGGGACTTAGTTCACTTTAAGCTACAGACCTTGGCAATGGGATTGTGTGCTGGTAATGGGATTTGTAATGGGATTTGCTCATTATAAGACCACCTCCCCTTCCCCTCCCCTCCTCTTCCCCTCCCCCCCCTCCCCTACCCCCTATCCTCTTCCCCCACCGTCTCAGGTTGATACTAACCAGGAGGTTCTCAAGCCATCAACACATTTCTGCCATTTTAAGCCATTTATGGCAAGAGTTTGACAGAAGACAACTCTCTGGTTCACTCGTTGCCTAAGACGGGCAAAGCTTTTACAAAGTGAAATTTCACTCTAAGCCCTACTCATTGAAAAGCTTTTCAGCAGTTACGTCAAGCATTTCCAACACACACACACACTCTCTCTCTCTCCCCCCCTACCTCCCCCGACCCTCTCCCCTGTCTATCTGACGCTGATTGTGTGAGTCAGGGTGGGAATGTACGTACGTTCCACAGCACTGGCTCACAAGCAAAGGATCAGCGAGCACTGCGGTTTGCTACAGGGATGAGACTCATCCCCTTTGTCACCGCACAGCAGGCCAGGGTCTGGTCTATTCTAATCCACTAACTGTCACACACAACAGGTCTCTATTGTGCCAAACCCAATCTGAAACCTAGCAGCGTGCCAGGCCAAGCGAGGCCCTAATGAAAAGCCTTACGGTCAAGTTTCCAACTAGGATCGGGAGCTTTACTGTTGTGAAGAGGTTTTGCAAACAGTTGGTTTTCAATCAGCTTATATATTTTAATTCAAAATATAACAGTATGTCGTAAAGGCAATAAAAATTATTGAAATGCTGTAGTCTTTGGGAAAGATCAATCACTGAGAATATTTTCATGCGATTGGAGGATCCAGGTTATATCTCCTCTATTTGGATTATTCATAAATATGAGGCCCTCGTCTTCTGACTTCTCAGCTCTTCCCCACCCCCACCCCATCCCAGATAAAACATGTTCTTTTCTAGACACTGTTTTCACTGACAACTGGATTATGCCGACTAGGAAGTCATAGGTACAGTCCTGATCTATGCTGTAGTTTGGTGTGTACAAATGGTCTCATGGGTTAGAGAGGCGGTAAAAATCAGCATGGCTTCCCACTCCATCACTATCAATTCTCCAGTCTGCCTGCTGTCTCTGGCATGAAGCTGGAGGAGCCTTGTTTTTTTTCCTTCTTAAGATCTTGTCCTGGCAAGTGGACATCTTGCATTAGCCCTTGATTTTAACACAGTTGTTACCTTCATACACCTTTCTACCAGATGGATCTCTTTGCATTCATTTACACTATCACTAAGGCTTGATGACCCAAGGCTGGAGAACTGGTCCTACCTGAGACATATGGGTATCTCATCCCTACCCTTCCTTCTTCCAAGAGTTCTTCCCTGCCATGTATAACACCTTCACTGATGTAGTTAACTGGTGGACTGAGCCATGGCAAAGTTCGGGGTTCCCAAGTCTGTTTACTATTTGTCTAGCTGAATGAGGTGATCTCGGATCTTGGAAAGGGACTCGGAAAACGAGGATTACGGAGAATGAGAAAATCCCCTCTCTTCCGAGCTTCAAAACGTAATCCAACTTTGGATAATACTGTACTTGGCCAGATGTCTCTCTCTCTCTCTCTCTCTCTCACTCTCTTTCGCTCTCGTTCTCTCGCTCCCTGCCTGTGCCCGCTCCCATACTGTGTGAAAGAGTTTCAGGCATAAATTTGTTCAAGAGAAAAGCGCTCATTTGCTATTCAAGTTCGAAGACAAGAATAGGAACCTTATGTAAATGAATTCACTGACTGCGGTATGACAGGCTCCTCTTGTCCTAACTTTCCCAGCGACTCCTTTCACAGGGAGAGAGACGGAATAATGAGGTGGCTGTGGCCAACCCCTCAACATTGAGAGAGAAAGAGAGAGCGAGAGAGAGAGAGTGAGAAGGAAAGAGAACGAGAGAGAGAGAGAGAGAGTGACAGCGGCCCCATCACTGTACTAACTTATAGCTCAAAACCCAATAAGTTTAACCCTTGGAATTCCACTGGCCTGTCCCAAGATTCAATTTATCCAAGTATCCACATTGAAATATATTTATGTGTTCCACACATTACGATTCTCTTTCTGTGCCTCATTACTGAGTACTGAGCTTAGCACTTGGTAAAATACCTTGTATTTATATTGCATATAGTATTTTCCCCCACCGAAATCTTGCTTGCTTTTTGCCTTCCCCAGAGGTCTAATTTCATCGACTTTCTCCCACTTGATCTCATTCTTTCCATGATCTTACTCCATGATAGTCTTACCCCTTACTTCCTTTTCTCTCGTTCCTCCTACACTCTGATGGCTTTTAAAAACACGACACTGGTGAATGCGAGTGGGGTGGTGTAGGGAGGAGAAATGGAGCAGGTGGTATAAGAGACTGGGACAGCGAAGGGAACATTTTGCCCACAAAATACGCAGTCAATCCACTTTATTCTGGGAAGTGCTTTGAGATGGCTCAACGATGCGACAAGGAGCTACATCAAATACAAGGATGATTATAAAAGGAAGAGGTGGTATATGAGACCGGCTGAGAGAGACTGTTTTTTGGGGAAAAAAATGTCCTTTCAAACACAACACAACACAAAGTTCACTGCTAATGACTATTGCAATACTTGCAGTCTCACAGTTTAAAAACAGAGGTAGAATTTGCTTCAAATGCACCATCAGCCATTAATATTTTTATAGATTTTTAATTCCTAACATCTTTTAAAAATGCTTTTCGTATAATATTTTCCTCCCACCCCTCACGCACATACACACACACATACACACACACACACACACACACCGATCAGCCCGCAAACCGGGCATAGCCTAACATGGCGATCAAGGCTTCTCAACCGTTTTGCCTGGAAAATAAATTAACAGTCGGTAGAGGAGAGTTCCTTTTTTTCCCCCTTCGCCGCATAAATTATACAGTGATTCAGAGAGCACGGCGGTGTAGGGTCTGACAGGCAGAAGTTTGGGAGAGTTGTTGGGAGAATGGGCTGGGTGAAGGGAGTAAAGCTGAGGAATTGTTTAGGGGACAATAGCTCGGCCTCTCTGCATTGTGTCCCTCCTGGTTCCCATGAGCTGTTAATGACTGAGAAACGAGAGGTGCCACATCAGTGTAGCTCGCTCGGGACTCTCATTCATTTCCCAGCCACCATCACTTCCAAGGGAAAATGATTCATATTAGGGACGATGTGTATGACACTCATTCATAATAGACCCGCTCCTTGTGAACGCAAACAAAGACCCATTCAGAGGCTTGCAAGCCTCCCTACTGTCCGTTCTCTCCACTCTGGCACAACTCAAGCCTTGAGAAACTGTTCTCCATTACATCATAACCACATGAAACTTTCGCTCCCCCACCCCCCCCCCCCCCCACTCAACCCCCCACCTCCCATCTCCTCCCCTCCCCTCTGTTTCTTACACAGTCGGCCAGAGAAAAATAGTAAATTATAAGTATTTATGATCCACTCTCCCCCCCCCCCGCCCCCCGCCACCACAGCCGTCAGCAACCACCCCCCCCACCACCACCACCCCCTTCCCCTGCTAAACAAGCCAGCTGTCATAGCTTTTATTCTGTTTAGAAACCGTTGCTTCTTGTCTCTGTGTTTTGTTCTGTGTTGAAACCCTCACTGTACAGTGTGCAGTGTACATTGCCAGAAAAAAATAATCTGGTCACTCATTCCACGGCTGTTGTGCGCAATTGGTTGCCACGTTTCGCCCACAAGATACACAGTCAATTCACTTTACAGTTATTCTGTGAAGCCCTTTGAGACGTCCCAACGACGTGATAAGGCGCTACATCAAATGCAAGGATTATTTTTATTTTATTAACATGCTGTATGAGACCAAGAGACATTTTAGCTCTTTTTTTTAAAAAAAATGTGGGTTTTTTTGGGAGGGCTTCTGTGTCAAGACCTTCCTCTTTAACCGCACCTTTGATCATCTTTCGCCTCCCCACTTCCCTCGGCTCCCACCCCCAGCTCAAATCCCAAGCACCTTGGGACAACCTCCATACATGAAAGGCGCTGTGTAAATGTAAATTTGTATTGTTGTAACCGGATCAGACTTCTGCAAGTTTTACTGTACACTCACTAACTCTTCTGTCTCTCTTTTCACACAGAAACAAACTCGAAGCCACGGATGCCAGGGGCGCAACAAAAGATTCAGGGTCAGAAGGTAATCTGTGTTCAATAGAAAAGGCGAGTTGCAACCTTTCAAAAGTAGGGGGTGAGGGGGAAGGAAACTGGGTAGGAGATGGATGTGCAGAGCCATATTTGGTCACCTATTAGGAAATTAGTCCAAATCCAGACCAGGTCTAACATATTTTTGAGGTCAGACGGGTATCTGACACATGCAGAAACACATCACCATGCTTAAGAGTATCCAAACCAAGCTGAGATTTCCATGCATCCCATCTACACATGGTGGATGTATCTTTGTTGATCTTATACAAAGAGGATACAAAGGTGACTGACGCTTCCCCCACCATCCCAGTTCATGACCTCATTGGTAAAGACATCACCCAGTGCCCAATAAGACCATTATAGAGCAGAACGTCTTGCCCACCTGTGCCTAAAACTCTTTGCACGGAGAGTGCACGTTACATTCCATCAAATGTCTCTGGAATTTCCATGTATCTTGGTTTGGTTTCGTTGCTACTGGTGATGGGTTTCCGCATGTGTCAGGCACCCGACTACCAAAAAAAAACATTCAAAGGCTTCAAACAGAGAGCAGCAGAGGGGTCAGCACTCTGACCTTTCACATCTTTGACCTGGGCTTGAATCAAGTCTAGACGGATGGGATGAAAGTCTCCTCTGTCTGATGGTTGTAAGGGTCCCTGTGTGAGATGAGTTCAGGCCAATCAAGATCCAAGTCCTAATGTTTTTATGCTCTTCTCAGATAGTGTCTACGGCACATTTTTGGAGCAGTGTAGAAGGAGCTTGACTCTATCTCTAACCTGTGCTTTAGTTGACCTCGGAGTGCTGGATGGGATATTGCAGAGGGAGCTTTGCTCTGTATCTAACCGGTTGACTCACAGAATGGCAGACCTCAATACAGGAACTCAGAGATTTTGCGGAAACAATTCGCGAGGAAACGCTATAAACGGGTTTTGTATATTTCCAATTTTTGCACAATTATTTCTAATAAATTAAGCAAAAAAATGACATGTGTTTGTGTGTTCTTTTTATGAGTTAGCCTCCAGGTTTTTTTTCAAACTGAGGAGTTTAAGGTGAAGGATCAAGAGAGAGGGACACCACCCAGGTTGTTAGAGAATAGGTGAGAAGATGTACTAAGTTAAGTCATACTAAGGTTTAAATGCCCGTAGATTGTAGGTGGAAGGGAATACTGACAGACGAGTCCGCAGCCCTGCCCTCATCAGTATTAATCCACGACTGTTTGTGGGACGCTGCTGTGCGCAATCGGCTGCCACGTTTCACCCACAAAACACACAGTCAATTCACTTCACAGTATATTTTATGAAGCACTTCGAGACGTTTCAACGACGTGACAAGGTGCGATACCAAATGCAAGGATTATTATTTTTATTGTACGGTGTGTCACTGTGCTTCGTGGCACAATCTTATTTCGTTAACAATCCCAATCCTCGCCCCCTCTCTCCCGCCCCCCCCACCCACCACTCCCCTCTTCCCCGGGGAAAAGAGCAGACATAAAACAACAACAACAACAGCTGGAAGAGTCTCGGAGCGTTTAACAGTAAGCCGAGCTGTGGGGGAGGGAGTTGGTGACTGTAAGCGAGGTCGAAGAATGTTTTTTTTAAAACAAAAAAAAACAAGCAAACGCCATTTTTCTGGAACCCATAAAAAAAAATCAACAATACCGAATGTTGTCTCCCAACAAGAGAACTCAATTTTAGAGGGAGCAAAAGAGAATGGCGATGGATGCAGACTGAGTACAACAGCCATTCATTCTAGTCTCCTTGTCTTAACAGTCCGTCCAAAGCGAGATGTTTCAATGTAAAACATTTTTTTGAAAAAAGAAGATAGATAAAATATAAGGGAATAAAAAGTTCACAAAATTGCCTCGAGGCAGATATTGTCTATACCCTGATCTACAGCGAGGTGCAGATGGACCCAGTTCTGAAAGGGCTCGCTTTCTCTCTCCCTTTCGCTCTCTGTCACTCCCTATTCTTTTCCAACAGTATGTAAGAAATTTGGAGCTGGATATTAAATTACCTCGCTAAAAAGAAGTTTAAACAAGATGGAATGGCCGAGGTCTGGGGCTTATTATGCTAACTGAGGGGGGAAAACGGGAACCATTCACAAGGCTGGTTACAAGGGGTCTGAAGGTCTGTCGTGTTCACAGGATTCCTCCTTTGTCATGCTAATTCACAAAACATACAGATGTCTGCTCAATGGACTGTGAAATACAAATGATTTCTTAGGGACTGTGCCTAAACAGTAAGATGTACTGTCATGCAGGGAAGGTGCGGGAAGGGGGAGAGGGAGGGTAGGAAATTAGAAATAGGAGCTGAATGGTGCGAAAAAATAACTTAAAATGGACTTATAAACATTTACTTTAAGAGTTTGTGTTTTGATAGGTTTTCTTGGATCACCCTCCTCGCCACAACCACCACCGCTCGCTCGCTCACTCGCTCACTCACTCCTCTCTCCTCCGCTCGCAAAAAAAATAGTTCCCCCCAACCGATTTGGGAAATGGCTATTTTAAAAAAAGACGTGTTGCATTGTGTGTAAGAGGCCAGACAAAAGAGGGTCTGTAATAGTCACTGGAACTAATTCAGGGTCTTGAGAACTTGGAAGATCTCCAGACAGTCTCGGGTTTCATTTCTCATCGCAGACAAAAAGAAGATAGATTGGGGGCATGGGTTCCCTTACACAAAGGGTCTCCGGAATCAATTTTACACCAAATACGATTCATAAATTAGCATTGCATGCACACACACAACCCTCGTCAACTACAGTGGCCGTTGCCTCATTCAGAGCAACTTGGGTTTATTATTCCTTGTGTGTGTAGGGTGACGATGAGGAGGAACTGAGAATATTAATTTTACAGACAAAGCAGTGACCGAGTTTATAACAACTCTACCACCTATAGCACACTTAACACGCATGTTTATTTACAATATATTATGGCACGTTTCTAACCTCATTAAACTCAATGTCTTGTTAAACCAAACAAACAAACAAACAAACAGAAAACTGCACAAATGAACAGGGCTTAAAGAGAATGAGGAGAATGCATTAGAGTCTCGAAGTTAAATTCAAAGACGTCAAAAAGTTTGCTTTCATTTATTTTTGTCTTGTAAAAAGTTTAGAAAGAGGTAACGCAAAGGATTTTTTTAAAGAAAAAANTAGGTTAAAACAAACTAAAAGAGGGAGACAAGCATCAAGTGTGGACTGGGATAAACCCAGGTTTGGAACCTAATCTGTCCTGTGTTAGCTGAGTTTGACCTAGACTCTATGTATGGCATCAATGAACTTGGGCTATGGAGAGGGTAAATCAGGCAGGGTTTGGGATTGTGACCCAAATACACCGTTTTTCTCCCCACCCATTCATTCAGCCCCACTCCATCTCCCTCTCTCCCTGCCCCACTCCATCCCTCTGCCATGGAAGGTCGAGTTTTCTTCCCAACCTACTAACCAGTTATCGACAAGCGGTTAACAGGCTCGACTGTTAAGAGATCTAGTTGAAAGTGGCTTCACTCTATCACCTTCCTATGATAGTCGCTGCTTAACGCTTTGGGTATTTTTGAACAGATAATACATTCTGGAAGATGCTGTAATTCCTTCCTTAAGCACACGACTAATTTTAGCAATTGGTATCCAATGTAATTTGCGTAAAAGTCTGTTCCTAAGCTTATGTGTTTAGTGAAAAAATGAATTGCTCCCAGCAGTTGGATACAAGGACTGGGAGATCGGTGCTTGATCCTGCCAGGGGAATGATAGATATTTTCTATTGCCAGGACTGGCAGTCATCATCTCAATAAGCATCACACTCTTGCAAGTCATCATCTCAATAAGCATCACACTCTTGCAAGTCTCTGGATGGCACTATCCCAATTCCCAGTGGCGTGGGTGCAAAACTGCCTTTCAATCAGCCCTGAATTGTCAATCTCACCCAGAGAGGCCACAGGATGGAGAGGGATTTGGCAAATGGAAAATGTTGGGCTGGTGCAGTAGCAGGCGCTCTTTTTGGTATTTGGACGGAGCCACTTTGTTACAGCTGGATGAAGGGAGCTGACAATTTCCATCTATAAAGCTCCCATGGGAAGAAAGAAAGCCAGAAAGCAGAGAGGGTGCCAATAGATTCAGGTAATGGGGGTAACTTTGAAGCAGAGCATGGCAAGCAATGCAATTTTAGCTGGATTTCGCCCACAAATATACAGTCAGTTCACTTTACAGTCTATTCTGCGAAGCGCTTTGAGACGTCTAGAAGACGTGAAAAGCACTATATCAAATGCAAGGTTTATTATTATTATTATTATAAACTCCTCAAGGGGTCCCCAAGCCTTGGCTCTTGCCAACCTGCGCCTCATGCTCTCTGGAATTAGGTAAACATTAGGTGTGTCCCAAAACCAATTTTATTTGATGGAATTTCCATAGGATTTTAAAAGGATTTGTTGGTTCACGGCTCACTCCTGCGATGCCGTGCGCAATTGGCTGCTGCGTTTCACCCACAAAATACACGGTCAATTCACTTTACAATATAAGCTGTGAAGCGCTTTGAGACGTCTCGACGACGTGATAAGGCTCGATATCAAATGCAAGGAATATTTCAGGTGTGTTACTTGGAGCAGCCATGATCCAGCTTCACAGAGACACTTGTTTAGTCACAGGACTGCTGCAAAGGGGAGAAGAAAAGGGAACAAACATCTCACAATTTCATTGAACCAGGGGGAGCGATAGTGATGGGAAGAAATGAAAGGAGGACAGGAACATTTCTAAGCGTTTCACTTAAACAACATAAAGACGAGTAAATGCTCAAAACACTTTGGTGCCACATGTACCTGACGGGGCCTGGAAGAGATAGAGCAAGAGAGAGCGAGAGAGAGAGAGAGAGAGAAAACCACAGCGTCAACAGAATTTGAAACTTCAAATACAAAGCGCGTAAGAAGGAAATGCTCTTTGGAAAACCTTTTCTCCAGTTTGTTTTAAGGACGAACAAAATCATTTTATTTCCCTGGTCCTTCAATCTCTTTGTCCATTGAACAGAGAGGAAAGGCAGATGGGAGTGGAAGGGGTGTAGGGGTGTGTGTGTGGGGGGGGGGGGAGAAAAAATAAACACCCAAGGTGAAAATAATTCCTTTGTAAGTGTTAGTGGCAGGTAATATCCTGTAAGTAGGTGTTGGGATATTGTCTTTATATCTTCTCGACATGAAAGGAAATCAACAACCCACACCTCTGGAAGGAAGCCTGGCAAGGCTGTCTCTAATTGCTTGTCTCTTCAAAGATACTCGTCTCTCTCTATCTCTCTCTGTATGCAAAGGAATGCCAAATCCCTCAGCTTCTTGTTAGAACGGTTCCAAAGAACTCTGGGTGATTGTAGACCCAGCAAATGATATCAAATTTGACAGGAACTTTTTTCTCTCTTCCCCCTCCTCTCTTTGTCTCTCTCGTACCTCTATGTCTCCATCTCTTTCTCACTCCCTGTCTGTATCTCCCATCTTTTCGCCCACAGTCAATCCACTTGACAATGTATTCTGTGAAGCGCTTTGAGACGTCTCAACGAAGTGATGAGGCGCTATATCAAATGCAAGGATTATTATTATTTTTCATGTCACTCTTACTGTGCCCTTCTGGCACTTCCCCCTGCCCCCCGTCCACTCTCTCTGGCCTTGCTCCTCTTACTTTCTCTCATTTGCTTCCCTCTCTCTGTTTTCCTGTAAACTCATTCTGGTATTCTGTCCAATTCTTGTTCATTTTGGATTCAGGTAGTTTGGTTGGTCTATGCAAAGAGTAATGCATCCTACGCTGGACTGTAATTGAGAGGACTTAAATAGTTCATACAGTTTATAGAATAATGAATCCCAGGGATGAAGTTTCAGGATAGAACCTAATCCAAAAGTTTAGAAGATAATAATAATCCTTGCATTTGATATAATGCCTTATCACATCGTTGAGACGTCAGTCACAAAGCGTTTCACAGGATTTTATTGTGCAGTGTCGTAACTGTGTATTTGGAAGCAAACAAGGCAGCCGATTAGGGCACTACAATGGCCCACAAGCAGCCAGGAAGTGAACAACCCCTATTTTTTAGTCTGTGGGATTGTTGGCTCGGACGATGATATCATAACCCACCACAAGAATGAAATTTTCCCATTTCACAATGGTCACTGAGCTTGGGGATAATTACATCTGTAAGTTTCTGTAGGCAGACACTGTCCACCTCACAGAGAGCGGTGCATTGAATTTCCAGCCAGCTTTCAATAGCACAAGTCACTGGCAAAAGTCACAGCACTGACTGCTGAGGTGCTCAGCCTCACTCACACAGTTGGATTATTCAGATGCAGGTTTACCTACACATAAATTACCATTGAAATTCCCAGCTATATTCTCATTATTGCAATAATCGGAAGCTTTGCACGAACAACACGAGCCAAAGGGTTTAGGTAAACTGAACCCTAATGAGAGATTAATATGGTCATGAAGTCTACAACAAGGAGGGCAAGCAACTCGGGCTCAAAAGAGAGAAAATGGACAGACAATTCAGATGTAGGCAGTTTGCACAGACAGCAACGAATGTGTGGAATGGACGATGTGGGTGGGGAGTGGGGGCTGGGGGCAGATTATTATGTCAACAAATTCAAGAGGGGGGGGTTAGAGAAGTGAAGGAATCGATCGGTGGGTGGGGGGTATGAAAGATGGGAGTCATGTAGGAATATTGTCTTTCAAAAACAGAAACGACTTTGGGAACGGCTGGAAGGACTGCTGCGTTTTCTCCGCTGCTGTGCATTCCTCTGTTGCTAAAGCGTTCGGGCAGCCGCACCCAAACCCTCTCGTCATTGGCGGCATCAAAGGCGTTATTTTTTTTCTACTGTTGTTCAATGCGACTTAGCTGCACAACTCACTTTGCATCCACCTCTTGAGTCTGAAGCCTGGTAACCGTCTGAAAAATCGTGGGAAACAGGTTAAGGACTAAAGAAGGGCTCTATTATATTGCAGAAGTGTGACTGAGAGCAGGCCTTGTGTCGGGAGCATCTATTCTTCTCTTTCCCCCCTCTGCCCTCCACCCCCCAGCCCCCCCCACTCCTCTCCTCTCTCTTCTCCCCCATTAATGTGCAGGATGGTCTGAACCGCAGCACAGAGCGACAGAGTTGGTGACATTTGGAAGACGGTTTCTCACGCAGAGTCCTGGTGAGCAGCTGTCAGCATCTCTTCAGGAAAAGGCCAGCTTGAGATATCACCTAGTGGGGGAGCAGGGTAACTGTGGCTCACAGCCTTTCCTCCAGGACACAGCAGCAGATATTTCTGTAACGCAAACACAGCACAAATTTTCCCTCCGTGCATTATTTTTGGATTTTCACAAATCAGCAAAAATAAAATCAAACTTACATAAATTAAGATTAGATAGATAGATAGATAGATAGATAGATAGATAGATAGATAGATAGATAGATAGATAGATAGATAGATAGATAGATAGATAGATAGATAGATAGATAGATAGATAGATAGATAGATAGATAGATAGATAGATAGATAGATAGATAGATAGATAGATAGATAGATAGATAGATAGATAGATAGATAGATAGATAGATAGATAGATAGATAGATAGATAGATAGATAGATAGATAGATAGATAGATAGATAGATAGATAGATAGATAGATAGATAGATAGATAGATAGATAGATAGATAGATAAGCCCTCCCTGGCTTTTCTGACTGCAGTGGGGCTGTAATTTAAATTCAACTTGAATTTCAGCCAATGCTGAAAGAAGGTGGCACTGTCTCTTTAATTCTCCCCATTGACCAACAACCCCCCCCCCAAAAAAAAATAAAAGTGTGGAAGCTTTAAATAGAACTTTCTCCTTTTATGGAAGTTTTGAAAGGTGAGACACACACAGACACACACACACAGTGTCAGGAACAGTGGAGTTCATTGGAGAGAGTATTGCAACTGAGACGTTGCCTTTCAAACACTGCGCAAAAGCCCAAGTCAGCAAATAAGAAAATAAACTCTTATTTCAAACTCACCTGATGGAGAGGCAGAGATGTCCAGGGGCAGCCCGCAGCTGCGCAGGCGCGGTGGAGCGCCGGGCATGCTGGGAGTTGCAGTCGGCACCGCGGCGCCAGTGAAGTCACGCAGGCGGGCGCGTCACGGGCGTACTACAGCTCCCAGCGTCCCTCGCGCGCTCAGCCGACCCTCTGCTGACGCCACGAGGTAAGGAAGGAGGGAGGGAGCGGGGGTGGGCGTGACCGAGCCACCGACTCCAAGCTGATTGGCCGCGCGTCTTCCGGGCAGGTCGATACATTGGGCGAGCGAGGCCGTTGATTGGTTGAGGAGGGGGGGGGAACGTCACTCGTCGGGAAAGTCGCTCGCCGATTGGCTGAAGCTGCTGCAACCCGCGCGGGCGGCTGTTTTTGTGAATGGGGGGTGGAAGCGGCTGAACGTAAACCGGAGGGAATACAGTGTAACCGAGCGGACAACGGCTATGGTGAGTGGGGGGGGGGGGAGGAGGAGTGGGAGGGGGGGGGGGAGTGCGCGGGGCTTTAACTGAATGCGATGAGGACTTTTCCCGTGGAAAAATAAGTGGGGGGGTTGTGGGGTGAGGAGAGCTGCACACTTCACATCCCTCGGCTCCTATTTGCGCTATGGGCTAAAAATAGATCCCCTCCCGGACCCATCATATGGCAGAATAGCCCTCCCTCCCCCTTCTCTCTCCCCCCCCCCCCCCCCCCCCCACTCCCCCGCACGGTGACAGCTGCAAACGAACCCAGAGGGGCCTCCTCTCTGCACAGGATTCCTCTGAATTTGGGGGACACTGCTGTCATTTTGTCGGCACTGCGTTGGGCCGACTTTGTTTGTCGTCGTGTCATTTTTAATTGGGATCAACGGCAGTTGTAAATGGATCTGGGGGTGGGGGGGGGTTGGAGGGGTAAAAGAGTCTGCCCCACCTGTGGTCTGGGAAACTTTGATGTTTGAGTTCATGGGGATTTGTTATATGGGGTCACTGGGCAATCCAGAGTCTCCCCCCCCCCCCCCTCACCCACCCACCCCTCCCTCCCCAAGTGGAAAGTGAACAGGACTGGGACTTAGCTATGATTCCCCCCACCCCACCCTCGTTCAAACACTCTGCTTACATTCACTGTTAATGATCACACACAACGATCCCACCCCCTCCCCCCTCCCCCCCCCACCCCCACCCCGTCCCAAAATAAACTCATCTCACTTATCCATTGAAATGCCCTTCCTCCCAAAGTCTACATTTCTCTGTCTACATTTCTCTCTCTCCTTCCTGCATCTTCACTGTGTTGAAACCAATGCTTCAGTGCAACATCTCCTTCTTCTAACTCATTCTTTCCCAGCATCTCAAGTCTAAGGGACTCTTTGCCTCCCTCTGTCTTCCTCCTTCGTTCTACACGACTCACCTTCGTCCCTCTTCCTCTTCTCCTACATCCCCAAGCTTCTAAACCTCAAGCTTGGGCTCACGTAACCACATACGTCCTGATTTATCTCCTCATGTACTCTTTTCAACTTCGCCGGTGAGCGGACCTGTGGCCATTGGCCCCTGAGGTACTCAGTCTTCTGCCCTTCATCGTATTTCCTGAACCTGAAATAACTGGTTGGATATTCACACGCTCGCTCTTCACTCATTCCTCAACGGGTTTGTATTTCGAACGTGAGTCTTGCAGCGTGTCCGTGTTTCTGACGGTTCTTTGTTGCTCTCAGGGTGTGGTGGGAGTACAGCTGGTGGTCAGCCTGGTGATGGCCAGCCTCATGCAGAGACTCACTCCACACTACTCCATAGGGCGCTGGCTGATCTGCAATGGAAGGTAAGACGTTGGGTTTATTTCCAATACTCTGTGGACTGTTTGCTGACATGATAATAACCCTTTCATTTTTTTCACAGCACCTTATCACATCAAAGTCTTTCAAAGTGCTTCCCAGAATTTATTACAAAGTGTAGCGACTGCGTATTTTGTAAGCAAATGTGGCAGCCAATTTGCACTCTGCGATGTCCCGCAAACAGTAATGAAGTGAATGACTTTCTTTTATTATGGGGCATTGTTGGCCAGGACACAGTGAGAATCTCCCTTCTTATTTTGAAGCACGTCATGGGATCTTTAACATCGAACTGAACAGGTCTGAGTTTAGTGTCTCATCCGAAGAGCATCTCAGCAACTCCGACAACACAACTCTCCCCAGCACTGCTCGACAGTTTCCAATCGCTAACCCGTTCTCGCTTTAGAAAGTGCAGCGGGTTATGAGTTAGTGTGACAAATTGACCGTGCTTTCAATTCTTGCTCTGCAGCCTGCTCCGGTTCAGACATCCAACAGATGATGAGCTCCGAGCATTGAGTGGGAAACAGAAGCCAAAGATGAAGAGAGACAGGTTGGTACCCCAAACCCCAAGGCTGCACAAAGGAACATCCTACCTTACCCTGGGTGTGTACAGTGTATGCAAAATAACTTGAACAATTAATGAGCATCGGTTGACCAGTGGAGTTGAGAACAATGCCTCTAATTGTGTGTGTGGTCTCTATTTCGGAGCGAGAGGCGGGAGTGAAGAGGGAACTGATGACGTTCCCATAAAGATTCATCGTGAGTTTTTCTTCCAGCAGGAGGCAGAATGGCGTGACTGAACCAAAGCCAGAGACGGTGCCAAAGGACATCAACTTGCAGCTGGACACCAAGCCCATCACCACCATGGATGCCCTGGGTGAGGGCTGGGGGAGGCGGGCATGGCGGCTCTTGACTGTGCCTCTTGGGTGTTGGGTTGATCAAAGGATTGGAGCATGCGATGGGTTCGGGTGTGGGGAGGGTGAATCAGGATTTCCTCTGGAGTTAAAGGAGCTACATAAATTATCACCACTGCTGCAATTCCTGCTCCCAGCACCCCACAACTGCGGGTAACTGAGGGTGGCATAGAGAGGGGTCAAATGCACCCTCAGGGAAGTAGTTCTCTGACTCACTGACTAACTTCCTTTCTCTCTCTCTCTCACTTGCTAGTCTTGCGCTATTTCCTGGAGTATCAGTGGCTGGTGGATTTTGTCCTGTACGCTACTTTGGTTTACCTGTTCACGGAGGTTTATTACTGCCTGGTTAGCGCGGAGACAGAAATTAATGTTGGAGTTCTGTGGTGCCTGCTCACGTTGGTCTTTGCAGTGTATCCTTTCGCACTTTGAGGCAGGGAATCATTCAGGAACCTCCTGATCTTTATTTATAGTGTTGTGGGATCTTTACCCGAACAAGAAGACGGGACCTTAGTATATACTAAGTTTATACTTATACTATACTACATCTCATCCAAAGGATGGCGTATTAAATGTGCCGGTGCATAATAATAATAATAATCCTTGCATTAGATATAGTTCCTTATCACGCCGTTGAGATGTCTCAAAGCGCCTCACAGAATATAGTGTAAAGTGAATTGACTGTATATTTTGTGGGCGAAATGCGGCAGTCAATTGCGCACAGCAGTGTCCCACAAACAGTCATGGATTGAGTGCCCAAATTATTTTTTTGTATTATATTTATTTTTCTGAAGGGACTATTACTCCCGGAAAGCGATCCGCCAATCGACTAACAACCAGGTTCCGACTTACTGCTAGGCAAACAGAGGCGTGTGGAGTAAGGAAACTTACCTACCCTGCCTGGGAATCAAACCCATAGCAATAAGCTCCGGATACAGTCAATCAGAAAAATGGTGTATTCCGTTGCCACGTGGCACTAATGTTGGTGGAGAATTTCTTTCCATCACTATTTGTGATCTGTCTGCAACATTTATTGGCGTCCAGGCTCTTCACTGACTGCCTGCTTGCAAGCTCTGCCTGTTAGTGAGTACACACACACGCGGGGTGGGGGTGGGGGGTCTGACCATTTTAATTGACTGCACGATCCACTGACTCTCTTCCCAAGTACTTAATGATGCTGCCCCCTACATAGAGAGGAGCCTGTGTAATGAGTTGGGCTGTTTATAAGCCAGCCAGCCAGCCCTTCTGCAAATAATTAGCACAGATAAATAAATGCCCGACACTTTTACAGCCCCTGTAAGAGGAATGACTGAGGCATCCCAGTTCAGCCCTTTCCCATTCACCTCTGCCTTTGATTCGCCTTTGCAACGATTCCCTTTGTCTTTGCGCCCATCGTGGCTGTTTGAAATCTGTTGTTATCTCAGTTATTCTGGCCGTAACTGTGCAGCTTGCTCCCTCTTGTTACCGATTCACAGACCAGCGGGAATATAATAACAACAATAATAATCCTTGCATTTGACATAGCGCCTTATCCCGTCGTCGAGACGTCTCAAAGCGCTTCACGGAATATCCTGTAAAGTGGATTGACCGCGCATTTTGTGGGTGAAATGCAGCAGCTCATCACGCAACAGCAGGGTCCCACAAACAGTCATGGAATGAGTGACCAAATAATTTTTTTGTGATGGGTGGGGTGCGGGGGGGTTATTGCCCCTGGAAAACGATCCATTAATCACTAACAACCGGGTTCCTACTTACTGCTAGGTAAACAGAGGTGCGTGGAATAAGGAAACTTGCCCTAGGTTTCGCCCTGCCCGGGAATTGAACCCGCTTCCGAGGCAAGCACTCTCACCACCCCCCGCCACCCAAATATTTCACTATTTAACCCTTCGCAATGTCAGGCCTCACTTGGGGTATTGTCAGCCATTGTTAGCCGGTGTGGTGGGGGCGGGTGTTGGGGGTGTGTGGTGTTTCTGTGCCGGTTGCTGTTGACCTTAACGCCAGCCGCAGTAAAACGCTTGTTACCCTGATGTCGCATTACTTCAGGACGGAAGACGGGGGCGAGCGCTCCGTCTGCCTTACCTTCGCCTTCCTCTTCCTCGTCATCGCGATGTTGGTCCTCGTCATCAGTGAGGATTACCTGGAGTTTGGCCTCGAACCAGGTGATGCTTGTTAACATGGACTTTTGGCAGGTTAGAGACAGAGTAAAGCTCCTTCTACACAGTTCATCCAGCTTCACCACGGGTTAGAGACAAAGTAAAGTGCCCAAACCCTCCATCCAATTGAGCCCAATCCTACATTCACCCAGTGCACTTCACTATAGGAGTCTGTGTATGTGTGTGTGGATTAACATTAATAGCAGCGAATCCTTCACAGGCGAAAAAACGTAAAACAATTGTAGCAATTGGGTGATCCGGACATCAAACTGGGGACCCTCTTGGTTTGCACAGTTCAGTACTTACCCTGTGTGTGTGTCTGTGGGTGGTGGTGGATGGAGCACACGTGGAATGTCCTGTGAAGTATTACTGTAGAAAGGCAGCTCTGAGCAGCTGTGAGTGACCACCTCCCCCCTTCTCTCTCTCTCTCTCTCTCTCTCCGTTCCCCTACAGGCTTTGACGTCTTCTACGAGAACGTGAGCAATTTCCTGAGGCAGCAGGGAATCCAACTCTGGCCGTGAGTGCCGTCGCTTCTCCTTTCGCTTGGTAACGGAATCGGCGGGTTTTTACAATCGGTGGCAATAAGCGTTGAGAGGCGCTGGTCTGGCTGGAAATAGCCGTCCTGCACCTCGATCAGGTCACTTCACCGTCCAGGGGCTTGGGACGTCCTTCTGACGTGAAAGGCGCTGTGTAAATGTAATTTTATTGTTGTTGTTACATGACCCAAGGTTAACAGGTGGGGATGGGGGGGGTGCGGTGGGGTGGGGTGCTGGTGTGTGGAGGGGGCGGGTGTCACAGCCAAGGTCTGCAAACGTGTGAACCGGAGCTCAGTTCAACATCGTTCGGAAGATGCCACCTCGCGTGAAGCGCTCCCCCCAGTACTGCACTGTGGTGGATCACGAGACAATCACTACAGAATGGAACTACAGAATACTCTCTCCCAAATGAATTGGCTGCTCTGTTCGTTCTCTGTAGGCCGTGGCCATCGCTGCTGTCTGTGCAACAAAACCATCTCACTTGATTTCCAACTCATTGCTGCTCCTTTTAGGCGAAACCCGACGGATAAACGTACGTTTTCTATTCACCGTTCAGGTTCTCGGTCTGCAGGCTGATATTCAAGCTCTCTCTGGTGGGGCTCTGCTCGTTCATAGGAGCCTTCCTGACCTTCCCCGGTCTGCGCTTGGCTCAGACACAATTGGACGCCCTGAAGCTCACTGCGGACAGACCTCTGATACAGTAAGTGCTGCACAAGTCCCACCTTTGCAAACTGCAGGGCCAGAGAATTTCAGGCTCTCCCGGGGCCGCACTCTTTTGCCAGTTCCCAACTCAACTACCATTATATTATTATATATTACAATAATTATATTGTTCTATTATCCCAGGCACCCAGTGAAACAACAACACAAACAACAGTGATGAGGAATATTAAAATGTTTAATAAATCCTCAAGAATAAAATCTGTTTCTTAACAATTAATATTATTGAAATAAACACCTTGTGTAACACTTTGTGTTTATTACATGAACCTTTATATCTGCGCTCCTCTCTCTCTCTCTCTCTCTCTGACTATAACTTTGTGTAATGATTCAGTACATTTCTATAAATGCAAGTTGTTGTAATTTTTTTATCTGTGGGGGGGTGGATTGTTGTGAACACTGCTGCACTAACCTAAGACGAGCTTCACTTTCCTCCGCTGACTGGGCCGTTTCTTGCTCCCGCCAGGTTTCTGCTACACATCAGCTTCCTCTCTCCTGTGCTGGTGCTGCTGCTGTGGGTCAAACCGGTGGCCAGAAACTTTGTCCTCAACGCTCCGCTGGGGAAGGAGAAACTGCCGCTGTGAGTATCACCTACCCCAGCGCTCGCTCTGATGATGGGGAAACTCGGGACTTAACTTCCTGCTTCAAAGGAGAGCAGCATTTTCCTCCTGGATTACATTTCTAACCACAACAACAACTTGCATTTATACAGTGCCCTCTATGTGAGATAATGTCTCAATGGATTGATGCAACAACTGACAGCAGGATGGGTTGGCTGCTGAGCAAGGGAGGGTGGAGGGTGGAGTTGACGATAGGAACGATTGAAGAGGTAGATTTTAAGACAGGAGGGAAGGGAGAGAAAGGACCTGGGATTTTTGAGGGATGGGTGGGGGGGTTGGGGAATATGATGACCAACAACGACATCATCCAAATTCACCCCAACAATCCTACAAACTGGCTGCTCGTGTGATTGTTGTCCGTGGGGCTGGTGAAAGGCTCGTAACGTAAGAGTTGATGTTCTTCCTTGTTGTTGGGTTTTTTTTTAAACGTTGTTTCCTGTCCCCATCGCTGACGGGAAGGTTGTCCGACTCCGGGTACAACACAGCCCGGCTGTGGGCCATCATGGCCGTCTGCGCCGTCCGGCTGGCAGTCACTCGCTACCACCTCCAGGCCTACCTCAACCTGGCCGACAAGTGGGTGGATCAGTTGAAGAGGGAGACGGGCCACATTGCCATGATTGACATACAGCGCAAGGTACGTAGTGGTAGTGGTTGGTGGCGGCGGGGTGGGGAAGGGTGGGGCAGGAAAGGGCTAAAGGGACATGGGCTCTGATAGGGGTGATGGTAGGGAAGCGGGTGGTGGTTATAGGGCAGAGAGGGAACTGGCTATTGGGTTATTGTAGTTGTTAGGTTTTAAAACCAAGCCCACTTTGTGTTTGCGGCACCTCCTATTGTATTTGGAGATCTCCGTGACGTGCCTTGGGCTGTTGAACGTACAGTGGTATTTCTCATCATATTGAGAGAGAGAGAGAGACAAGAGGGTGAAGCTAGATTCAAAAGGGTCTCGGTTATATAGAGAGAGTTAGTTTCAGACTGGCATACAATCCAGACCATTGGACGGTTTGTGTGTAGAATAACAGTCATGAGGGGAGGGAGGTTATAGGCTGGAGTAAAGTGAGGGTTTAATGTTGGGAAGGTCTATGTTCTGTACAGGTCACCCGAGTGTTCTGCTACCTGTGTGTGGTCACCCTCCAATACCTGGGTCCCATTGTGCTCCTCCTACACTCCACTCTGCTGCTCAAAGTGCTGGGTGAGTAACGACACAGTGCGTACAGAGACACCTCCCTGTTCATGGGTCGGGGTGTGGGTTGGGGTGTGGATAGGGGCTGGAAAAGAGCATTCACCTACAAAACACAGTCACTATAGTTTACAATAAATCCTGCAAAGCCTTTGAGACATCTTCCCGACATGAAAGCTGTACAGATTAGAGTAGACCTCACGTAAACCTGGTACCTGTTGGGACCGTACGTTTAATATAACTTATGCAAAGCACGAGTTACGTCAAACTTGCAGAGAGTATAAGCTCTTGAATGTGAACTTGGGCAGATGTCCGAGTTGCACAGATCAGACTTCTGTGAGTTTTACTGTATTATTATTATCATCATCATCATTATTTTCCTTTTTCAGGTGACTACTCCTGGGGAGTTTACCCGGAGACTCCAGGAATCACTGTGGTGCCGGAAATTGTCACCGCCGCTGGCTCTGACCCCTCGGCTGATGAAGAGGAGGATTACCAGGCCACCGTGTCCCACATCACCGCCAGCCTGGGAGCCCTGCGCAATGTGCTGACCCCCCTCTTCTATCGCGGCCTTTTCTCCTTCCTGACCTGGTGGCTGGCAGCCTGCCAGACCATCATCAGCCTCTTCGGCCTTTACTTCCACCAATACCTGATGGCTTCGTAACCAGAGGACGAGGAGTTGGCGTTAAGCATGTGGGGATTATTGGCGGGAAGGTCCTGTGCTGAGGGTGAAACACAGCCTCACGGAAACCCTCCCCTCCGCCATCTCGGATTTGAACAGCGTCTCAACAAAATGACGGATTCTCAACGCAGATCGAACTGTGCGGGTGGGTGGGTGGGGGGGGGGGGCGGGTGAAGGGAGGCGGGAAGTGGGTCACAGTCTATTCCCGATTTTGTGTGTGCATTTTTCTCTTTGTAGTAGAATTTCATCGCGTTGGAGATTGAACATATAAGTCTCGTTATTAGTGCTTTCCCACCCCGGCCACCACCCCGTGTCAAGTGCCTGATGTCTCTGAGGTCCCACGGCACCCCCCCTCACCCTCCCGCTGCGGTCTGCCTTGTTAAAAGAATAATTTTATTTTAAATGGGGTTACAGTGATGGTGGGGTGGCGGGGGAGGAGGCTTTGTTCAGACATACAGAAGGGAGGGACGGCGTGAGAGAGATGAGCTGAATATTTATTTGAAATGTAAGTTATTTGGAAGCTTATTCTCTCAGTCCGTGCTTATTCCCTCTGGACTCTTGGGTGAGCACTCACCTGCCTTGAAGATGGCCGAGTGACGAGAGCCATTGATGGAGCTTGGTATTTGGGGCAGAGATTGGGGGAGGAGCGACAGTGGAGTGTGTGTGTGGGGGCGGGGGTGGAATGTGATGATTTTTAAAAAAAAAAGCAGTTGAATGGGTGATTGTGGAGTTTTTTTTCTAAAACGGTGAACTCAATTTCTTCATCCAAATTCCATGTCTCCACTGAGGATAATCATAATAATATTAATAATAATCCTTGCTTTTGATATAGCACTTTAGCACATCGTTGAGACGTCTCAAAGCGCTTCACAGAATGTACTGCAAAGTGTATTTAATCGACTGTATATTTTGCAAGCGATTCTAGAGCAGGAGTTAGTCAAAATGCACCTGATCCCGATGACAGTAGCCACACTCCTTGCATTTGGTGCAGTGCACTTCTCATCAAGACGACATTTCAGAGTGACTTGCGGGATTCACTGTAAGGTGCAGTGACTGTGCGCCTTGCGTGGGCGGGTGTTTTGTTTTTAAAGATGTAACGGGAACAGATTCCCAATTAATCTGGAGTCCTGTAGCTCAGTGGTTAGAGCACTCGCTTTGCAAGCGAGAGACCTGAGTTCAATTCCAGGCAGAGGTCGAAACCTCGGGCAAGTTTCCTTACTCCACACAGAGCCTAATAATAAACCCTCCAAAACAAAACAATAATAAATTGGTCATTTTCAATCTACGACTGTTTGTGGGGCATTGCTGTGCGCAATTGGCTGCCGCGTTCGCCCACAAATATACAGTCAATTCACTTTACAGTATATTCTGTGAAGCGCTTTGGGACGTCCTCCCGACGTGAAAAGCGCTATATCAAATGCAAGGATTATTATTTTATTTATAATCACAGAGTCGTTCTCCCATTTTGAAATTGTCATACTTTGATCTCTGGGATTGCAATAATTCAGGTCAATTTATTGGCGGGGGGTGGTGGGGGGAGGAAGAAATGCAGACAATGCACAGGTAACGTATTTCCTTCTCCCTCCCTACCCCTTCCCCCTTTTCTATTAGTGCCTTATTGGGATATCAGTGAGCAGTAAATACAATGGATGTCGTGATGTAAGCAAATACTAAATTATCGATAATTTATCGGATTGGAAGCTGCTCAGATGAATGCACAGACATGGGTTCAGCCTGTGCCCTGAACCCACAGATTTGAACAAAAATCTCCCCCTTTTTGAAAAAAAATTGACCATTTCACACCAGTTCACAGGACATTGCTGCGTTCAAATTGGCTGCCGAGATCGCCTGCAAAACCCACAGTCACCGCACTACACTTTACAGTGAATCCTCTGAAGCGCTTTGAGGCGTTTTGATGAGCCGATAAGGCGTTATAACGACCATATCAAGGATCATTGTCTCTCCTAAGATATCAGCAATGTGCTGACCACACACATCATTGGAATACTGGACACTCTCTCTCTCACTCGAGTCCTGAATATGTTTGCAAAATCATGTGCTGATCCATCTGATGTCCGTGTGCGTGTTCAGTACTTGCACCTCGCTGCCTCGCCTTGGGGACTGCCAAACCCCCCCCTTCCTTCCTCCTCCCCCCCCCCCCCCCACACACACACCCCAGGGCAGGACACATGTGCTAAAACTGAACATTTCTAAGATCCTAATTTAATCCGTTCATTCACCATTCCTCCACCCCCTTTCCTGTCTTTCACCCTCCTCTGAGCTCGATTGCGTCAATAAATCTTGTAAATGTGACACCATGTGATGAGATCTAAATACATGGGTTTGCATAAATGTATTTTTCGATCATAAAAATTTAAATTGCGACTTTTTTTGATGCGCTTTTTTTTGGGTGGGGGATTTGTACCTTTCTGCCCCGCCAAACCCCGGGAACGAGTGCCACATACAATCGATTATTTGGTGATTCTCAGATCAATAAATTGATTCTCTTCATTACAGATCGTCTTGTGTCTTTATATATAATGTGCGTTAGTTAGAAACCCAAGTGTCTGTCACTTTGGAGATGTAACAAATAGAGGGATTACATTTTTTGAGACCCCTTTCACTTCGGTAGGACATCACAAAGAACATCACAGGATTTTCCTGTGATGTGTAGGTATATTGTAGGTGAACGCAGCAACCAATTTGCGCACAGCAATGTCCCATAAAAGGCCACCAAGCGAATGAATCATTTTATCTGGAAGCTTTTTGCCCAGGACACTGGGAGAAAGAAACTCCCTTCTCTTTACAAAAAGTGCCCTCCCTGCAATCTTTAACGTCCACCTGACCAGGCAGACGGGACCTTGGTTTAACATCTCAGCCGAAGCACGGCACCTCCAACAGTGCAGCACACCCTCAGCGCTGCACTAAATGTAGACTATATTCAGACGTGACCAAGGTTGAAGAGGTGGAGGTGTTTGAAATGGGAGGGAGGGGCAGGTTTATGTAGGATAATGATTTGGAGATCTTCACAATAGTGGGGCAGGATGCCAGGGGAGGGAAGGGGGGGGCGGGAGGTTTTAAAGTGAGATTTAAAGACAGATTGGAGCGTGGGGGTGTGGGGAGGGGGGTAAGCAAGGCGCCGGGAGAGGGAATAGTGGCAGGGAGTTCCAGACGTTAGGGGCAAAAGTGGCTGAAAATGATAAGGTGAGACATACACAAGACTGTTCTGAGTTTGTGGGATACATGTTCTCACACACACACACACACACACTTTTGCACACACACACACACATAACGCCTGTGGCAGACAGCTGTAAATCAGGCCCAGTCTCACATCTTTCTGCCACTCGCTCTCTTGTCTCTGTCTCTCTTTCTCTCCCTAATTGAAATGCGCAGCATAAAAACGGAGTTAAAGCACTTACTGCAATTTCAGATCACGGCTTAAAACCACCCACCTCCTGCTCCCCATTTATAACCAGCCTCCAAGTGTGTGGCTCTGAATTAGGCTGCACTTAAACCACACAATTTAAAAACCCATGGGACTTTATTTATTTTCGCCTCTACACCCACGAGCCCCCCCCCCCTCCACTCGCCTCTCCCCATCTTGTGCATTAATGTCCAACTCCAGACTAATTTCTGTCTGGGGCAGGGGTCTAGTTTGGGAAGCCGGGGGGGGGGGGGGGGGGGGTAGGGTAGAGGGGTTGGGTGGGTGTTGAGGGGGGGGTGAACTCTAGGGAAATTCATTTCACTGATCTGTCTGACTCCTCGCCAATGACTTAATTATGGAGTCGGTCGTGTTAAAGGAGTTGGCCCTTTCCCAGCTCTTGTCAAAGCGCAGGACAAATTAAACAAATAAGCTTTCTCTTTCTCTCCCCCCCCCCCCTCACCTCCCCCACCAAAGAAACCCCAGCCTCACTCCGCTGGTTTCCAATGAAACATTTCAGGTCAAAGGCAGATATTTAAATCCCTGGGAAACGATCATTTGCATCTGACGTGTATAATTTATGTAGCAGACGTTTTCTTTGAAAGAATTATAGCTCGAGACTCGTCTGTGTGGCTTGTCTGTATGTTTATAAAAAAAAGCAGCGCTGTGATAGCTACATTGGGTGTCTGTGTGTATGTGTGTGTGTGTGTGTGTAAAAAAAACATTATTTTTCCCCCTTGTTTCTCTGCTCCCTGGCAGATCAAATGCTGAGATTGCGAATCTATTGTTTCTAATAAAATGTATAAAATTGGTCACTCGTTCACTCACTCACTCACTCACTCAACGGCTGTTTGGGGCGACTCAATTTTCCTTTTGTGGGCGCAAACCGGCTGCTGTGTTTCGCCCACAAAATAGACCATCGCTCCACTTTACAGTACATCCTGTGAGGCGCTTTGAGACATCTCAATGACAATGTGATAAGGCGCTGTATCAAATGCGAGGATTATTATTATTTCCATCTTATCTCCTTGTTTTACCCTGTTTATTCCCTCCCTTTCTTCACAGTTTAAATTTATCCCCCCCACCCCACAACTCCCCAGAATTTAAGATCAATTGGCCACTCGGCTCATTGCGTGCAAGAGCTTTGACGGACGCCTTCGCCTCAGTTACAGAATTCACTTTATTTCCAAACCATGTTATTTACGTAAAGCCCCTTTTGAGTTACACTGTACGAATGGACTACATAAATGCCAGTTGTTGTTATTGAACTTTCTACTTCGAGTGGAAGGCACTGGAGGAAATAATAATAAAAATAATCGTTGCAATTTGATATAGCGCTTTATCAGGTCATTGAGACGTCTCAAGGAATATATTGTAAAGCGAATTGACTGTGGGGTTTTTGGGGCGAAACGTGGCTGCCAATTGCGCACTGCAGTGTCCCAAGAAGAGTCGTGGACTGAGTGACCAAATTTTTTTTGGGGGGGAGGGGGGGAGAAGACTATTACCCCAGAAAGCAGAAGCTCATTCCACCCCCCTCACTCCGCCCACCTCAGCAGACATAGACTTGGCAAAGAAACAGCCACTGTGGCCATCCTTCAGGAACAATGAAGCTGGCATTTTGATGAGACGCCATACAACATCGAGTGTCTCACAGCGCTTCACGGCTAATTACTGAAGACGTGTAGTGACTGTATATTTGTAGGCATTCGCAGGGGCCAATTTGCAAACGTCCCAGGACGAGCAGCCGTGAAGAGAAGAGAATTAGCAATTTATTTGGGGAGGGTGGGGGGGGTGGAGGGGGGTGGACATGGGGAGAAACTCCCTTCTCATTTCAGACAGTGTCATGGGATCTTTAGCAACAACCTGAACGGGCGCAGACGGGGACATGATTTTAATGTCTCATCCAAAGGAGGGCAATGCAATGATCGGGGGTGGGGGGAGAAGGGGAGGTTAGGGGGGGGTGGGTGGGGGAAGCGATGTACAGTGGCGAGGAAAAGGCATAAATCAGGTAAAACAAAAGCGGCACCCCCCCCCCCCCCCACCCCTCCCACAGCCCTCGTAATTGGGCTGCCAGCACCTTCATTGAGCAGCTGGCTTGGAGAGACAAGCTAACAAACAGCTTGTGGCATAAGGATTTCATGTACTAGATCCAGTCTGGTCAGGGCAGCCCAGAGAGCGGAGAGCGTGAGAGAGTCTGGGTGTACAGATGATTTATAAGGTGGTGACTGTCCACCACAGGCAGTGAATTAGAGGGCACAATAGTCTCGCCACACAGACACACAAAAGGCACGACGATTCTGGGAAATTAATTAGATCCCTGGCAATTTTTTTACATCAGTTTAACTCTTTAGGGGCACACGATATGTCCACCGAGGTGATGGGGTGGGGTGGGGGGGAAATCGGGGGTGGGGGGGGGAGCGGGAAGAAGAAAAGGACGCTGCAAAATATTCTGTCTGGACGTTTTAACGAACGTCCCTTTTCTCTCCGCAGAAAGATTTGTTCATATTTTTCTGGTGCGCTTTCAAATCGAAATCCTCCTCGCAAGTAGGGGTGCGAAGCTACCAGTCATCATCATAACAATCCTTGCATTTGATATAGCGCCTGATCGCGTCTTCGAGACATCTCAATGCGCTTCACAGAATATACTGTAAAACAAATTAACTGTATATCTTTTGGGCGAAGCATCAACCATCATCAAACCATCTTGGTGGTTGTTTGAGGTTGCTGTGCGCGAATTAGCTAGCGCGTTCACCCTCGAAACCGCACAGTCACCACACTTTCCAATGAATCCCATGAACGGCTTTGAGGCATGGTCCTCACCCTGCATCAAACAGGGGTAATAATTATTTTACCTGGTCCGGTCCTTGGAAGAGACTGAAACAGTTTCTAACTACGTTGTGAAATCCAGGGGAAGGAGAAGAGGGAGGGGATGAGAAGATCAGATAAAGCGCTGGAGATAGCTTTGGAGCACCCGTGATATGTCACCAATATACCCATGGACCAATATACCTTAGAACCAAGCTGCCCATCACCACACCATTCACTCCCCACCTGTTGCCGCTGTCCAGGACCTGCTGATGTGTCTGTCCAACTTGTGGGCACCTCAGGCACAAGGGCATCTCACAATTCACACCACTTTTTTCAGTCCCATTCTGTGTTCGAAATTGATGTTGACCAAAGTCCAACACCCACTAAAAGGGCCAGAGCCAGACAATCCATTAGGTGCTCTAATGGCAAGCTTCCACTGTGCATCAGGTAATAATTACAGGCAGAGTGAGCCCAGCAAGAGTTTGTAAACTGCTTGGATTTGACTCACGTGGTTCACTGTTATAGACATTGCTCCAAGAATAGTGTTTGAGGGCGATAATAAATAATAATCCTTGTATTTGATACAGCGCCTTATCACGTCATTGAGATAACTCAAAGCGCTTCACAGGATATACCGTAGAATGGATTGACTGTGTATTTTGTGGGGGAAGAGAAACACCCTCAAAATAAAACAGGTGAACAGATGTTCTATAATTACACCCTCCATTCTGTTAGGCAGAGCGTAACATAACAGTAATTTTCAGATCTCTTCGTACCACGAAAGTTAATGTTAACCTTTCACGACTCGGGATCTGACAATTATTACAGACTCAGTTGGATACATACGACCAATATACAAAGTGAGTCACCGAGAAGAAAAAAAAATCTCGGCTCAAAATTGTTTAAAGGGGCTCTGGTAAATTCAGCGGCCTCCCAGATTAGCAGCCTAATGGCTTGGACGCTTTATTGCCATGCCAGTATTTGTAGTCAGTTAACACTGAAATCTCTCCCACTCCTCCAAAACAGAACCATGACATTGAACGCCTTTAAAAGCAGCTTCTATGTGAAATTGCTCCCTCTTCTGGGTAAGGAAAGGGGACACCAAACCCCTCTGATTTTAAAAAAAAGGGTGTTAAAAAGAGCAACTGATCACACTGCTGGCAAACAAGTTTCAATTTATACTTTACCTGTCAGGTAAAAGAATGCCTTAACGTGACGTAGAGCGCCGTGAGCCAGTAAAGTGGAGCCGTAAGATTTTTTTTTCGACAGGAGCAAATCCCATTTGTCGAATCACACCTAAAGACTTTCCTCTCCTCTCTACAGTCACCCCTCCCACACTCTCTCCGGCTCAGCCTCATTATACGCCATTGTCAAGCTCTCCGAGATGCTACCCCACGTGAGACGCCATGTGAACGCAAGTGGGAATACGGTGGGAGAAAAGGTGGCAGCTTATTGAGGGTGGCACTGCTGCTGGTGTGTAACAGATTATTCACTTCATCACCATCATCAACAACTACACATTGCATTTATCTAGCTGCCTTTCATGTTGGGAGAACATCCCAAGGCAGTGAAGGGTTTGCTCCTGAGCTGGAGGTGGGAGTCAAGAGATGTGTAGGGCAAAGGTTGGGTGGGCGGTGGAAGTGGGAGGATAACCAAAGGCACAATCAAAGAGGAAGGTCTTGAGATGTGCCCTGAAGGAGGCAATGGAGGGGGCAAGGCAAAGGGATGGAGGGTGGGGGCAGCAAGGTGAGGCAGGCAGAGCAGAGGACATGGAGCAGGCCGGTGCCCGCCGAGCAGAGGGAGCAGACAGCTCGGTGTGGTGTGAATAGGTCGCAGAGGTTGGGAGGGGCAAGACCGCGGAGGGCTTTAAAAATGAGGACGATGATCTTGAGCTGGACTGTCCGGGTGACAGGAGCCAGTGAAGCCGGTCGAGGATGGGGGCAATCAATCATCTCACGGATCTCAGTGCGGTAGAGGACAGAGACCTTTTATTTAACCTAAATAAAAAAAACTTGCTGATTTCTCATAGAGGAAATGAAAGAGAGACGTTAGGAGAAGCGCTTTGTTTTTGATAAGAACTTCCCCCTTTTTTAATTTAATTTTTGAAATGTTATATCATGGATTTAGAGGCTTGTGATGACATCGCATTTGACGGGCAGTCGCGAGGCAGAAGTTCACACACAACCCAAGGCCTCAGGTCCTCCTCTGCAGAGCCTGACTGTCCGGTCACTTCACCTTCGCGGAGTCACACCACCACAGTTGTGCAGTCTCACCAAGCACCAAGTTTCAACCCCACCGTGCTCGTAAAACGGGAGGGAAAATGTATTTCACGGACAACGGGACGCAATTAGCCTCCGGTTAACACAAGGCCAAGTATTTCAATCCGCAACCAAACTCCCGTTCGTCAAAATTCCTGTCGCGCCCCCTTTCCTGGCATTTATTGATTGTAGGCAACCACAGAATTACTAGCGTTGAGGTTTATAGGCTCATTCTGTTGGGTCAGAGTCTCCCAATCGTTCTCTGCGTTACCTCTCGGGGTAGCCCGGGCTCTGCAGTCTGTGAAGGAGAATCTGCGTAAGGTCGAAGGTAGTGAAGCTGATACCGACAGCCACCGGCCCCTTCAGAAAGTTCAAGCTCAGTCCCTTGTACAAGCCTTTGATGAGCCCCTCGTGGGCTATGATTTGGCGCATGGTGCCCAGGATGGTGTCGTAGCGCTGGCTCTTCACCCCCGCCGTCTGCATCCGCCGCCGCACCACGTCTAGCGGGTAGGAGGCCGACTGCCCGATCAGCCCGGCGCAGGCTCCGAACACCATGCGCTCGTGCGGGTAGGGCTGGGGTCTCCCGGTGTACTCTGTAACAAAACACACGGGGTTTGAGTAACAATCTGCCTGCAATGACTCCCTCCCTCCCCACAGGCTTCGCGAGTAATGCAAAACAAGCAGTATCGCACCCCAGTGACTGCTCTTACTTTTTCGTTTCGCCCACAATGTAGACACTCGAGTCAACTTTACAGTGTATCCTGGGAAGTGCTTTGAGACTTCTCAATGACGTGATAAGGCGCTGTATCAAGTGCAAGGATTATTATTATTATTACTGAATGAACTTGGGCAGCAAGAGTTGACAGGTTTCAGGAGCTGGGGGTAAAAAAAGTCAGCCAAGCCTCTACCCTGCCCGTCCTCTCTGGGGGACACAATCAAGAGTGAAAATAGTCCAGGTGTCACCAGCACCTTGGGACGTCCTCCTGACGTGAAAGGCGCTATAGAAATGTAATTTGTTGTTGTTGTAGTAACTTGCCAACTGCTGCTCAGTTAAATGAGGTGTCATTGCACAGCAGGGACTGGGACATTCCCATCAAGCGCTCTGGGACGCTTCCCTGTGCGAGGGGAGCTATATAAAAGCAAGTCGTCGTTGATGCACTGTACCCGAGTGGAAGCTCTTGCAGGTTTCGTAAGTGAAGAAGCTCAGCCCAGCGTATGGAATTACTCCCAGGATGGTGGGGTTGAAGCCGCTGTACAAGGTCTTCATTCCTTCGTCCCGTGACGTCCGGATAAAAACATGCACAATGTTACTGTACCTGTGGGGATATGAGGCACATGCATCAGTGTGGTGGGGAAAGCACATGCGGAAACACACTCACACAGGGACACTGCCACCTGGGGGAACAACTCAACAACTAAGAAATCAAACCCATTAAATCAGACAGGAAAAGGCTAATGGACCTTTCTCAGTTAAACACTAACTCTCCCTTCTTCAACTGTGCATTCAACCCCCACCCCCACCCAACCATTCGTATCTTCCAGATCGCATCCATAGGAACAGGCAGACAGACAGACAGAATCAAAACCAAGCTCCTCAGGCAAGTTAAAGTTTCCCCCCCCCGGTTCTGTGTTGGAATGTCAGCCTGGATTCGAAGCTCGAGTCCCAGTGTGTGACTCAAACCCACAATCTCCCACTTACAAACACCGACATGGACACAGAATGGTGGTCTCAGGACTTACATTTCTTTGGGTGTCACAGCCATTCGGGCCCGGACAGTGTCCAGAGGGTAGGTCATTATTGTGGCTGTGATTCCGGCCAATGATCCCGCCAGGAGCCGAGGCAGGGGCGGCAGAGGCCTGGGGAGAGGAGAATAAAAAAAAAGCTATTATTTTTGTGATGAAAGTTTAATTCTTTAACACACAGAGTAAAGTAGGGGCAGCTAATACCAACAGTTTCCCCCAGGACTGGAGACGTTAAGTACATTAAGATGACACCCACATCCCCAAAAAGGAGTTTGTCTCAAAGACCGAGTGAGCAAAGGCCCCGTCAGTTACAACACAACGTCACACAGATTTGAAAGTCAAAGGTTTGAGTCCCTTGCCTGTGTTAAGTGTTCGAAACTGGGGCAGTTAGTCTACAATTAGCCTTAGTTCTCCTTAAGTTAGTTTGGGGGTGGGTAGGGGAATAAATTTAGCACGAGTTCCCAATCTTCCCACCACTGCAATATTTATATGTATGTGTGTCTATGTATATATATATATATATATATATTAAAAAAACAGGATCAGGGCATTATTGCAGTTGCCAAATATCCTGCCTTGTCTCCCACATGTATGTTGGTCCTTGAGGGTGAGGAGGCTACCCCAGGGGTGACAGCTGCTCTCAATCCATCCAGTTACTTACCTCCCAAAGGTGCCGCAGTAGGTGCCCAGAACCTGCTTGTACTGCTCGTGTGCACAGAACTGGATGGCGGCGTAGGGCACCACCCGCACCATGGTGGCCGAGTTCCCCCGCCACAGGCTGAAGAAGCCCTCCTTCAGGTACGTGCGGTAAATCAGCTTCACCACCTCCTGCAGGCAGCGGGCAGAGAGCAACGATCAGTGTCCGCTTCAAACGTTCCCAAAGTTGCCCAAAGTATCTCCCCAACAGCCACGTGGGAGATGGAACCTGGATTTCCAGCCCTTCCCCTTGCTGTGTTACAGGTATATTTACCCCATCCAGCCTTCTCCACAGTTGTATTAATCCATTACATTCTAATGCCATGTCTCCACTTCTCTCCTTAACCCTATTAATTCCCAAATCCATGTCCATTCCCTCTTCAAAGGCCTCAATGCAAGTTCAGAGTCTCCTCATGTGCTGCCAGTGACCCCCCCCCCCCCCCAGTGAAAGCGCTCCCTCTGGTGGGAGGGAACAGATGTTCAGCACGAGCAGGAAATACAATCTATTCAGATTTTCTGAACAGAATCACTTGAATAATAATAATAATCCTTGCATTTGATGTAGCGCCTTATCACGTCGTTGAGCCTTCACAAAGTGCTTCACAGAATACACTGGTAAAGTCAACTGACTCTATAATTTGTGGGTGAAACGCAGCAGCCAATTGCGCAGTAGTGTCCCACAAACAGTTGTGGATTGACTAAAAACCGGGTTCTTACTCACTGCTAGGTAAACAGAGGCATGTGTGGACTGAGGAAACTTGCTTAAGGTTTCGCCCTGCCCGGGAATCGGACCCAGGTCCTTTCGCTTACGAGTCGAGCGCTCTTAAACATCAGGGAGTGGAAGAAAAATGACGTCAAGAATTTAGGCCTTAATGTAAGGCACGAGTTTACCCGCCCAACACTGTCACAACCAGAATTTTCCCCATTTACAAAGACCTCAAGTGAATACATGAGATACTAGAGTGCTCTCTGGTGGCAATGAGCAGCCAATGCTTCCCCCTTGACAAGTTTTGCTCCATCCATGGAGTAATATGAGCCTCGTATTTTCAACCTTGTATTTATCTGCATAATGCACTTACGTTTGATAGGTGGTGATGGAGGGAGGACGTGGGGGTGGCGGGAGAAAGTACTCACCTTGGCAGAAAATCTGTTTGAAGACACTGTAAAAAGGGAAAAATAATAATCAGTCAGCCTTGACAACACTATAGCAACGGCTCCATCAGGGCAGGTTTGCAGAGGTTTGCACAGTGCCCGCTAAAAGCTTACAGCCAGGTAATAGTTTGTCTTAGATTAAACAGCTGCTGCTCTAGCACTTTAAAAATAGACTGTACTTTTCCCTCCAGTCACCGATGCTAGCCAGAGTGGGGTGTGAAAGACAGCACCATGTCCAGGCAGATGCTTAGCGCAAATTCATAACGGTTTTACAGCGTTTAATATTCACACAACATTTGGATGCTTCCCCACGACAGCCTTTGCGAGCAAAGATACAGCACCAAGCCTTACAGACCAGAGGGCTGAATGTTTCACGGAGTTACTCGTTATCAGTCAAGGTAACGTTAAAAAAAATCCAGAGAATATATGTATAATAATCCTTGCATTTGATATAACACCTCATCACGTCTTCCAGACGTCTCAAAGCGCTTCACAGGATATACCATAAAGTGAATTGACTGTATATTTTGTGGGCGAAACGCAAATCTCAGCCTCTTATGATACAATTCTAACACGTTACAAATTGATGTGGTTCGACCTGGCTTTGTACAGCTGTCAACATCTGTTAAGCCCATTGAGCAGGAATCGAATGCAGAGTGGGCTCTCAAATCAGACTCGTCCATCCTGCTGGGTTTACACTAAGTGTGCGGTGGTTACCACTGCTGGAGGATCAGTGACCACAATCTTCCTACCTTGAAATATGATCTTTGTTCTGTCCAGCGGTGCCACAAAGGTCTTGGCTACAGCCCCTGCCAGCGCTCCCGACATCAGGTTTATTACAATCTTTCTCTTCTCCCTCGTTGGCTGAATATGGCCAATTTAAGAGACCAGTGGGGGGGAAGAAAGAGCGAAAAACACTGATTTCAAAAGCATTTCTGACAAGAATTGCCTTTGTTACAACAACAACCTGCATTTATATAGTGCCGTTCACGCAGGGTAGAGTTCCAGAGCGCTTGACAGTGGCAGAGCATGACATTGAGCTGGGGAGATAGGGACAGTAATCGTGATCATGGTCGAAGAGGAGTCTTTAACCGTGACCTGAAGGAGGGATTGAGCGAGAGTGTTCCAGAGTTTCAGGGCGTAGTGGCTGAAAGTGCAGCCACCGATGAAACTGTGTCTCCCTGTTTTTGGTGGCAGAGGGAGGCCAACTTTATAAAGTGTTATTCACAAACTGGGAATGAAGTGGTTGGGAAATAAATGCTGGCCATTAAGGTCAGGCCGCTGGGTTTATCTACACTCCAGTCAGTACTGCTGTGAGTCACTCGTCTCGGTCAGATGTCCACGTATTTGTTCTTTAAACTCACTGTTGGAATATTGCAAAACCAGATCTGTTGACAATGTGAGCTCCCCCACAAAGAACAGCCACTTGTGAGTGGGGGTGGGAGCATTCAACACCCTTTACCTTTCCATTTCTCCCCCTCTGCAGCCCCCCCACACCACCCACATCACCCCCAGCCCTTCATCCGAAAACGAAACAAAACTGTCAAGGGAAAGGATTTTAAATAATACACCATAAAGCAAATAGAAGTCCACACAACTGAAGGAATATTGACCGCACTGCTCTGATATCCGGTGAACAGTTCATTGTTTCGCAACTAAAACCAACGTTTTAGTTGGTCAGTAATTGACCAGAAACTGTCCCGAGATGTGTTGCAATGTAGACTTGTGTCACCCTTGAAACTAGCGTGGACTAGCTCTTTACACGTGACTCCGTGGGTAAATGTGTCTCAAGGTCCACAGTAAGTAGAACATAACAGGTGTGTGTGTGTGTGTGTGTGTGTGTGTGTGTGTGTGGCTGCCCACAGACTCCTAGGGATGAGGGGGTGTCAAACGCTAGGCAACAAAGTCAGAGTTCAAGCTCCTTCACTGTTACACTGAGAAAACAGAGTTCAGCCTTGTGCTCTCAGAGAGGATGGGTGTGGGCGCTGTCACGGAAATTCCTAACCTTGTCGGCAGTAAATAATTCACAAGGCGCGAGTCTGGCTGGCTGAAACACGATAAAATGCACCGACCGCCATTCTGCCAAAGAGACTGTTGCACTTCAGTCGAGAGATCCATTAAAAAGTGGATTAAGAAGCTGCCAAAGTTACAGATTGCTGGACGGATGTTTAATCAACCCAAATGGGCACAAAGCACGTTGGTGTTATAACAGATCATTTCACACAAGAAGTGATTATGCTTTTAAAACTGTGGTGCTGTCTGGAGGGAAACAATGGAGAGATGCGAACAGGGTGCACTTTGTCTTCAAACACGGACCATTTTTTGGGGGAGGAGGAGGGAGAAGACGAGGGGAAGAGAATACACGTTTACTGTACTTCAACTTGCTACACCTGATCTCTCCCCCTACTTTATGAAAAATTCTAACAAGATGGTGAGAAGGTGGGGGGTGGGTGGTGATGTCTGTGTTTCTCTCTCTGTCTGTCTGTGAGTGTGTGTCTCTGCCAAGGTAAATTAACAATAGAGTGTTTCCATCACCACAGTAAAAGGAAGAAGATGAATATGCAAAGAGAGGGCTCTCAAAACCAAAACACTGGCCCCTCATCAAGCCCTGGTTACAGCAAGTTCAGAATCATAGGCTTAGATCGGGAGAACGTCAATAACCATTTAGTGTTGTTTATAGATTATTTCCTAATGCTTACAGCCAAGGTCAATGTTCACTTGAAACTGATAGAAAGGTTGTATGAGTTGCACCTGAACAGAGGCCAGAGCTGTGCAATGCTGTAAAAAACAGTCAAAAGGAGCTCCTCTGCTCTGCAGGGCTGACACACACACACAGGCACGCACACACACACCAGTAAGCTGACTAAAGTTCAATCATGGGTCTGTGCTCATACAGTTAGCTGTTGCTGCTGATCTCAGTCAGGGCAGCAGTCATGTGGAGTTGGGGAGGGAAGAGCGACAATTAGCTTCAGCACCCTAGGCAGAAAGAGACAAATTTTGGTGCTCATCCAGGCGAGGGCCTCAGTGTCTAGAGAGGGAGCACTTTGGTCGCTTCAGGACAGAGAGCAACAAGGACAGTTCGCTTGCTACAGAGCTATGAGATCACAGTTGCAGGATGGGGGGAAAAACAAACAGGATTAAACAACAGAATACTGTACAAACATCAGGCGCAGTTACAGACACAAGTGAAATAACAGTCGCGTTGGCATTCATCACCAGTCAGTCAGTCAGCAGAGGATTTCTCTATTCCCCCACCCCCACCATCCCAAACTGAATGACAGCAGTGTCTTGTGTAGATTCTTGCAAGACCAGCAACTTACAAACAAGCATCACTGGGAGCGAGCGAGCCAGCCAGCCAGTCATCAGTCTCACCGTGGCCTAAATGAGGCTCGTTAATTTAACAAAATAGAGCAGCTTTGATGGTGGTTGTCTGAAATGCTTACCAGCGATTCAGCGGCTTTAGCTGTGGTGGCTGCATGTTCTCCAAAGGCCGTCTTGTTCTCGTCTGCACCATTCCCCATTCCAACCCCACTCACTCATGCAGGGAGGGCAGTGCGAGGGGCCACTGGATTCCTGAAAACAACAACAACAAATTACATTTGTATAGTGCCTTTCAAGTCGGGAGGACGTCCCAAAGAAAAGTCACAAAGAAAGAAAACTCCAGCCTTGAACCATTTGACCCAGTTAAAACCATAGTCTTAACCAGTTCACAGGTGGCAATGGAACCAGTGAAGCCAGTTGAATATACGGGGCACATGTTTGATGATCAGTACAACTTGTAGGCATTTCTCAGCCTCAAAACCCAAACCAACAAGGATAAACTTGTTAATGTAAAGAGCGATTACTGCCTGTAGATGTTGGGAACTTATTCAAGATGTGATTGAACACAGACTCATTAAGAGATTCCCTTTATTTTTGCTCTCTCTCTCTCTCCAATTCCCTTTTCGCAGTTATGGTTATGTGGCAGACGCCACCGAATAAGTAAAAAAAAATACCACTTTTGTAAAAACACAGTTCCCTAATTTTTGTTGATTGATATCTGCTTCACCACTTGAACTTTCTCACATACCCTCCCCACCACCCACAGGATCAGCATTCACCCGGGAAACAAACCAACCCATATCAAAGGTCACCGTTAATCTCTAACTTGCTGGTGAATGTCTCGGGTCTGGTGTCGTTCAGTTTTACCACGTGCTGAGGAGTGACTGACTCACTGACGGCTTTCATCACTAAATGCACAAAGTCCAGCACAGACAAATAAACATTTGATTTGTGCCTTCAACCAAAACATCTCAAAGAGCTTCACAGGTGACCCACAATTGTGTTTGTGTGTAACAATAATAATAATCCTCGCATTTGACACAGCGCCTTATCACGTCTTCGAGACGTCTCAAAGTGTTTCACAAAATAAACTGTAAAGTGATTCGACTGTACATTTTGTGTAGTGAATGTTTGGGCAGGTAAGTAGTTTGTGGACTGATATATTTGGAAGGAACAAGACAGTATAACTCTGCTCCCCTGTACATTACTAAGAGAAACAAGGTAAGGAAGTAATACCAAACTCTTGGAGGGATTTGGGCTTTAGAATCAAGAGCGGCTGAGAACAAAAGAGTTGGGTATGAAAGGAAACAGCTTCTCTGGCACGAAGCTGTCATGTCAACGGGCTATCTAATGTCGTGTACCCTTTCCCTTGTCCTAAGCGCTGATGTTGCATATTCCAACCCAGTCTTTCAAATCAGATCCACATACTTCTAAAATTCTTGAAATGTTCCTCAGTAGGCACACAGACAGTCAATCTATTGACAGAGCCTGACTCATTCAAATGCATTCCCAGAAGTATTTTGACATATGATAGAACTATGCAAAATTGTAGATGTAACCGAGAGATCATTGCTGCATTACATCCTTTACCATTTTGAAGAACTGTATAACATTAATAATAATAATCCTTGCATTTGATATAGAACCTCATCTCGTCTTTGAGATTGCGCACAGCAGTGTCCCACAAACAGTCTGGATTTCTCTTTGACCGAGCCTTCAGCTCCCCTCTCGACTCTCTAACCCCTCCTCGCTCCCTCCCTTCCCTCCCCTCACCCTGACCATTTCCCCCCTGCTCGGGTCCTGACCCAACTGTACAGCGCCTTGGGACGTCCTCCCGACGTGAAAGGCGCTCAATAAATGGAATCTTGTTGTTGTTGTTGTTGAGGGACCATTTTTTGTTGTTTTTTTGAAGGGATTATTATCCCTGGAAAGGTGATCTTACAATCAACTAACAACCAGGTTCCTACTTGCTGCTAGGTTAACAGAGGCATGTGGAGTAAGGAAACTTGCCTAATATATATATTATATGATACAAACACACACACCCAGACACATACGTGTCAGAAGAAAGATCAGACTACATTTCACGAATTTCCAAATCCTCGCCATTGCACGTTTTGGATCGAAAGGCCAGGCTTTTAGTGATTTCCTTTTGTACAGAATGCAAACCTGTTATTCAGTCAGCGGCTGCTAAAACTAGTCTGTTTTTTTTTAATATAATCGATAACTTGCAATTTACTGATAAGCATGGAATCCTGCCAGACGTTGCCCAATATGCTGCGGCAGTTTGAAAGAAAACATCTGTCAGTCCCTTCCCTGCTCTTCATCTGGAACTTTGCCAAGGTCCTGTCTCATAAACAGCCATGAAATGATCGATTTTTTCTCTCTAGGGGATTGTTGGCCAGGACACCAGGAGAAACTCGCTCCTCTTTCCAATAGTGCCATTCGATCTTTAACGTCCACCCTAATAGGTAAATGGAACCTCGGTTTAACATCTCATCCAAAAGGACGGCACCTCCAACAATGCAGCACACAGAGACACACAGACTGGTAGAGAGACAGTGTGAGAAACACAGAGAGAGTCAGACACGGAGACAGGCATACACAGAGAGACAGAGGAGAGACAGACACACTAATGGTAGAAATCTGAGTGTAAATTAAACCAGTATCCTTTTGGAGGTTCTCTCTAAGTCTGTCTTTGATTTTCTGTAACCAGCTGCCAGCTGGGATGACTCACAACCTAAATATGATCCGCTCAGGGAACTGAACGATACTCATTTCCCCCTCACCTAGTTCGTGAAGGAGCTCGTACAGGAAATCGCAGGTTTGAACTCAAGCCCTGCAAACTCCAGGAGTGAGCTCACATTACACCACTGTAGTCGTCCAAGAAACAGCACTGCGCTCACACCCAGATCACACAATAACAACCTTCACTAGTCTGCAAGACAGAAAATTGGTCAAATCGCTACGAGCAGAACTGCCAACATCTGCTTCCAAGCATCCCCTTAACAAATGTGTTCCACTGACATGGTCACATTTCACGCTTCTTGGCATCACTCGAGTGGCTCTGTTATAATGAAAATGAGGTAAAAGGGCAGTGCTTTGGGTGCTTCAACAAAGCTATCATCCGTTTGACAGGATTTTGACACTGAAACCAAACTAAGCCTTGATGGGAATGGTTCTCAGGCCGCTGAAACTCTTGTTCATGCCTTCATCATCTCCAGGCTCGACTATGCAGACGCCCTGCGACTCCTCCCTCCACAGCTGCAGATAATCCAGAACTCTGCAGCCCGTGTCCTCTCCCACACCAAACACCGTGACCCTATCTCCCCCACTCTCGCCCGACTCCATTGGCTCCCTATCCTTCAGAGGATCCAGTTCAAGATCCTGGTCCTCACATACAAAGCCCTCCATGGCCTCGCCCCACCCTACCTCTGCTTCTAACCCCCTACCAACCCGCCCGTTCCCTCCGCTCAGCCGGCTCCGGCTGCTCCACTGGTGGGAGAGCCTTCAGCCACTCTGCCCCCAACCTCTGGAATTCCATCTCCCAGTCACTCCGCCTCGCCCCCTCCTCAAGTCCCGCCTCAAGACCCTCCTCTTCGACCATGCCATCGGCCACCCCCCTTCCCTCCCTTCCCTTCTCGCCCCTGACCCCAGCTCGGGTGTGAAATGCTGTACACTGTCCAGCGCCTTGGGACGTCCTCCCGACGTGAAAGGCGCTATACAAGTGTAATCTTGTTGTTCTTGTTCTTTCAATGTTGTGTCAATGAAATAGTTCTCACAAAATGAAACAAAAAGTTCTACCACACACACAGATGCAAAGATTTAAATTCTACTAAGGGGAAGTCGAAAATGAAAATTTCCCACTGCACTGAAGCGCGGCTTCTGATAGAGGCATCAAACAAGATATCCCCCACATCGTCCCACGGCTCTTGCAAGGAGACCAGAAACGAGCTCCAGAGCAAATGAAAGACAGATTCTGAAACCCAAACCAGTGTTTAAGAAGGAACCTTTCAACCGGCGTCAATATACAGTTCAATTCCTGGTAGGAAAGTGATAATTTCCGGCCATTACATTTACCAAACAGTTTGACACAGCGATGGGGAGATGGTAGCCTGGGTATTCTGTCAGGATAAGATCAATTGGGCCAAACGGCCTTCTTCATTCAACCCTCTATTTTGAACTTGCATAGTCACAGCTCAATTGCTACTTTAAGAGATCCTGTTAATTTTGAAGCAGCATTTTTAACATAACGTCTAAACAGGCTTACACCATGTAATTGCTCCATCCTGAGTAATTATCATTGTATTTGATATAGAGCCTTATCATGTCGTTGAGACAGCTCAAAGAGCTCACTGCAAACTAACTGTATTTAGTGGGCGAAATAGCCACAAAAAACCTTAAGGATGACATTGAGCTGATTAACACAAAATGCATAGTGATCTCTCATGTTAGGATATGCACAGCCTTCGATGCAGTATATTATGTGTGTAACTTACTTTAAATGCATAAAATGCCTCCAATGTCTGTATAACTGAAATTGTGCCTGTGCAAGCGAAAAATAATTTAGTACCAATCAGCACATCACCATCCCTGTATGTGGAAGGTGCTTTCATGACAGGTTCGGCTCCCAAATTCCCTCTTTAACTCTACGCCAAAAGTCGTGTGTGAGGCGGGCTATTCAACCATGAAAGGGATAGGGAGGGGAAACAAATTTTATAGAGTAATGCACACTACAGTAAATGAAAATACCATTGGACTTTTATGTATTACCACTGATCTGTTTAGTGACTGTAGATGTGGAACAGTCCTTCTTGTATAATACAATAACTGAGTAGTCCAAATAGAAATGATTCCGTTCATTCGGCAGCTGCTTCTGCAACCAGAAATAACTGCAGCAAAGGCATGTATCGCATGCAATATACAGTGACAACTATTGAGGGAGCAGGGAAATTGGAGATTGTATTCTGCAGGCTGTTGTGTCAGCCTGGTACAGTGGTAGCACTCTCACTTCTGAGTCAGAAGGATGTGGGTTCAAGCCCCACATCAGAATGGCTTTGTTCTCTATGATTCTACCTGAAAGCACATTGCCGATTTGTAAAAATGACAGATAAGCAACTTTTTAATAAAAAATTGTCCTGCAGGTTTAATGTGCAAATCCTATTGTCTAGGACAACCTCTGAATGAGGTTTCCATCCTGTGAGCTAAGACTCAATTCCCAAGTTCTCTCCATTGGGAACGACCACACAGGCAAGTATGTGGAACCAACCCTCATCCAATTAACACCTTTCACAGTCATGGAGAAAGTCAGTGGGGAAACTTGGAGTGAGGACCATCTCTTCAGGTTTAAGAGTCAGCAGGAAGAATCACCAACAACTCACGCTCCTATGGTAATAATTTGGGCATAAGAAGCATAGTGGGTTAAAGCACATAATCCTTTTATTTGGTTTGAATCCAGGCACAGATGGAATGAAATTCTCTCTCTCTCTCTCTCTGAAAGATCTAAATAAAATGAGCTTTGACCTGTCTCAACCCAGTTCCTAGCGGGCATTACATCTGTCACACAACATTGGGCCCCGCGGTTGGTAGTCTTGCTCCTAAAGATCAACAAGGTTATGGGGCATAGAAGAGTCAGACCACACAAATGGTCAGACATTTTGAAAAACAATCATGACGCGAATTTTACCCAGTTCTTTCAATATCCTATCACAGTGACATTAACCAGAGATAAAACAATTATTCTGAGTGCTGGATACCAATCAGATGCCTGAAATGGAAAAGCATTCTGCTTCTCAATATCAATATTCCTCACAAACAGAAGCACTAAAAACAATTTGCATTTATATAGCGCCCCTCATGCAGGGTAGCGTCCCAGAGCACTTGATAGTGGCGGGGCCTGACTATGAACCGGGGGAGGGGGGAGGTGACCTTAGGCACGATCCAAGAGGAACGTCTTCAGACGTGACCTGAAGATGCGGGAAGGAGGGGGCAAGGCAAGATAGAGGAAGAGTGTGGCTGAGTTTTGGGATGTAGAGGTTGAAAGCGCAGCCACCGACAGTGAAACAGAGGGCACGAGGGACAAGCGGGAGACCGGAGCCAGTCGGGCGAAGGCAGCTCCCCCTGCACACTGCAACTGGACACCGTAGTCAAAATTTGTGAAGCAGGAGACAGCAGAACTGCTATCATGAACATTTCGAATTAAATTGCAGACAGCTTCTGTGCCTGAAGGTATTTGTATTAGATATTGAGCCATATATACAAGAGTTGAGCTTTCCCATGATCACGGACCAGCTAACATTCCATACAGGTTTGCACATTCCCATTGTTCATACAGCCTCCAGGGCATTTAAACAGCTTGAGTGAGTATAGACAGTAAAAATAAACTGCTTGCCCTGCTCAGCACCATAACCTGAATAATGTTTTAGCATTCACCCAGATCAGAATGTCTCATTTCTAACCCAATCGCAATCCTTTTCAACCCTCCTGGTGTCCTCTGAGTGGCTCTCAGTTCACTACCTCGGTTTCCAAAACAGCGAGCGCAAAGTTACCCAATAAGATGAATAACCTTAAAGAACAGGCATGTCATGTCATCGCATCCGTTCCCTGAAGTAACACGTAAAACCCACCAACAATTTAAAATGAGCCCTCTGTCCTTTTCAACCCCACATACTAATTTCTCTCTCCAGGCTATTTCAAAACAGCCAACAGCAACACCCAAACGACTATCCCAGATTAGGTAGGCTTGACAATATTTTACAATGAAAAGAAAGATCTCTTCTTGGATTGACAACAACTTGGTCGTGTCAAATGGAATTCAGCTGCACCTCAGAATGAAAGGGACTTACTTCACCACCACCGCCACCAGCCCTTCTTCTGTTGAGTCTGAACAACTCCAACTCCAGGCTCTCTGTGCTTCCTGCTGCAACCCAGTTATAATAATAATAATAATAACTGAGTCACTACTCAATCCCTGTGCTGTCCTGGCGTCCTACTGCTCAATGTCAAGGCTCTCTTCTGTCCTGACTTCTTTTTCCACAGTCTCTCTCTCTCTCTCTCTGACTTGAGCTCTTGCCCTTACAAAAGACCTGAAGAGTTGCAGGTTGAGCCTGAGCGCTACCCTCTGAGCTGTGCTGTATCTCGTCTTGGCCCTGCCCAGGACTTCCCTCGTTGTCCTATCCCAGCACCAGAGCTCTGCTGCTGTCCTGAATTGTCCTGTCCTGTCCTGTCCAGGTCCAATCTCCTCCCTCGAGCTCTGCTGAACTGATCTTGAGCCCCAGAACCACTGCCCAGGACCCCAGTCCAGTCCACTCTCTGCTGAGCCTGTCACCCCCCCCTCTCTCTCTCTCTCTCTCTACTGAGCCTGTCACCCCCCCCTCTCTCTCCTGAACCTGCCCCCCCCCCACTCTCTCTCCCTCTCTCCTGAGCCTGTCACCCCCCCTCTCTCCTGTGCCTGTCACCCCCCCCTCTCTCCTGTGCCTGTCACCCCCTCCCTCTCTCCTGTGCCTGTCACCCCCCCCCCCCCCCTCTCCTGAGCCTGTCACCCCCCTCCCTCTCTCCTGAGCCTGTCACCCCCCCCTCTCTCCTGTGCCTGTCACCCCCCCCTCTCCTGTGCCTGTCACCCCCCCCTCTCCTGTGCCTGTCACCCCCCCACCCTCTCCTGAGCCTGTCACCCCCCCACCCTCTCCTGAGCCTGTCACCCCCCCCCCCACTCTCTCTCCCTCTCTCCTGAGCCTGTCACCCCCCTCTCTCTCTCCTGTGCCTGTCACCCCCCTCCCTCTCTCCTGTGCCTGTCACCCCCCTCCCTCTCTCCTGTGCCTGTCACCCTCTCTGGGTGTTGCCCTGCTCAGTTAGTCAATGCTCAGCTCTGTATTGGCTGTGTCCCTACCCCTCCCTCCCTCCCTCCCTCTTGACTCCAGTGATGAGTGCAGTAAAGTCTGTCACACTGACCTGACCTCCTGACTGACTCCAACTCCAGTCAGTGAGTGAGTGAGTGAGGTCTCATTGCCTTAAACTTTGTTGACAGTGTAGAGGGAGGGAGAGGGAGGGGGGAGTTGTGGGATACAGGAGGACCTCCCGCCCTCTTGACTGCCCACCAGACGCCTCCCCACCACCGAAAGCTCCTGACCCCACCCCCCTCCACCCATCCTTTTCCTCATTGGTCCAAAGCGCCGGGCGGCGCCGCGAGCGACAGGCGGCTTGACCAATGGGAGCACAGTCGGACCGGGAAGGTGGGGCCACGCGCGGCGACCGGCAGCCAATCACCGCGCGGGGCGGCGTGATTGACGTCTCGCGCGGCCAATCAGACAAGAGGCCCGGCCGTTGGACGGGGTTTTCAAAATGTCATTTAAAATTTATTTTTTTATATTAACTAAAATTAAAATAAAGACGTGTTTTGTCCGCAGCAGCGCCACGGGACGTGGCTGATCAGGTTTGTTGTGTGTGTGTGTGTGTGTGTGGGGGGGAATTAAACGTCCGCCGCCGCCGCGGTTACCGTCACTTTTCACTCACTCCTTCCCTCACTCGGCGGCCCCCGGCGGTGTTGACACCGGAAGTAGAATGACGCAGCCCGAGTGACTGACGTCCCCCTCGGCCAATCGGAGTGAGGCACCCCGGCTGAGGCCCGCCCGTGGGCGTGGCTCCAGTGTGTCAATCACTCCTGCTGTCAATCATCATTCATTCATCGAATCAATCACTCCTGTCAATCAAATCGATCGATCCATCAATCAATCACCCTGGAGTCAATCGATCACTCCTGCTGTCAATCAAATCAATCAATCAATCCATCAATCAATCACCCTGGAGTCAATCAATCACCCTGGAGTCAATTAATCAATCTGGTGTCAATCAATCAATTAATCTTGTATCAATCAATCAATCAACCAACCAACCAATCATAATTATAATGATCCTTGCATTTGATATAGCGCCTTCTATCATGTCTTCGAGATGTCACAAAACACGTCGCAGGATAACCCTTGTAAAGCGAATTGGCTGTATTCTGTGGGAAAAAATTAATTGACCATTCTGCTGTGAATCGAACACCCTGGCGCAGCGGCTGAGATTGTCTTTCCCTCGGGAGGAAGAAGGGGCTGACACGCACTCTGCAAGACGTTTGAAAAGAGTCGCAGGACAGGAGATAAATCAGGGAGTGTTTTAAGCTGACACTAGGTTTGAGTTTTGAAAGATTAATAGGAGGAACGGTGGAATGAGGGAGAAGAAGAACTCCACCGCCTTGAGGTCCCGGCAGAGAACACATTCTTGATTTCAAAAACGAGGAGAAAGATTGTGAATAATGGAGATTTGAATCCGGGAAAGAAGATGGATAATCACAGAAGCAATGACCAGGGCAGTGTAGATAAAACAGGGACAGCAGTAAAAATAGTGGGGGATTTGAGCACATGAACAAGCAAGCCAAGAAGGGGTGGTGGTGGGGTGGGGAGGGAGTGGTGTTAAGGGAAGAAAGAGTGTGGTAGAGGGAAAAAAGGCAAAGTTGCGGTTTCTTTCAGTGAATTTAACAACCTGTCAGAAATTTTAAAGAAAACACTTATGTTTGCAATAGCTTTACCCTCGGCAACACCAAGGCAGCCACAAAGAGTTCAGTATGCGATGGGTGACAACATGATCAAGGCACAGTGCTCACTCTGTGGCAAAGTGCTCACAAGTGCAGTGTCAACAAAAAAAATCCTACAAACAGATGTTTAAAAACATGACAGGGAAGCATGACGACGATGTGGGGGGGGGGGGGGGGGGGCGGGGGGGGGTGCAAATCACAGGTGTCAGATTTCTAAACTCAGGAATCTCAAATTGGCAAAATCTCTTAATAAAAAAAAATCACTTAATAAAATGTTTTCCCTTCCTCGTTTTCCCATCTTACTATGTGCCGGCTTTTGCGCCAATTTATTCCTCTCTCCTTAGTAGTTGCCCCTCAGTTAGTTATCTTTAAAAACGTATCTCTCTCCTCTTTAAGATCACTCAGGAACATTCGCCCTCTATCCCTCTTTCTTGCCCCCTTCTTCCCCATCTTCAGGTCGCGCTTGAAGGCCTTCCTCTACGACCGTGTCTATGGTCACCTTCCTCCCCCCTCCCCCGGTTCAGCATTGTGCTCCGTCACTGTTAAGCGCTCTGGGACACTACCCTGCATGAGAGACACTAGATAAATGCAAGTTGTTGTCATCTGTGGGTGAGAGCAGGCAGGTAACCTCTTTCCTGTGAGCGCTGACACTGCGTGCCCCCACCTATTCCCAGCCTGCCCAAACAGGAATCTTCACACACTACTTAACTTTAGCGTACAAATTTAGGACGAAAGGTGTACTGGTGGGTAATGTTTATTCTCTCGGCTCAATATTTTCACACTGAAGCACTGAAAGCTTCAAAATAAGGCGTCAAACACAGGGGGAAATATCAACCACCCTGAAAAACATTTGAAAAAATTAAAAAACATCAATATATTTTCTACAACACTAGATTTCAATGCACACATTACCCAATATTCAGCTGGCCGGCATACTGTATTGATTTCAGAGTTTTTGAACAAATAAGGCAATACTTTGGGGGATTTATGGATTAAAGTACAGGTACAATTATCAAACGCAAGAATTATTCTTATTATTACTGGTGAAGTGTTCTGAATCTGTTATAAGCGTGCAGTACATGCTGTGTGTCACGAGAGGCCACTGTGAGACAAGTTAACTGCTGTTTGGTGATGGTGGTATTGGAGAAAGGAACCAAATACCTTGAAGGAGAAAAAAAAGGTAACAAGAAGAAGATGGGGAAAAAAGTGAAGGATTTGTTTTGTGTTAAAAAAAGGCAGATTGACCTCCCGATAGCTTTAAAGGGGGGAGAAATGTGTACCAGAGGAACGTAATAGCATTTAAGTGTTAAGCTAACCTATCAGAAACCATTGCAGCTTCCCGTGTGATTCTGTGCTGCTCTCTAGTGACAGGCATCAGATATTGTGGGGAATATGATTTGCTTCTTGCTGTTTTGTCCCCTCACTGGTTTGATACTTTACACAGAAATGTTCTGATGATGCCTCAAGCCTCATCAAAGGCAGAGAAGGAGAAACTCGCAGGAAAGGCATGAAATGCTACAAACACTTGAAAAGCACAGCAGAACCGGAAAGGACGGTTCCATTAGTCGGATGGGTCTCAAAGCAGGGGGTGTGAAACTAAATCACCATAAATAAATCAGTAAATAAAATCATCATCATCATCAATCAAAATCGTCAACAATCATAAACAGAAAATCAGTACCGGAAGGTCTCACTGGGAAAACGGTGCATAATCTGTCACTCAGTATCATTAAAAATAAATAAACTTGCGTGCAAGAATTCAGCCGAGTCCCAGAGGCTGGAAACGTAGCATGTGCGGAGCCTCAGCCTGTATAGGTGGAAGGTCAATCCATCAGTACCCACCTGTACTTTGTACTTGCGACGTCCTTCCTGAACCTGAACACAGGTACAATGTCAGTGAGTGTCCGATTCAACTCCTTCCTCCTGGGCAGCGATTAGTGTCAGCTGCTTTGCTCGAGCTATTATTCAGTTATTGTCCCATAAACGGCCACCGACTGTGAAATGCTGCAACCACCGACAGTGAATACTCTAGCAAACGAAACTAAAGCCCAATTTTTTTTTCTCCCCCCCTTCCCCCACCCCACTCCCCCTTCCCTCTCTGTGAGTCCGTGCTTAAAAAGAACCAAAGCCAATGCGGTGAGGAGGTCCCTGTTAACGAGCGAGGTCCCCTTTTTTTCCGGTCCACAGTTCCCGCAGTTCCACTTTGCAGCCGAGGTCCCTCAGGGCTGCTTTGGCCAGATCCCCGCAGTCCTCGTGGGTGGACAGAGCCTGAGAGATCAAAGACTCCGCTCCCAACTCCAGGATTAGCTGGCAGAAGTGAGGGTTCCTGACCACCATGTTCCGCATCAACCCACAGACTTGTTTCTGCGGAGATCAAAAAGGGAAACGACTTGAGAAGGGTCCAGCGATGAGGCGTCTTGTTACAACACTTGGTATTTATAAAAGATCAACATAATAATCCTTGAATTCAATATGGCGCCTCATCACACCCTCAGACATCTCAAAGCGCTTCACAGAATGTACTGTAAAGTGAATTGACTGTATGTTTTGTGGGTAAAACTCAGCAGCTGATTGTATACAGCGTACTTAAGAAGCTGAACTGTTCCTAAACCCTCTACTCCCAGACTAGTGGGCTGAAATGCAGCCCCTGTCACTTGGAAGGGAGCACCTAACAATTGAACTTGCAGTTTAATAGCACCTCAAAGTACACAGTCAATTCACTTTACAGTATACTCTATGAAGCACTTTGAGATGTCTCAATGACGTGAAAACGCACTACCATTTGTACTAAAAAGACCCCACAATCAGCCTTGATGTGAATGACCAATTAATCTGGAGCACTGTTGCCAGGAGAAACTCCATTCTCTTGAACATGCAACGTGATCTTCAACATACAGAGACCGGGCAGATGGGACCTCGGTTTAATATCGCATCCTGAAGAAGTTAACAGAGAGACAGTAAGCTCTACCTGAGCGAAGGGGAGCTGCTGGTCTCTCATGCAGGACAGAGGAAAGCTATCTGCTGGTTTACCAGTGGGATAAGTGACTGCTCACCTGAACAGAGACATCTCCCGCATGAGCTTTCATTGCCTGGAGTGCTACCAGGGCACCGCCACCTTCCATGATCACCTTGGCGTTCTCTGGCTTCCGTAGAGCAAACATTGCCAGCGCTGCACAGCCCTGTTCACACACCTACACAAAACACAGCACAGTGACAGCTCACACACCTACACACAGCACAGCCCTGCTCACACACCTACACAAAATACAGAGACTGCTCACACACCTACACACAGCACAGTGACAGCTCACACACAAGCATGTTCACCGTAATGGAGGGAAAGAGCATCTCATTTGTACCAGCAATCTCCCACAAACCTCCGTGAGACAGACACTCAATATAGTCTGTTTTATGGCAGGTTTGGGATAAAGTCGGAATATGAGCTAGAGACACCCAGAGAAACTCCCTGCTCTTCCTTCAAAACAATGCTGCAGACTTGAGTGCGTTCGTCACCCAAAAACTTTCCCGCCTCGCTTCCTGAATGCAACACACTCACAGGAATACTCAAACAATATTAACAGACACTTGCCACCAACAAACCAGCAACACACCTGCCAGTCTCTCTCTCACTCACTCTGCCGCTTCTCGAGGCCCCAGTCTCTCTCTGTACCTGAGGGCTGCCGAGGTGCTGGTTCATGGCTAAGACAATCAGGTCTGTGCCCCCAGCGCTGACGATCGCGTCCTTGACTTCGTCGTTTCCCGCAATGTTTCGGAGCACACCCAGCACTTGCCGCACCAGCTCCTGAGATTAACACAGACACAGGATGAGAAACAACACAAGTCCCTTCTCACCACAAACACGAATGGTCTAATGGACAACACGATAGAATGTCAGGGCACCGCAATGAAGCTGTACCAACGCTCCGCCCTCTTGATATAGCGTCTTATCACGTCGTTCAGACGCCTTAAAGAGCTTCACAGGATATGTTGTAAAGTGGAGTGACTGTGTGTTTTGTGGGCGAAAGGCGCGAGCCAAATTGCGCACAGCAGTGTCCAACAAACAGCCATTAACAATCTTAGCCATTGGGAGGCGTGAAACAGAGGGCCAGAATACCTGCAAGGAGAGATGAAAGAGTGCAAGAAAGAGAACGCATACAAGAAAGGAAAAAGAAAAAAAAGAGACAAGAGAAAGAGTTATTTGTTACCCACAGACAATAGACAGAGCAAATGCAGACTCTCTCTCGTACCCGATGGTTAATGCAGTCGGCCAGTAACGCCACCAGGAAGTTCAAGCCTCCGAGATCCACAACGTCCTGACAGAACTCGTTCCTGACGGCCAGACGCCCGAGGGTGGCACACAGCTCACTGAGAACGCTCAGGTTACCTGTGAAACCTGTGTCGGGTGGGGTGGGGGGAAGGGGGTGGGGAGGAGGGGGAACGACAGAAGGCACATCATTCAGGACAGCGCCAGGGAATCTGCAATTACATTTAAGCACGGTGAATAAATCATCATGACTGATATAAAAAAAAAATAATCCATGGCGCGTTTTATGTCAAAAGGTCCCAAAGTGATTTACAGGTATTAATTACTGACAAACGTGGCACTTTGCGCACAGCGACGGCCCACAATCAGCGTGGGACGAAGATTAAAGATCCCACTGCACATCTCAACAAGAGTGTCCTGGGAGATAGATTGGTCATTCACTTCCAAGACTTTGTGAGACCTCGTTACGCGCCATTCAACTGCTGTATGTGTCTACAGATACACAGCCGTCAATGGGATACAATGGGAGTTATATCAAAGTCAAGAGTCACTGTACTGTTAGATACCTTTGGCTGCTTCAATGATAATCTTCAGCCCGTCGTTTTCCGTTACGATCAGCCTGGCGTGGTCGTGGGCTCGGCCGAAGGGAACTCTGATGTCGTCGTCGAAGGTCATGACTCTGAGAGCACCGCTCGCCTCCTTGACCAAGTCGGCCTCATGGACGTGGTTGGCGATGGCGGAGGTCAGCAGGCGGAGCACGCCGAGCCTCACCATGTCCTGCCGGTTCTGCTCGTGCTTCAGGCAGGCGTGTCGCACGGCCCGAGTGGCAGCGATACAGAGATTAGCGTCGCTCGAGTTTCGTGTCAGCACCTCCACCAGCAGCCGCTGGCCCTCGGGGTCCAGGAGGTCGGGTTGCCCATCCAGCAGTGTTCCCAGGGCCTGGAGACCGATCAGCAGCCGCGGCTTGTCACCCAGCAGCCGTGTGCAGGACCCCAGCACCGTCCCGTACGCTGACTTCTCCGCTGCCAGATGCCGGGAAGCAAAGTCTCGTCTGCACAGCTTCCCGAAGGTGTCCAGGCACTCGGCCATCTCGTCAAGGGAAGAGCGCTCCAGAGCTTGCTGGACAGAATGCAGGGCCTGGAGTACAACACACACACACACACAGCAAATGTGTCATTGCAAAGCAACCAATTCCTTTGCAGGAGTGCAGAGCCCAAAGGTCTCACACAGCACTACAGACCAACACGTGCACCCCCACCCCCACATTCTCCCTCCCTCCCTCCCACACACACACCCTCTATCTCACCAATCATAACCCAATGAGGAGCCCAATTTCTCTCAACATTATTTTATTGATGAGGTTACAGTTGAGCCCCACTTTATGGGCACCTCAGTAATGAGACAAACACACTGATAAGGCCACTCTTTCACAAATTGGACGTCCCAAAGTGCTGGACAGTGAGGGAGGGTCTTGCACAGAGCTGGGGGTTGGAATCAACAGGGGTGAATGGCAAGAGTGATGGGGGTGGGAGGATGACCAAAGGGATTCCACCGCTCCCACTCCAACGGAAACTGACAGTGACCGAAAAATCTCCACTCACCAATAAGCTCAACATGTATCAGTCTATTGACTATGTTTAACAGTGAGTTTTCCTTGTATTAAAGTAACAAAGAACATCCTGCGTCGGCATCACCTGCAGGACCTCGTGTTGCCCTCCTGTCTCTCCGCCCGTCCCCGGCACAGCTCGGATTATATTATTCAGGTCAACACCTGCAACAAGAGAAAGGTTTCACAGCTCGATGATTCAGCAGCATCTGGAATATCATGTACAGGTTTGTAAGTCTCCCCGATAAAAAGGGTGTTCAAGCCACGGAGGGAGGGCTCCGTTTGGATGCGACGGCAACAACAAATTGCATTTATATAGCAGCCTTTCAGGTCGGGAGGACATCCCAAAGCGCTGGACAGTGAGGGAGGGGTTTGCACAGAGCTGGGGATTGGAATCAACAGGGGTGAATGGCAAGGGTGGTGGAGGTGGGAGGATGACCGAAGGTATTGAGATAGTCCTTGAAAGAGGGAAGGGAAGGTTGAGGCAGAGGGACTCCGGGATAGAGTTCCAGAGGATGGGGAGCAGAAAGGCTGAAGGCCTGACCATCAGTGGTGGAGCAGAGGGGTCCGGGTGGGGGGGGGGGCATGGGGCAGGCCGAGCGAGGGAAACGCACCTTGAGACTCAAACTGCTGGATCGCATCGTTCAGCGCCTCTTCTGGCTCCATGTCAAACTCCGAGATATTTTCCTGCACCACATCATCGAAGGTCTCCTGGGTAATGCGTTTGCCCGCCATCGCCCAAAAAAGAAATGACACCTCCGCGCAAAGGAATTCCGGTCCGCGAGTTCTATTCTCCTTTGTATGTGAGGAAAAAAATGTAAACAACACGTGGATTTACCCAGGAATACATTGTCGGTTTTTTTTTATCTTGAAGGGCGGGGAGGTGATGGTGGGGGAGGGGGTGGGTGGGGGGTGGGGGAGAAAGAAGGCCGACTCAAAGCAGAGCGATGTGACGGTGCGACTGTAACCGTCGGAGAGGCCATGTCTTGAGATTCAGTATCAATTCATAACCATCGCAGCAACAACAACAACAACAACCACCACCACTAACCACCGCCCCCACCCACCCCCCCCCCCTCTTGCGTTTATTGGACGTCGCTCCTTGTCGGGTCCCCGAGCCGTCGCGAAGCCCTTCGCGGGAACGCCAAGCGTCGAGTGTGGCGACGGCCGCGCGCCCCCGTGTGGGCGCAGCGACGGTCCCGACCGCCCTCCCGGGCCCCGGCCCCCAACAGGCGCACGGGGGCCCGGTCACCGCACGCGACAGAGGGCCGTCCCGGCGAAGCGCTTGTGAGGCCGTACCCAAAACGCGGGGATTATTATTATTATCATCATCGTCATCATCATTAATATTACAGTAACACTCCCCATCGCAGAGGCTTCATGACGGTCCAGATGGAGAAGAGAAGCTGCTCTGTTTGCCCAACACCCCCCCAACACCCTCCAACACCCCCAACACCCTCCAACACCCCCCAACACCCAACAGGCGGCCCGCGGGCCGGTTACCTGGTGAATCACTGAGCAGCGGCCGCGGTGGTGGGGAGTGGTCCGTCAGCCAAACCCCTCCCCGCACCCCCTGAACTAAGGTTCCGGCGCCGCAGCCGCAGCCGGAAACCTTTCTCCCAGCGGAACAGGAAGGGGAGGAGCTTATCTCCCGCCCCTCCCACACACACACACACACCACCACCACTGGTACCTTCAGGAGAGGTCCTTCAGCCACAATGGCTCTCAGCGCTGCTCAGGTTTCTGTTCAACTCGCGATGATCGTTAGTTTTTTTTAATGGAAACCTACAAAACTCTTCCCCTCCTCCACACCCCCACACACACCCACACACCCCACCCCCCCCCCCCCCCCACACACACACACACCCACACACACACCCCAAACACCCCCACACACACACCCCAAACACACACCCACACATCCAACCCCCCCCACCCAAACACACCCCCCCCCACACACACACACCCAACCCCCCCCCCACCCAAACACACACCCACACACACACCCCAAACACACACCCACACACCCCACCCCCCCCCACACACCCACACACACACACACACCCCCACACACACACACCCACACACACCCAAACACCCCCACACACACACCCCAAACACACCCCCACACACACCCAAACACACACACACCCAAACACACACACACCCAAACACCCCCACACACACACCCCAAACACACACCCACACACACACCCCCCCCCACACACACACACCCCCACACACACCCAAACACACACACCCAAACACACACACCCAGACACCCCCCAAACACCCCCCCCCACACACACACCCACACACCCCCCCACACACCCCCCCACACACACCCAAACACACACACCCAGACACCCCCCACACACACACCCCCACACACACCCACACACCCCAAACACACCCCCCCACACACACCCCCCCCCCCCCCCCCCGCACCCCCCACACACACACACCCCCCAAACACACCCCCAAACATACACCCACACACACACCCCCAAACACACACCCACACACACACACCCCCAAACACACACACACCCACACACACAATTTCAATGCGCTAAATCAGTCAACAACAACGGGATTTGTATAGCGCCCTTCACGGTTTGGTGGCGTCCCCGAGCGCTTTCTGATTCTAAATAATAATTATTATATAATAATCCTTACATTTGATACGGCGCCTCATCGCGTCTTCGAGACGTCTCAAAGCGCTTCACAGAACATACTGTAAAGTGAGAGGACTGTGTATATTGTGGGCAACATGTCAGGTCCCAAAGCATCCTCACAAACAGGATTTACTCTCAGTGTAGTGACTGTGTATTCCTATCAGGGATGGCGCTTGCCGAGGGTGTGAGACGGTAAGTGACGGAGTCATGATGACAGGGCCCTCTCTTGTTGCCTCGGGACCCCGTGCAATTGCACGGGTTATGTGTGCCTAACGCTGCCAGTGATTACTAATTGGCAGCCAATTTTGCAGAGAGCAGTGGTCAGACGGGGCGAGGAAGGGGCAGGGCGCGCGCGTGAAGAAATGCCGCCGGAGGAATTTTCTTTGTCGCAACAGTTTACATTTATACAGCGCTGTTCACGTCAAAAATGCGATTTTTACTCGCTTCCCACAGGCACACTCTTCTGAAAGGGCTGACGCTGTCTGTGGGGCACAGGCACCAGCCACCACCCCCTCCTCCCCCATTATTTCACATAGGCATTCTCCGTGTGTGAACTTACATCGTGATCGTCGGCAGGGAATTCAAGCACTGAGGAAACGATGAAACAACGGGAGGAACATCCTTCTCTTTTCAAATCGTATCGTGGGATTTTGATGCCCAGCTGAAGAAGCAAGTGGCGGACGGGCCTTTGCTAATATCTCAACCAAAGCTCATTGAAGAAACAAAGCAACTGTCACTTGTTTCAAGCCTCGCATTGATTCCCCATCTTAGTGTGGTACAAATTCACACTTTTTCCCCAATAACTAGCTACCTTTGCTTAATATCTAAAGTCAATCAATTTCCTCTGAGGTCAGGTCCTCCTTGACTGCCAATCCCACGATGTCACAAAGAGGTTATCCAAGAGATATGACAATTTAGGAAGGATTGTTTCACTTACACCAGGGATGGTCCAGCCTTTTGGCTGCTGAGGGCCGGATGCCCTATTTGAGAAATGTCCAGGGGCCATATGAAGCAATATTTTTGTGTTTCCCATCCGGAAACATAATATAAAATTCAACGGGTCATGGAGGGAGCCGGTGGGCCAGATGAAATGGAGGGGGTGGGGGTGGATGAAATCGGCCCGCGGGCCGCCAATTGGATGGACCACCCTCTCTTACGCTCACTCATTCAAGAAAAATAACAATATACATCCACAGTAAATGGTTTCTATATATGGGTGCACGGCATTTAATTAATGAAGAATTGCCACCAATGAGATGCATTGCGTCACCATCCCAAAAAGGCCGTTCCCTCAACTTCAAAGGTCATACTTTGAGGTCATCAGAGACATTACTAAAGACCTCAAATGGGATCATGGCTAGGCTGGAGAGACAAGATAATGGAAGCCCCCTTTTATTCCCATTCCCTCATCGTTTCTCTCTTTAGCCTATGATTTTTATTTGTTTGTTTTTTAATTCATTCTTTGCTCAATCATTCAGGTATCCTCATGATGTTTTTTTTTTGGGGTGATCCAAAATTTTTATCAAAAATTTACTTTTGTTAAACTTGTAATAAAACTTATAAAACAGTTTGAGGGCCACGACTATAAATAGCCTCGAGAGGTATGACGCTCGCCGAGACTTCACAATCGCAAATTATTACAGCCAAAGGTATTAGCCAATTTACTCATAAGGTTACTAACTTGAGAAATATCAAAAAACATGGCCAATACACCATGTCAGGAGACACATTTCTGTCGGAGTTAGGTTATAAACTAGGGAAAACTATTGGCGAAGGCAGCTACTCCAAAGTCAAAGTAGGTAGCTCCAAAAAGTACAGAGATAATGTTGCCATCAAGGTGGTCGACAGAAAGAAAGCCCCACCAGACTTTGTCAATAAGTTTTTGCCCAGGGAGTTGGCCATTTTGAGGGGGATCAAACACCCTCACATTGTCCAGGTCTATGAGTTCATTGAGGTCTGCAACGGGAAACTCTACATTGTCATGGAGCAGGCAGCGACTGATCTTCTACAGCTGATCCAACACAGGGGACACATCCCATGCAACGAAGCCAGACACCTGTTCTCTCAGATTGCCTGTGCTGTCAAGTACCTTCACGAGCATGACATTGTCCATCGGGACCTCAAGTGCGAAAACATTCTGTTGACGGAAGAAATGCAGGTAAAGATCACCGACTTCGGATTCGGAAAGAAAATCCACGGCTACACTGATCTCAGCAGCACATACTGTGGCTCTGCAGCCTACGCCCCACCCGAGGTCCTAATGGGGGTCCCTTACGACCCCAAAAAGTACGACATATGGAGCCTGGGGATCATCCTTTATGTGATAGTGACGGGGTGCATGCCCTTTGACGACTCGAACATCAGCAAATTGCCCAAAAGCCAACAGAAAGGGGTGGTGTACCCCGAGAACATTCAACTGGAGGACAAGTGTCAAACCTTGATTCGGGAATTGCTTCAGTTCTGTCCATCGGTGAGGCCAGCTGCCAATCAGATTATCAAGCACGTGTGGCTGAGGGAGAACAAGTGAACCATTGCTGATGGACTGCTCCGAGGGCGTAAACTTTAGTTTCTTTTGTAGTGAGTTACGGTAACAAGTGTAACAACATTTTTCAAACCAATTCACAATTAAAAGTGTTGGAAGTGCGTGCAGTTTTTTTTTTCGGTTTTGTAAAATTCTACAGCTCGTAAAATGTGTGTTATCCAGGCGAACGTGGGAGCTAATGTTCACGAAGGCGCACAGGTTAACTAACCCGAGCGATTTGAACCTTCAAATTATATCATATAAGTATTATAATCAAATAATACAATATAACTAACAAATATATAATATAATTGTTATATATAATTATATCATCCAAATAGAACAATTTGAACCTTCAAATTGTATAACTTATATAATTTTCGCCCACACAATACACAGGTCGCTGCACTTTACAGTATATTCTGTGAGGTGATATGAGACGTCTATAATAATATAAATAGTAGAATCAAATAGTATAACAGTATAATGAAATAATATCAATATAACTGACAATTATATAAGTTCGGTAAATAGCAGTTAGAGTATTGTGTCCAGTATTGGTCATCCCACTTCAGGAAAGATGGCACGGGCACGATGGGCCAAATGGCCTCCTTCTGTGCTGTAATATTCTATGATAAGATGTCAAAGCAATAGACCGGGTGCAGAGGAGATTTACTCGGATAAATGGTTTGAGCAGAGACTGGAGGAGCTCCACCAGAACAAAGAGGTTGAGGGGGTGATCTGATAAATTATGAGGGGCTTTAATAGAGTCAATAGGGAAAAGTGTAGGCGAAGAGGAAATAAATAATTAGCCACGTTTTCCCACTCTGGATCAGCGTCCAGTGACCACTGCTGGAAGCGTGGGAGAGGATTCTAATCAGGGACATAATGGACAAATTCCATCAACTGGGAATTTGGTGATTTCTTTTTAAGTTTTTTTTAACATTTCTGGTTTCGTTTCATGGGATCTCTGACAGATCAGTTCAACGTAAAAGATCCCGTGGCACCACAGTCAGACCCAGTGATCTCATGGGTACGCAGAACACAGCTACACTGTGGACTTACAGTACATTGGATGTGCAGTACACTTATGCCGTTACACTTATCAACAACAACAGCTTGCGTTGATATATTGCAGGATAACGTCCCAACTCGTGTACCTACATAACGGTCTTCAAATACACTTCAAAGTAATTGCTTTGAGGCACAATAAGGTTCTGTATCAAATACAAGTATCATTTACCCCTCCTGAGGCTCACGCATTGAGTAAGCTTGGTCTCTTGAGAGGGATATGGGATCAGCCTCCAGTACTTGTACCCAACATGAACAAGCATCTTTGGGGAAAGGAGGGGAGCAAATGGGGATGGGGTGGAGGAGGGGGAAAGAGACTGCGAGGCAGAAGGGAAACATATGCATAATGCTCCAAAGGTGAAGAATCTCCAGGAACAAAAACATATCAACGCAAGTGAGGGAGTTAAAATTAAAATATATTCTTAGCACCAATGCGGTAAAGTGTTTTAAGCCTCTAGAACATTTCTGACAAGAACTAGATTAGATAACAAGAGAAAGAGCTGAACCCACCCTGTTTACTGCCTTCCCATCACAGCATCAAGCCGTTTGTTAAATTAATCCCAGCATCTCAGCTCCAGCCACCCTTCCTGATCACCCACTCCAGCAATCGAATCCATTTGCCTCGGGGTAAAGAAGCACTTGGCCTGAACTTGGAGTCCTGTAGAGTTAGTGATTAGAGGACTTGTAAGAGAGAGAACCCGGGTTCGATTCCTGAGTAGGACAAAACTCCAGGCAAGTTTCCTGACTGTTTACCTCGCAGTAAGTAGGAACCCGGTTGTTACTCAATTAGCTGATCACTTTCCCTTTTAAAAATAACTTGGTCACTCAATCCACGACTGTTTGTGGGACACTGCTGTGAGCAATTGGCTGCCGTGCTTCACCCACAAACTATATAGTCACTACACTTTATGTATATTCTGTGAAGCGCTTTGAGACGTCTCGAAGACGGGACGAGGCGTTATATCAATTTCAAGGATTATGCTTGTTGCATATTTTACTCAAAGTGCAAAGCAACCATTTGATTCCTTTTTGTTATGTGTTTTTTAAATAAAAGTTCTTATTTTGAAACAGGCACATATAGGTTTCATAACAGAAATGCCTGCTATCTCGACAAATATTTTGAGGCCGTTAAGGATATGTCTATAAATGGAGATGATCAATTAACCAATGACACTGGGAGACTTCATAAGTACAAATTATTACAGCAAATGCAATGACGCTACAGGTTTGCACCCTTGAACCAAAAAACCTTATCAACGTCGCCATGTAACATGTCGGGAGGAAAATTACTCGCACAGTTAGGTTATAAACTCGGTAAAACCATCGGAGAGGGCAGCTTTGCTAAGGTTAAAGTGGCCTCTTCAAAAAAGTACAACAAGAATGTGGCAATCAAGGTAATGGACCGGAAGAAAGTACCGAAAGAGTTTGTCAAGAAGTTCCTGCCCAGGGAGTTGGCCATCCTGAGGGGCATCAAACACCCTCATATCGTTCATGTCTATGAGTTCATTGAGGTCCGCAATGGGAAGGTCTACATAGTCATGGAGTTGGTCTCCACCAATCTCCTGGAGATACTCCAGCAGAGAAACTGCCTGCCCTGCCAAGAGGCGAAGCATCTCTTTACTCAGATCACCAAAGCGATCAAGTACCTTCACGAACGTGACATCGTCCACCGGGATCTCAAGTGTGAGAACATCTTACTGACTGAGCAGATGCAAGTGAAACTGGCGGATTTTGGCTTTGGACGGAAATGTCAGGGTTACCCGGAGCTCAGCTCCACCTTCTGTGGATCCGCAGCCTACTCCCCACCAGAGGTCTTGTTGAGAGTCCCTTATGACCCTAAGAAGGATGATGTTTGGAGCATGGGAGTGATTCTGTACATGGTGGTCACTGGCTACATGCCCTTCAACGATGCCAACATCTGCAAGCTCCCTGAGATGCAGTTGATGGGGGTGGTGTACCCGGATGAAGTAACAGTGGAAGAGAAATGTCAGTCTTTGATAGAGAAATTGTTAACTTTCAGTCCACCCATGCGTCCGACAGTCAATCAGGTTACCAGACATGCATGGCTTAAAGAACGCAAATAAAAAAAGAAAGGAATATACTCTAAAAAGGGGGAGAGAGAGAGTGAGAAAGAGAGAGAAAATGTTGCAGTGAGTTATCATAAGCAAAAGGTCTGTGAATTCGCTCAAGGAACTGACGATTGGAGTTACTTACAGAAGCATCTCTGGTAACCAGGCAACGTTGGTTGTAAGGAACATGATCTTAGACAATAAACCATTGGCTTTGGGCTTGAATTTAGAGAGCCACAAGAAATAAATGGAATCTATACAGGAGGTAATACCAACTTGTTTCTTTATCATTGTGGCTGATTTTAGAGGCTGTCTTGCAACTCAACTTAGGAACCCAGTTGTTAGTTGATTGGCTGATCGCTTTTCCGGGGGTCACCGCAAACCGCTGCCGGGTTTCGCTCATAAAATATATTCGATTGACTTTACAGTACATTCTGTGAAGCGCTTTGAGACATCTCTAAGACGTGACAAGACGCTACATCAGATGCAAGTGTTATGATTATTATTATAAAAAAATTTGGTCCCCTCCCCTCCTGATCCCAACCACCAGCTCGGGTGTGGATACCTAATTGTCCAGAGCCTTGGGCCGTCCTCCTGATGTGAACAGTGCCACACAAATGTAATTTATTATTGTTGTGTATATCCCACCACCCCCTGCCTTTCCCCAGTCAACTCAACATGCCTTTTGTTCCTTCCCTCAGGCCCGGCCACTTACCCGTGTCATTCAGTTTGGATGGTTGGGGATGTGTGCTAACTCAAGCCATGGTTGGACCCAGCAGCTCTTACACCATCTCCTCTCCCCTTTGAGGGGGAACCTCTGGGGTCTCCACCCTCCTGACTGCATTCTCATGCAACAAACTTCCTTGGCATAAGAGGATTGATGGCTCATTAACATCATGCTCCAAGGCTTGGTGGGCATGTTGACATCAGGAGAGGGCCTGAACACTGGTGCTGCTGGAGTGAATATAAGGCCAAGTACAGTACAAACAAACTGGGCTGGTACATTACAGGGCCCACAATGGGGCCGTTGCTAAGTGGATGAGGCAATAATCAGGTGTTTCACTGCTCTGGGGCAATGAGCTCACAAAGGCCCCCCTCCCACCGTCATGAAACCTTCCCTGCCCCCACTCCCCTGAGGGCTCACTCAATGAAGCCATCATTTAGGTTTTGAAACAGTCGTAGAGACCGGGGAGGTCCCAGGTTTCACTCTCCGTCTGTGCTGTGTTAGCCGTTCTCCCAGGACGTTAAAATCCTGTAACGTTGCTGAAAAGTGTTACGGGACATGCTGCGTGCAAAATTACTATCATGTTTGCTATCGTGGAGTCCTGTAGTGTAGTTAGCGGCCTTGCCTCGCAAGCAAATTTCTTTGGCATAAGAGGATTGCAAGCGAGAGGATTCCCGGGCATGGTGACAATTTACGGCAAGTTTCCTTACTTTGCATGCTTTCCCCGGGGCAATGTGCCGGAGCTAAAATATAACTTGAGAACGATAATTGGGCGGAGGAACTGCACTTTGCCAAGGGAGGGAGGGGAGACGAAAAAAACACTGCAAACACAGCAATCCTGTTTGTCCTGTTTATTCATTCAAATGCTAAAAATCCCTCACAATACAATATACATCATCCATTTCAACCTTGGATTTAAATTCTCCAGCAGGGTTTTAGTGGGAATGGATTTTTTTTCGTAATTTTTTTTTGTAGAATTCTTTTTATATCAAAGGTTATAGTCACATCAAATCCAAGTGACCATACACATACCCCCCTATGTCTGCACTAGCTGTTTGGAGTTTCTCATCTGCCAGTTTCAAAAAAAGAGAAATCTCGAGTTTTATTTGCGATTACCTGTGTGTGTGTGTGTGTGTGTGTGAGTGAAATGTGGGGGAGATTAGAAACAGCGGGGTGGAAAAGATACGGTGTGTGGGCACACATCGGTTCACAGAAAGTTTGCTGCCAGTTCCTCTCAATTCTCCAATCTTCCTCCCCCCACTCCCCTGCTCCCCAACTCCGAATGAACAGGGAAAGGACCGAGGGAATAGATGGGGAGGGCGTTGAATCAAAAAGATTTACAATCCAATCCTATACAGATCTAAAATTAAGCGTGCATTTTGGAGGTTTGCCCGATAGGGTTTGCAGAATCTGATTAATTTGAACAATTTAAGACTACAAAACTGTTGTAATCTGCAACACAGCTTCCACACGCCCTGCCCCCCCCCCCCCCACCCCCTCCCCCACAAAATGGTCAAAATGGTTTTATTTGGTCGATCTTTTGTATTACGTTGATTGGATAAATGGAGCCCCTACCACCACAAAAGGGACGAGAGCTCTACCTTCCGCAAACAAGAGAATTCTCATAACTCCCCCTTCCCTCCCACCCCCCCCCCCCCACCCCACCCCAATGCAAAGCAGCACATAAGTTAACCTGCTCTCTGCAGCCTATTGGCCATTGGATTTAAATATGTAAACAGAGTCGGGGAGTTTTGCCCATTCCTAAAAAGACACGGTGCCAGTTTATCCAGGGCATTTGCAACAGTAATTTTTTTTTGGGGGGGGTGGGGGGGGTGGGAGGGGGAAAGAGGGTAAGACGAGGCACTGTCCCAGTCTCTCACGGGACCAGGCTCCTCGGGAGGAAAGCTGGCAGGGGAAGGGGAAACGAGGAAGAAAGTTTGTGTGGGGGCGGGAATCATTTAAAAAAATAATGTGCTATAAAAAAATACTATCACACCACTGCTCAATGTTTGGGGGGCTTTCGAGCAAACTGTAGGGGAAGCACTGTCCCACTGTCCCCATGTTTACAAACTGCCTGGAATCTGGAAAACATCATACTGTATAACAATCTAGTAATATCAATAAAGTGTGACACCTACTGGCTACAAAAGAGTCACAATTAAAGAATTATTGCTATTTACATTTGTACTTCCGAGGAGCCTGGATAGGTCAGCCTTGCCCGATTACCCAGCCCCACCCTTCGAAAATCCTCCTCTTCCCCCCCCACCCCCCCGCCCCCGCCCGCCCCTCTCCCCCGAAAAAGAAAACACGATCAAAAAAAAGTCCACTTCAACTAGAATTCTCTAACCAAAAAATAAAAGCGTGCTGTGCTGTTCAGGATTGCGACTGGGATAACACACACAGCAGCAACTTGTATACACAACAGATCAAAAAGATCCATCATTTTCAGGTTGTACTGCGAGGTCTTTGATGGGACTTATTTTTTTTTGACTACGAGGGAGTGCATCTCAATCCCTCCACCCAACGGGCAACACATAGGCTCTGGTCTTGACAACTGAACTGCCAGCAAGGTGCAATGCAGAGGGCTCCACAAGTCTGTATCTTATCTGTGTCGTTCAATAAATGCACTTCGTAAAAATTCTCTCTTCTCCCCTGTCTGTTAACCAGAGAGTGCAACCCAGAATGCGATTCTAACCCCTGAATGAACTGATCGGACACTCCCCCCAAAAAAACACATGTTCCGAAGTACCCCCAAAAAACTCTCTCTGTACAGCAACGAAAACGGGGACAGTCTGCAAGACCCGTAACGGTTTACTAATTACTCGCCTTTCGTGTCAAACGTGGAAGAGGGTAGAGGAGAGAGTTTTGGCAGAAGGATTCGCACAAAGGGGAAAAAAAATGAAGTTAAAAAACACCAAATACTTCCAGGATCTAGCAACTTCAATAGACTGGTTCTGCTCATCTCTGTCTCGATGCTTTTGTATCTGTGATGACTCCTCTACTGCACTCGCCTCACACTACACAACCATCGCTCTGCTCCCCGTGGGAAATAATCTCACACCTCAAAGGACATCTGTATCGCTTTGAATACTTTTCCCTGACAACCCCCTGCTGATTCCTAGTTTACATTATTAGATATCCACCCTTCGTGGACAGGTGCTTTAGATCAGGGGTGGCCAACTTGCGGGCCGTAAGCCTCATTACGCATGCGTAGAATAGTCACAGTGGATCCCAAGTTGGCCTCCTCTGCTCCTGACTTTATAGTTAAACTGATCAATAAAGGTCAAGTCAGCCAGGCTGGAACACCGAAGTATCCCAATCTGGTAAGGCTCAGTATATAAGTAGCAAATGAACATCTCCCCCCCCCAGCCCCCCCCAACCACCCCCACACTCCCATGTTGGTCTCGAGAGAGAGAGAATTCAGAAACCCAATGCAAGCTTTAAAAGCCGCGGGAGTCAGGACCAGACGAGACAGGATCAGAGACAGTAATGTGATATTGCCCGACTGCTCAAATCGGAAGAGGCTTTAAACAGGAGCATCTCTTCACAAAGGAAAAACAAAAACGCTCAATCATCTCGTTCACAAAAACCTCACTGGCGCAGCACTGACAAACAAGCAGCTACTTCAGCTTCGGAAAAGAGGTGGGGGGGCAGGGGTCCAACAGAGCTCATACCTGGGAGCTTTCACTACCCCGCCCCCAATAAAACCCAACCCTAAGTGGCTCCTCTCAACTGAAGCCTTCTGACATGGGTCTGTTCTTACAAGGCAGATACTGCTCAATCACCCAGCAAGTGATTTCTTCTGAACGGGAGCAGGGGTGAGAAGAGAAAGAAATCGTTTTGAATACTTCTGGCCAAACCCCCCCCTCCATTGAAGCATCAGAAAAATGTCCTGTTATATTGAACTAAATCAAGTCTTTCTCCTTCCCCCCCCCCAGAAAAAAAAAGGAGTCCTACATAAAATATTCAAACCATTTAGATTGAGGTTACTTTCGAGTGGATGCAGTGATTAGCCAAGTGTGCTCTAGTGGTGTGGGAATCACAAATAAATGACTGCGGGAATGATGGTGGGGTTGGTGGTGGAAGAGGAAAGAGAGAGGGAGGTCGTGGGTGTGGAGATCTGCACAGCACAGAAAGTCGCTCGATGAATCTGCAGTTTAAAGCTAGTCTTTGCTCCAGGGAACTGGAAGCTCAATTGTCCCGAGTAAACGTCTTCCTTCACGCCTCCTTAACTCCTGTTCCCCTACTGAGGATATTGCGAGTACAATTAGCATAATGATGGAGACTTAAGGCGGGGGGGGGGGGGGGGAGAAGGGGAAAGAGAAAGGTGGAGCCCTCTTAACGTACACATCACAGTGCCACGACATCCCTTATACAGTGAAGCCCGGACACGTACACACCCACACGCAAAGATGCATAGTGGAAGAAGGAGCGAACGAGTTCATCCTCCTCGGAGTTCTCATTGTAATCCATCGAAACGAAGACCCAATTCTAAAATGGTTGCACGTTGCGTTTCCCCACTTGTAGGGGACGTGTATTTGAAGGCAAAAAAAAAGAAAAAATATACATTTTCATCTGATAGCAACCGGGGAAGGTTCTGGCTTGCTGGGTCGACGTGGGTCCCACTTGTTTTATTTTTTTTGGGGGGGAAGGGGGAAATTGCGTGATGGCAGAAAGGAGAACTTAGGATGATGGGTCAGTGGTGGCTGCCTCTCCGAGTGCTGGTTTATTTCCACGTGCTGGCCGACTGGCTGATGGATCGGGAGGGGATCATGTCCAAGAGGTATTCGCGTTGACGGTCGACCGCCGAGGATGACTTATGCACGGACAGGCTGGGGCTGACGTACGCCATTGTCACCCCTGCTTAAAAAAACACAAAGGGAGAAAGAACAATTAATAATAATCTTTGCATGTGATATAGCGCCTTATCACGTCTTCGAGGCATCTCAAAGCGCTTCACAGGAATATAATGTAAAGTGAATTGACTGTATATTTTGCGGGCGAAACGCGGCAGCTAATTGCGCACAGCAGTGTCACACAAACAGAAGTTATTACCCCTGGAAAAGCGATCTGCCAATCAACTTAACAACTGGATCCCTTTCATCCTGCCCGGGAATCGAACCCAGGTCTCTCGCTTGGGGGGCGAGCGTTCTAACAACTGAGCTATGCGGAAGGAGGGGGCAGGGCGGAGGGACAGAGATGGATGGACGGAGACGGTAAGGTAAGTCATAACATTGCTTCACGCACATCTACCTGCGGGGCTAGCGATCTGCTTCCTCCAGTTGGTGTTGCCGCCCTTGCTGGCCCGCTCGGTGTGCTTGGCTGGCCGCCCGCCGAGCCCCGACACCGAGTTCTGTAGCTGGGACGACTGACTGAACGTGTGCAGCACTGCTCGAGAGCTGGTGGATTGCATCCCCCGTGACATCTGACTGGAACTCTGAGCAAAACAAAGTGTTTTTGTCAAAAAAGTTCTATTTTAAAGACACACACACACACAAAAAGCAATTCTGTATTGCGCAAGCGAACATGATTTGCAAGAATCTAGTCGGAAAAGTTTGTTAATCCACTTAAGAATAATAATAATTCTTGCATTTGATATAGCGCCTTATCACGTCTTCGAGAAGTCTCAAAGCGCTTCACAAGCTATATTGTAAAAAACAGTAAATTGACTGTTCAGAGAAGAGCAGTTAAAAGTCTTCCCCTTTTGAGCACTACAACAATAAATTACATTTACACAGCGCCTTTCAAGTCGAGAGGATGTCCCAAGGTGCTGGAGAGTCAGGGATTTGGACCCGAGCTGGGGGTTGGGGTCAGGAGGGATGGAGGGCGGGGTTATGAGGGTGACTGAAGGCGCTGTTGGAGAGGGGGATCTTGAGAGAGGCAAGGGAGGGAGCGAGATGGTGAATGGTCTGTGGGTTGGAGCTCCAAAGGGGATATCGCTCCCTTGAACGGTCCTGTTCTGTCCCTGCTTCATTTGATAACATTGACTTATTTATTACAGTGACAGTTCTGTGTGTTGTGTGCTGTTGAGGCCGTACCTGCTTCATTGAGTGGTGCTGCACTGACTCTTGCTTGCTCTGTAGGGGGGAGGCAGTCTGTTGCAATATCCGCTGCTCAATCTCCTGCGAGTTTAAAAACAAAGCAGAAGCTTATTTCCCAACCACACCAGCCCGTGTTTCACAGACGAAAATCAGCACTGAATTCTCCACACAAAACAGGCTCAAAATCCTCCCGAGGCAAGGCTGTACATAGTTGTCAGATGCAGGTCAAGAATGGATTTATGGCTAAAACTGTTATAAAAAGCTTTTCCGACCAAGCTAACTACAGTGGAGGGGGGAGGGGGGGTGCAAAATAAAATAATTTGTATGAAATAATGGGCATATAAATTAACAGGGCGATGGAGAAGAAGGGTGAACAATTCTCAATGGCTTGCTTCGCAAGGCAGTGTGAGCATATAAAGTGATTAGGAAGGTAGCAATGTTCAGTAGCAAGTACATTTGATCTCACTCATCCTCCCTCTCATCTCCCACTCCTACATCATTGAGCTTTTCTTAATGGACCCCTATTCTGGCCTCAACCTCCCTGCCTGATAACTCATTCCTTCCAGCTGATTCCCCTCCATAAGGAACCATTTCCCAGTCGGTGATGTCCCCTTGTTGGGGGATTGTTGCTCCTCACCTGTTCCTGCTGAAGGGCCTTTACAAACGCAGCTTTCAGACGATTGGTGTGCTCGGCTTTCAAAGCTTTCTTTTTGTTGGACGTTACGCACTGTTCACACATGATGGTCCCAGTTTTCTCCTGTCTCCAGCGGCACGTGAAGTCCGTCTTACACTGAGTGCAGACATTTGGTTCCAGGGGCACAACCTGTGCTGAGCTCTTGCCTGCAGAACAACAAATGACATTACACAGTGCCTTTCACGTCGGGAGGATGTCCCAACGTCCATTCACATTTTCAAGATGGGGGTAGATAGATATTTGTTAGGTCAGGATATTAAGGGATTATGGGGCAAGGGTGGGTAACTGGACTTGAGGTACAGATCAGCCAGGCAAGGGAGGGAGTGAGGGACCTGGGGAAAGAGTTCCAAAGGGTGGGGGCAGAGAGGCTGAAGGCCCGACCGCCGGTCCTTGTAACTTGATAAAAGCAGCTGTAACTTGAAAACATCCCAAAAGGCTTCGCAGGAACTGCTGTAAAGAGGAGAGATTGTGTATTTCTCCACTGTAAATGTTTTTATGAAATGTGGTGACTGTGGCAGAGGGAAATGGAGGTCGATGTGCACCAGTGATGAGATGGAATGGCCGATTTCTTTCGCGGGTGGGGGTGGGGGAATGCGGCTCGAACCTTCAAAGAGCAAAGAAAAACCTCTGCAACAGAATCAAAAAAATGGGAATACCTTGGGTTTCCAGAAGGTTCTGCACCACCTCCTCCAGCCCCACCAAGTAGATGAACTCGTTGTTGGCAGCGCTGGGGAGGAAGGTCAGCTCGGGGGCAGGGGGCTTGGGCGGGGGAATCTCCAGCAGGGTCTTCTCCAACTGCTTGCGGAGCGCCAGCTTAGCTGCGGCCTGGCGGCTGGCTGGAGAGTCATTGGAGTTCGTCAACCCCCCACCTCCGGCGTTCGACTGAGACGTCCCCCCTGAACCTTTCATCGTGCTTGAAGCCTGTGGGACGGAGGCTCACAGTTACTTACAGCAACGCATAAAAAGCACCGGAGAAAACAGGAATCCCAGAAATAATAATAATCCTCGTATTTGATATAGCGCCTGATCACGTTGTTGAGACATTTCAAAGCGCTACACAGGATATACTGTAAAGTAGATTGACTGTTTATTGTGTGGGCGAAATTTGTCAGACAATTGCGCACAGTAGTGTCCCACAAACAGTTGTGGACCAAGTTTATTTTAATACACAAACACAAGTTGTTATTGAATGGATAGATTTCTTTTCAGCCAGGTGTCCATGACATATGCGGAAACCCATCATCGTGCTTAAGACCATTCAAACCAAGCTGAGAATGCGGAAATGTTTGCAGAGTGTGCGGTGGGGGTAACTGCTGGAGTCTAGCCAGCTAAAACCACATAGATTGCCACGTGCGGGGGTCATGGGTACTGTAACTCACCTGTGGGACGTTGACAAGCAGGCTGGTATTTGGGACGTTAGCCACACGAATCAGGCCGTGCGGGATGATCCTCTGTCCCTGGAGCTGGACTGCGTTGGGGACGGAGGCTCTGGGAGCCAACAGCAGGGGCGGAGGGGCGGTGCTGGTGTGCGTCCTGATGTTGTGGATTTGCTGGGGAGAAACAGACATTGGCTGACAGAATGGAACAGCGACAATGGAATGGTAGGAGGTGGGGGGGGGGGGGGGGGGGGGGAGGCGAAGGGAGATGGAAAGAAAGATTGTGGGGTGGGCGGGGGGGAAGGAGAAATGAAGATATGGCAGAAAAGAAAAGTTAATTCAGGAATTCTCTCTGAGATTTAATGCACATTAGTTCAGTTAGCATCTATGCACGGAAGCTAGTTTTCAAAACCAGAGCAGTGTGTTTGTTTCAAGAATGAAGGTTAATAATGCAGCATAACAAATCATGCTATGAGTGTACATTGCCACACACAGTGTAAAACACAAACTAATTATCCTTAACACATTTGAACCCAAAGACTGCAAAGATTAAATGCACATGTTCTGCCAACTCGTATATTCTTGGGGCAGGAAGAGAAGAGCATTTTATTTAGCTGACATGCAGATAGATGCACACCCTTCCCAGCAGGGGACAATGAACAGGAGTGGGAACTGTGGGGGGGTGGGGGCTAGGGAATGGCAACTGTCACTGTCCAGAGACAGAGCAGGAAGACGGAGTGGAACCTGGAATCTGCAAACCTGTGTGGTTTTAATGCTGCTTGCTAGCTGTGCAGTGAGATTAGCCATTTGGGGAGTTTAAATGCAGCACTCTTTCAAAAGTGGTTTCCAATAAGCTACACCCAAATAAATAATAATAATAATCCTGGCATTTGATATAGCGCCTTATCACATAATTGAGACGGCCTGACAGAATATACTGTGAAGTGAATTGATTATATATTTTGTGGGCGAAATAAAAAGAAACTGGTAGGCAATTTTAAATTAAAAAAACTGATCTGACTTGTTCCCTTCTCTGATCTCACTAACTATTCCTCCTACCTGTGCACCCCTGACCAACGGTGGCATCACTATCTGTGGGTTCTGTTGGGATCCCATTTTGGAAGCCATCTGTTGCCCGCCGCGCACTAACGGTGGTGGGATTACGGTGCCTGACGTACGTGCAGTGAGGACCTGCAGGGCAGAAACCAGCGTTTTACACATACGTCAGCAATAGTACATGTCAGGAGTTAACAGTATCCAATTCCACATTTTCAAATGACAATCCTTCAGTCAGGACGTCGAGTCCCTTCTCCCCCACCTCCCCCTCTCCACAAAAGATGATTAACAAGAACTTTCTGATTCTCTTCCATCGTCTCTCCACTAGAATCTGTTCCACAGCTTGAACCTTGTCTGAGTGGTCACTCTTTATGTGGGACAGTGAATGGCTTTACTTGATGGAGGAGGGAGAAGGGGGAAAACTAGCCAAGCTCAATCTTTGTCCTCGCACACACATTTCCAAGCACTTTTTGTCAGAGGTTAGTGATCTCTGGCCCAAGTTCCTTTCCTTAGTTCAGAATCAAAGGATAATTCTTGTGTCTCCATTTTGCCTAGCTGAAATTTCCACAAAATAAATATATGTATATATTTATTTTTTTAGTTGGAATAAAATACTTTCAGCTCATGCTTATGGATTTTTCACAAATATCCCTTAGCTGGAAGAGAAATTTGTGTTCTTTAGAAAGCATTCTGCTCATTTTTCTTGCAACCATCTGGAGAAACATCTATACCATGTAATTGGGAAAAGCACTGGGAATAGAGATAAGAGTTGTGCTTTCTCTTTCACTTAGAATGAACGTCTCAAAGAGTTTCAATGATGGGAAGTGCCGAACAGGAAGCACCAAGCAGGAAGGAGAGGTAAGGGTGTTCACAAAATGGTTTCTAAAAGGGGTTTGAAGTTAGGAATAGAAGGAGCAAGCCAAAAGGATTCTAGCAGAGAATTCCACCTCAGAGCAGGGACATAAAACCTAGGAAAGAAGATGAGATAAATGAAGCAGGATTTGGTTGGACAATGCCAAACTTAAGGTTTAAAGCTTGCAGTTGCAGGAAGGAATATATATTTTTAAAAATTGCAACAAACATAAAAACTAACTTTATTAATTTCTCAGAACCACACCAATCTCTGAAGCAGAGCATATCACATAAAGTTGTATGTGTTAGAAGTGATGGTGACCAAACTCCCACTCACAAAGGAAGGCCTAATAGGCCAATCTAATGCTTCCCTCAATGATAAGGTTCACTGAACACCTGCTGAGTCTCACAGATGACAAGAGATAAGATGGTGGATAATCGAAGCCTAGGGTCTTGTTATGTGGAGAGCTACTTAGGAAGTAACTTTTGGTTTACATTGCAGTAGCACAGATTACTGAACTCTTATAACTCCCTCTACGACCCCCTTTATGCTACACTGTTCCATTACACCCAATTCCAACTCAACTCCCATTACCAAAGATTCGTCCTGAACATCCGCAGGATTCAGTCCCATCATAGAAACAACTTCTTACTACATACAGGAGATCATTGTTCTGATCTGAGCGAAACTCGCTCACTTTTCACTATTCTCCCTCCTCTTCCTCCACAAGACCTTCCTCCAATGTTCAGTTTGAAGTCTGGCAAGACCACAGCTACACTGACCTGGAGGCCGGGCTTGCCAGTGAGAACATACTGCTTTCCCCGGATCAGTAAGGGAGGGGTAGCTGTGCTGGTGGTGCCTGAAGAGACAGCAGGCTGAGAAGAGACATTGAAGAGAAGCATAAAGACACAAGAGCAAGAGAGAAAGAGAGAGAGCGCGCCAGGAAACAATAGGGGCAAAGGAGTGAAACTGAGCAGGAGACAATACAAAGACAACACTAACACACAGATATTCTGCTGTCAGCACCCAGGGCAGGTTGTCAGCACCCAAGCCTATAAAATGTTGGTCAGAATCCAGGTAAGGTCACATAACATCAACAAGCTAAGGAGCACTGCTCCAGAACAAAAATAATCTAGAACCTCTACTCTGGCATATAAAGCGAGCCTTACTGCCTCCCCCATCCCATCTGGTAGTTAGTAAAATGAGACAAACTCGGACAGCGAAAAGTTCACCCGATAGTGTTTAAACTTGGGGGATGAGTAGTGTTCAAGCAAGCCATGGCAAGCAATTACACTGTGTTTTAGGTGAGAAATATTGCAAGGCAATGTTTGAGGAAGGGGGAAAGGAAAGAGAAAGCAGTTTGTCCCTGAAACGTGAATACCTTGGGTACAATTGCTTCCTTCTGGATTTGGCTCTGCCTCAGCTTCTTGAGCAGAACAAGTTTGGCTTCTTCTAGCCGAAGTTCTTCCTTTAACCGTTTGATCATCCTCTCACGCTCCTCAGGGGTGCTCTTCTGGAGGGAAACAGAGCCCGACATTACTTTAACAGCCATTAAATGCGGCTTTTTGAAGAAGCCTTTAGGAACATAGGAGTAGACTGTTCAGCCCTCGAGCCTGTCCACCATTCTATTAGATCATGGCTGATCTGTACCTCAAATTAAATGGGAAATCTCCAGTTTACATTGAACATGGAACCGCTGGGTTAGAAAGCACCACAATTCAGACAATAGAATTTGTCAAAACCTGCTGGTATTGGGGCAGATGCTTGAGAGGATTGGCTTGCCTTCTGGGAATACCCAACCTGTCATTAGCGAGTTGATGTTGTGGTTAATCTCAGGGGGTGTGAAAGAGGAGAGAGGTCAGGGGGAGGGGGGCAAGAGGGGAAACTACATTCTGCCAATAATCCAGCCCCACATCCTTTTTAAGAAAGTGTTTTTATAGCTTCATTCCATCGAGGCACAGAAATTATTTTCCCACAGAATCCAAATCAAGACAAACTACTGCAACTGTCAAAAAAGATGCCACTCACATGCAGATGCAACTGCCAAAGTGAAAGAGAGAAGACATTCTGCCTCACCATCATAATATCTGCGTTGCAATCCTTTCCAGGCACTTTTGTAAGTCCATTCATCCTGGGGCTCGAGGGTTCATTATCGGACAGGACGATAATATCCGGGGACGGGGGTCGCTTTTCCTTCTTTACATCACTGAAAGAAATCGGGTGCAAGTTGGTCAGGGCAGTAACCAGGGAGAATGAATAGATCTTATTAGATAAAAAACGGTCAAATCTGCAGATTTCACAATGCCATGTCTTCCCTTTAGTGTTCTATTTCTATATACACTGGGAGCTGGTAAACATTTGTTGGACCCAACAAACTCCCCCGAATTAAATGGCGAAAATCTCTATGTGTGTGATCTTCTGCAGTCTCCAACACTAGAACACAGCTCCTTCTCACTGTGATGCAGACCACACGCAATCTTCGTCATTTATACTTCAGGTGATAAAGTGAGAAAGGTTGCAACGCAATCAAAATTATGTTCTGATTTAGAAAACCTGGATAATAACACTGGCATTTGACATAGGCATTGCCACATCGATGAGACGCCTCAAAGCGCTTCACAGAACATACTCTAACAGGAATGGACTGTGTATAGTGTGTGGGCGAAACAATTTAACATGGTTAAGAGCACTTCGCTGACTATTCAGCCAAGACCTTCAAGATTGAAGGAAATTACCAAGGGATAAGTGGGCAAAACTTTGATGGGACAAGTTATTCCTCGGGCTCCACTGTTAAGCGCTCCGAGATGCCGCCCCGCTTGGAGGGTGCTATATAAATGCAAGTTGTTGCTGTTACTGGTTGGTTACTCGAGGGTGGAAACACTGCAGCGCAGAAGCTCTTGCGATTGAACAGTACGCTGCCAGAGTGTACCGAGGTAATCAATAGGAGTCCGGTGCAGTCGCCCGCACCCAGCCAGCCCTCGGCAGACAGCATCCCTGCACCTCAACGGCTGGGAACAAGCTTCCTGTATGCTAATCACGCTCGGGGAAAAAAAATGTCACATGACTCCGGCATTTCCCCTCGGCATCACATGGCACCCCCCACACCCCCCCCCCCCCCAATTCCTTCCAGTGTGGAAACCATAGCAACGGCCAGCTGAAACTGGTTTGTGACACTGCCTTCATTTTGTGAATGGAGGTCGCCCTCAGGTAGACACACACACACACACACATACACACGCACGAGCGCAAAATGGAGCCCGGCGACCTTCAACAAACTTCTCGCAGGGCCCGGAGCCGAGCCGCAGCTCTTCAGAGCGCTCGCGTTCGCTCGCCAGGCGCGACGTCGAACTTTTTCTGCGTACGTATATACAGGTCTTTTTTTTTTCAAAAAAAAAAGACATCGTCGCGACGCACACCGAAACCGAACTTTTTTTTTTTGAAAAAAAACAAAGAGGACCGTTAATAACGGCGTTTCAACTTTAAACTTTCACCGAAGCCAAGCGGTTTTGCAGGACTCCCCGTTAAATCGAAAGCGAGTTGCACTACGCTGTGATGAGAGGCGATATAATGTACTGTACATATACTTGATTAGCGATAACTAGCACGATATGAGCCACATTCACTGTATTTCAAGTGAGCGACATTACAGTGACAACTGTGGAGAATGCAAGAGCTTTCTGCCAAGGCACGTCCCCCTGGTATAGAACAACAACTCGCGTTAAGGCATAAAATCAGCAAAAGAACAACATCAGCAAAGCACTGGAGTCAGATTAAGCAGCCGGGCTTGGCAGCTTCCTTGCACATGGGGCTTGTTTGTGAATCAAGCGCCTTTAATTGTTCAGTGCCTTTTGGAAACTTTCAGCAAAGCACCTTCTTTACTCCAGTCATCTGTCCCCGTGCGTTTTTCCAGTCAAACATTGTGTTTTGTAGGCAAACAGAGGCTATTTTGGACATGGCAAGGTCCCACACAAACAGGTGAATACTAATTATCCGGAGAATTCTTAGTCAGGACACCATAAGGAACACAATTCTCTTTTCCAAGTGCCACTGAATTTGTAACATCCACCTGTAATGTGCCCTGAATTGAACAATGTCTGTCAGCCCAGACTGTGAGCTCAAGTGGTGCTTACTTGTAAAAATAAGTTATGACTACATCAGGAAGACAGAAGAATTCTCCCATTTGTCTTGCACATTCAGAAAGATACCATTTGTGTTTGCCCAGATTGCTTTTCCCGTCCTTGGGAGAAGTACATGAGGTCAACATAATTCAACTGGTAATGACCTCCCACAAAGAGTACAATAGAGCCATTTTGGTAGACGGCAGCAGAAAAATCACGACTTTAGGAAGCATCAGACTGACTTGCTTTGAAACTATTGTGTGTTGGTGTGGGTTGAGGGACAAGGAGAGTGAATAATAATAATAATCCTTACATTTGGTATAGCACCTTTCACGGTAGGACATCCCAAAGCGCTTCACATGATATAGTGTAAAGCGTAGTGACTATTTGTAGGAAAACGTCACAGCCCAATGGCACACGGCTATGAATTTAGGAATAAGGAATCTAAGGGTATGATGCAACCACAAGGGTTAACATTAGTCCCAATGTGAAGCGCTTTGAGATATCTCAACGATGCGATAAGGCGCTATATTAAATGCTGGGATTATCATTATTATTAATCAACATCTCCAGAATTTTTGTTACAAAGGTGCACTGCAATTAGAAATGTGGAGAATAATTTCAGAATGAAACACATCCCATTACATGAGAGCCAATGCAACAGACCCCAAAAGTGCCACAACGGTGATGAATTCGAGCTGCATCAAACAATTCTTCCCTCGTTAATCAACTTTGTCCCTCCCACAAGTATCTGTGGTAACAGGACCCTAGGGGGTAAATCTCCATGACTGTTTCCTCCTGCTGATCTCACAGTGCGTTAGCAAGCCATTGCAAAACTACACCAGCAACTAGGTTGACAAAACAAGACTTACAACTAAATCTGTGGAGAGGTTAACCTGGACCTGATGTCCGCCACTTTGGGGACATGTGACACTTCCCAAACAGCCTGCCCTCCTTAAATCACACCGAGCATTTATCTATGCAACGACAGCAAGTCAAACCCACGAGACTCACTTTCAGCAGCGACCTGACTAAACCAGCAGGTAAATAAGACAGCCGGCAGTCAAAGGAAACACTTCAGAAAAAATTCCAAATGCACACCCTGGGAAAAGGTCAACAGATGGAAAAATTGGTGCAGTATATGGCAGCACACCATGCGCATATTTCAAAATGACAAATTCTAACTATCAACTTCTTCATACTTGGAATTTTGACTATAATACTGAACCCTTTCTAAAGTCAGCACTTTCGGAAAGGGGAGAGAAAATTCACAGAACAGATTCTATGAAAATTTCAAAGTAGTATTATTTGCAGCCTTTCATCACCGTCAAAACACCTCTAAAGTACTTCACAGGATTTACTGTAGAACGCAGCAACTGTGCATTTTGTAAGGTAAAACAACGTGCAATTGACGAGGAAAAAATAAGGGAGGACGTACTCAATTGGGATCAGAGATTTAAAAAATACTTGGGAGAGAATGATTGCCGTATTTTAATGCTACCTCTTGCCTGGCCGCTGACTGGTAGCAAATCTACCCTGGGGGAATTCCACCTACTGATTGACAATCTCACTGGAGTATTTATTGGAACACTCTTTTCCTTCATTTAAAAACAAAAAATCAATTCTCATAGATAGAGTAAAATCCAGAGATTGGTTGAGTTTGTGTGGGTGAGTCTGTGTGTGTGTGTGTGGGTGGGGGGGGGGGCAAGAAGGAGACAAGGAGAGACACACACACATTTGTTGTTCATTCAGATTTTCTTTGATGTATTAAATAAACGCCGACAGAATTCTACTTTTTTTTTGAGTATGCGCCTGAGGTGATAGCTATGTTGATTTGCCCGTGAGGGGAAGGGGGTGGGGGAAATCCAAAGGCCCCAGCAACGCAATGTTATATCTCTTGTAGATCTTATAAACATCTATAAGATCTACAAGAGAAGGGAGGGGGAGGGGAGAAAGGCATTTAAAATTAACATTAAGCCAAAACATTGATATTAAAGTTTTATTTTCTAGAAGTTGGAAAAGCATCCCAAGAATTGCAAGCTTACAAAGTGCCTCATTTTTGGATAGGGTGGGAGAAAAAAAGGAACGTTACTCAAACTCAGTTGGGTCGGGGAAAGAGGGTTTAATCGGTGTATAAGAAATTTATAAATGTTAACAAAATATCGGTCCTTAAACCCCCCTCCTCTGCCCACTGCTGGCACACAACATAAATCAGTCCCTCTCCTCAGGCTCACTACCACGCAAAACAGCTGTCATCACTCCCTTCCTTAAAAAACCTCCTCTCGATCCCTTCAACCTTGTGCACTATTTCAAACCTGCCCTTCCCGGCCAAAGCCCTGGAACGTGTTGTTGCAAACTGACTTCACCTCACACCTCGGCCGCCACTCCCTACTTGAACCCCCCAGTCCGGTTTCCGCTCAGCACACAGCACAGTTGTCCCAGTGAGGATGACATAACAGAGACTGTAGAAATGATGTTAAAACGACTATAAATCTGCATTTCGAAGTACATATGATGGAACACTACTGATTGGACCATTACATATCCACTGAATCTATTGGACTTCACGGGCACACAATCACCCACAAAACATAGTCAATTCATTTTTACGGTATATTCTGTGAAGCGCTTTCAGATGTCTCAAAGACATTATATCAAATGCAAGTAATTAATTAGCAGATTCAGGGTGAATGTACACCTAACCCCTTCATCTCTGAGGCTAAAAACATGTGTTAACAACACACCACACCCAATGTAGCTACCTCGCCCATCTATCCCAGTTCAAAATGGAGCTGAGCAGACTTTTTAAAACTTCTTTCCGTTTTACTTCACCTTCTCCCCAGTTCTTAGTCGTCAACCATCCTCCTGTTGTTCATCCTCCGTAAAAGGCCCGCGATAAGCTCAAAGCTGTTGCGTTGCAAACGTGCGAAGAACAATCCTCTTCCACTCCCCTCGAGCAGTCTATCATTCTGTTCAACTTCCCTTTGTCTCCTGAATCCTGGGTATCCCTTTGAAGTTTTCAAAGTTTACAATCCCTCTTTTCGAATCTCAACAGCTCTCACCTCCTCCCCTTGCAAACACATGGCTCCGCCACAGATCAAGTGACTGAGGCCTGCAGATTGGAAGGGGACGAGAGAGAGACATTTCATGTTGGAACATTTCTTTACCCCACTCATTCCCTTCCCCCCAATAATTGACAGGCTACTCAAGTGTGAGAACAGGGGACAGACAGTCTAGGTCACGCTTGCACAGGATCTCACACGTACGCACACACACACACACAACCAATTCTACAAAAATGCTTCAGACATAACCGCCCCCTCCCCACCCCAAACACAATTCAGAAACTAAACCTGGTGTAAACTTGATCGATAAGATGTCAAAATTGGAAGGTAGGCGGGATGCCCACTTTCAGAGCTTTACTTTGATGATTAAATTGCTTAAAACTCCAAGTGCCTTCTATTTGCTGCTGCCCCCTCCCCAATATACCTTTAAGACCAAACGCAAGGCTCACTCGCTCGTCTGATATGAACAGTGACGGGAGCTACTGCCACACAGGAGGCACTCGCACAACCAGATCCTAGCTCCAGTTCATTTTTAACTTTATACACAACATTGGAGGTGGATTGAGAGAGGCCGACGACATTGCTGTGGAGATATCCTCCTCTGTATCCTTCTGCCACCGTACTGTAAAATCACACAGCTTGCATACTGGCTTAAATTACAGAAAAAAAACTACCAGTTCTGTACTCAATTAAAAAAAATAAAAGTCTATAGGATGGCCAGGAGCACACATTATGATTCCCTTCAGCTTCATCATCACTAAAATCCTGCCTTTAACAAAACCATTGCATTACAAATGCCTTCTAAAAGTTGGCATTTTTGTTTTGAAGGCAGGAGGAGACAGACAGACAGGCGTGAGGCTGCTAATGATGGCTGGCTGTGAAGCAGTAATGGCTGCTTTTCCCCAGCACACAACATCCACTCCCAAATAGGTTTCTCATAGGGCGGGTGTGAGGTGCTCGTTCAAGAATAAATTTAAACCCCAGTGTTTGATGTATTTTTCTTAAAATACCTTTTTCCAGCACACCCAAAATTTGAAGCAAGTGGTTGCAGCCTCTATTTTGGAAAGATTAGCACTTACATCCGCCGTGTCTTAAAAGAGCTTGTGCACATACAATACCTTTGACATAGAACAACCGTTACAAAGCACAGCACTCAGCAAGGCAATGCCATGTTTGCCTGTGACCAGATCCATCACACCAGCAAGTTTGACCCACTTAATACAACTCCTCCAGAAATAAATGAATAAATGTAATTTTTGAAGAATCAATTTGCTACACAACGTAACTACACATTATCGTAGTTTCCTCTCCCACGTTTTATTTATCCCATCCTCACCTCCCAGCAAATGTGTGTGTGTGTCTGTATGTGGGGGGGAGGGGGCATGCGTCTTTGGATTGCGATCAGAAATTGAAACCAATTCTCCTCCACACAACCCCCCCACCCCAACTCAGCAGCCCCTCCCTCTTTAACTCAAGGGGCACAGATCAATTGCAGCTCTATTGCTGCTCTGCCTGACATCAGCTAACTCAGCACAAAGCAGGATTCGATCCGGCAGCTTTCCTTATACACTGTGCCTTTACCTACTAGCCCAACAGCGGAGCCCTTAACAAGAGTTAAACTTGCTCAAGCATACTTAAAATATGCTAACTAGCCAGGAACTATAAATACTGGCTCAACAATCTATGCACATGGAACCAATTCTCAGTCTATTCACCCTCGGTTCAATTCTAATCACCATCAGTGCACCAATGAGACACCGCAAGAATACAGATTGGCTGTTCATCAATTATTCTTGCCCTTTAACTGGTCTTTAGAACTGTTTTAATGACTGTAATTCTATAAATGGATGTTCACAAGCTTCTATGTAACGTATTAAACCTGTGTATATACAGCTTTAATAATCCGGATAACATTCCTTTCATTTGATTCTCTTCATGAATAGTGCCATGCGATCTTTAATGTGCACCTGAACAGGCAGATGGGACCTCGGTTTTTGGTCTCATCTAAAGCATGGCACCTCTGACAACGCATTGAGTCCCAGGATTGTACTGGAGTGTCAGCCAAGACTACAAGTTTCAAAGTCCCGACATGGGGACTCCGAAGTGAGACATCCCTGGCAAACGCCATGATCGCTCGTGTGTGCAGCTGGGAGATTAGGCACCTGCCCTCTTGCAAACATGACTCCTCTCTCCAACAGGAACAACTGCAATCCTGGCTCTAGCCCAGCGGTTGTGAGAAATATTGCTGCCGTGTTTCGCCCACAAAATATGCAGTCAATTCACTTTACAGTAAATTCAGTGAAGCACTTTGAGACGTCTCAAAGATGTGATAAGGCGCTATATCAAATGCAAGTATTATTTTTATAGACAGAAAATATGAATGTTTTCCAAGCCCGAAAAGCCGAACTGACAACATTCAGGAAGTCTGGACTGTCTGCAGGGTTAGAGCTGGAACCAAGTGTAATCCATAACGAAGCTGCACAAACACCTCCTCAGGACATTCCCAGTCACTGCGTCACTCCCAGCTTGGCAGTTGAGGTGGTTAACAAAGGCATGCCAGGAATCTGAGCTCAGTCTAGGCAGGGAATGGGGTGGAAAAAAAAGTCGGGAGAACGGGAGTAAACAGCCAATTATTTTAAAGATTTAGCTGGAGTGGCATTGTGTGTCTATGAAGCTTTACAGTTCTGAGGTGCATATGTTATGGATTAAACCAATCCCACTAAGGTGTGTGTGTGTGTGGGTGGGTGAGACCAAAACTCCATCATCCATCTGATGCGGACTGAACCACTGCAGAAACCACTGCCCAGTCATTAAGGAGGGGGAGAAAAAGAGACGGGTGCTTGTGTATTCCCTTAGAACAAATCAGAAGAAACACAAGATCTCTTCCAGATTCCCTGAGTGTAATGGTAACCGCGCTCGCCTCGCAAGTGCGATGACCCAGGTTTGATATCTGGGTGGGGTGAAACCTTGGGCAAATTTCCGTACTCCACATGAGCAGTAAGAAGGAACGCGGTTGTTAGTCAATTGGCCACAACTGTCTGAAGGACACTGCTGTGCTCAATTGCCTGCCAAATTTCGCCAACAAAATACACTTCACAACGTATTCTATGAAGCGCTTTGAGACGTCTCAACGACGCGATCAGGCACCACATCAAATGCAAAGATTATTATTATTTATTATAAAATCTGTTCAGCTCCCGCCCTCGTTCCTTGTGAAGCGATGCAATCAAAATCCTACTGTATTATCAAGCCGTCTACACCAGCTGCTGGGGTAAGGCGCAAAGCATGGTCTGCAAGGCACACGGCAGGATTCTCCTGCTACAACATGCACACTGCAACAGCAACTTGCATTTATATAACGCCCCTCACGAAGTGTGCAAGTCTCAGAACGCTTGCAACAGTGTACACCTAGAGAATAATCTCCAGGCGATTAAGAACCTCACGCTGGTTTCATACTATTTTATATCTAATCCGTTAACACGTAGTTCATATCCAATCAGTTCTCTCATGTCTTCATACTCTTTCCCCAAGACTGTGAGCAGAAGGGGAGGGGGCGCATGCAAAATGATCAGGACACCAGGAGAAAAATGCTGCTCTTCTTCCAAACAGATCATCTTCATCGCCTAACACTCCCACAACCCCGATAAGGCAGCACAATTTCGATTTAACCCAAATAATTACACGGAAGGAAACCAGCCTTAAAACAGTTACAAAAGGCCAGACAATTTGCATTTGCTCGCCTCTCACCTCTTCGACGTGCTCATGTCCACTGGTTCATCCCCCGCTTGCACTTCCACTTTGATAGTTGCTTTGACTTCTCCTGATCCCTTTAGTAAAACAGAAGTCCTCCCGCCGCCTCGGTCGGCCGGCTCAGTTTTAATTTTAACCTCTTTCTTCACCTCTTCCAGGTCGCTGTCAACTTCAACTTCAGTCCCCTTGGGAGAACATTCCATTTTTGGTTTCTTACTCTCCATGTCACTGTTTGAGCCCTCTCGCTCCAATGCTCGCTTTTGGCTTCTTGTCCTGTACACATCATCTGTCATAGCAGAGATGTCTTCTGTCGGGAGAAGGGAAAGGTGTGAGTTTTTATTCCTAAAACAAACCGTCCAGCAGAAATTTTAGTTCCTCAGTTGTTTCTATGCATAACTAATTTTCTCTCTTTCCCACCATCAATGTGCTATCACATCCCCCCTATGGCTGGTGATTTCTCTCTTCCCCCCCACCACCCCGGGCCAATAAACATCTCGTTAATTTCTACATATAGGTAGGATGCATGGAATTCTGTTTGGTTTGGATGCTCTTAAGCATGGTGATGGGTATTGGGACACCCAGCTGACGCAAAACAATTTTATCTGGGGGATTTATTGTCCAGGACAAATAGGTTCTTTAATATCCACCTGAACAGGCAGATGTACTTGATAAACCTGCTGCACCATTACTTATTTAACAAAATGCTAATTCCCTGCATCTTCCACCACCAACCCCCAGAGTAGCTGCCTGAGCATTGGGCGATCAGTCAAAAAAAAGCATGCAGATTGAAGACAGCACAAGATCAACCCTCGGAAAATGGAAGATAGTTGAACCTCATTGACAGATGTCTAACCACAGAAGCCCTAATCTCTGCCTCACCTGTCATTAGCAGAGCTTTTTTTTATTAAAACAAAAACAAGCAATTGATAATACTGTGGGAATCAGCAACAAAATTCAGCAAGGCTGCCTCTCACTGCGGTTTATGAGTTATCGAGCCAGCCCATTAAACAGCTTTTGCTCTGCACCCACCCCCACATGTACAGTGCTGTGTACATGATCCACTGGAAAGGAGAAACACCCACGCTGTAAATCTTCACTTGACTATACTGACACGTGGCAAATAAAAAAACCAAACCAAAAAAAGACATCTACATATCCTCCATTATCTGAATGGATTAAAAACAAAAGTGAAAGTTCAAATGCAGGGAAAACGCAGGATGAAGTACCTTTCTTGTGGAGATTGCTTATAGCAGCAATTCAGGAGGCTCAACAACAAGAATAAGATGGAAGGTGTGGGGGGGTGGGGGGTGGGGAAGAGGAGGGGGTGGGGGGGAAAGAGGAAGGGGGATCTCGCTAATCAAGAGCAGTTTCTTTCACACATTCGCATGCGATCGGTGCGGGCGAAATAACAAAACACAGCTCAGAAATAACCAGCGTGCTTTCAAAATGTCTGCAGCTCTCAATATCCACACCTGAGGGAAAGGCCCAGGGGTGATGGGTCTGTGCTTAGTGAGAGAGAGGAAGGCTCACTAAGTCCCCACTTGCTCAGAGAATCGTAAACTCATAGCCTTACTTTTATACAGGAGACTGTCAGCCAAAATTGCCCAATCTGCAATTACACAACAACGTTACGATAAGAATTCCTTCTAATTCTCTCCCCCATCCCCAATTCTATTGTTTGTTCAAAAAAAAAGCAAACTTTAGTTCTCAGAAATAAGGCCAGGAGACCTGATGCCAGGCACCTGCCATCATATCCAGAGTGGTGAGGACGCCCCTCTTCCGCAGAAACTTCTCCCCACCAGCCCCTTCCCCTTCTGTGCTGAGCGTAGTCACGCTGCCAGCGAGTAAGTAAAGCTTGGTATTAGTCTCCTGAAATCCGCACCCCACCCCCTTCTCGGAAAAATGACTCATTTATTCTAACAGAATATTCAGAGAATGGTTACTTAAGAAAATAAAACAGAACAGTTGAATCCTTCAAGAGATAACACTTAGAGACGGACAAACTGCAGTACTCAAGTATTGAAATGAGGAAATCTGGGACACATTAATGCAGCCTAATATTAGTACAAATTTCTCGTTAGTTACACGTTTCTTCTCTGCACGGCTCCAGGCACGGAATAGGATCAGTTGTAGTAACAGCGCTCAACTTAGACACAGAAAATACCAAAAGTCGCATCCTAGCATTTGTTCCGTTCTCTTGAAGGTTGATGACATTGAGAACAAGATATACTTTCTCTCTCTCTCTTTCTCTCCCCCACTTTGGCTCAACGTGTTTATTCAGTGTGTTCTACAAACAAGGAGATGGTCGCAGGTTTGATCTCTGCTCTGTGCCAAGTTAGTTGAGCTCAGCCAAGCTGACCCAGGGCAGTGGCGGTGTGTGTGTGTGTGTGTGTGTGGGGGGAAAATTAGTCGCAGTTTATGCAAGATAAAAATCAACTGACGTGCTCACTCTTCCCCTCCCCCCTTCGGGCTAATCACTATTCAGTAACCTAGGCTGGATTTCGGTCTCAGGTTATATCTTGCCTATCACAGCTGAATACTTCCCCCTCAAATCATAAAAGCTCACACAATAATGGCTACTTTGCCAAAGTACTCGAGGTTACTGTTCTATGGAAGCACTGCCCAGGGAGAAAAAGGGAAAAGCAGTCAAAATGCGTGTGTATGGGGGGGGGGTGGGGTGGGGGAGAGGAAGGGGGGGGAAAACAAATAGGGGTCAAAGGTTAAACCTCCATTTCCAGGACTAAACAGTCCAGGGTTTCCTGCTCGTAACTGTTTCTGTATTGTCTGATGGACTCTAAGTCTCTTTTCTGTAGGGTTAGGGACACTCTGTAGAATAGCAGAATCAGGGGACAGAAAGTTTTGAGCTCAAAGACTTACAGGGATGTTCAATTCCCTCGCCCTCCACCCGTCCCCCCCACCATCTCCGTTCACAGCCAGGCACATTTAGCCCACTGCTCAGGGATACCTCATTTGAGCCAAGGTTTCCCAGCGCTTACAGAGAGAACCCAAACAGGGCCTAGGGTTGTCTGTTCAGAGCCAAATCATTTCAGGATGGCCAACGAGTTTCCCCCAATCATTCCACGACTTGTTCCCAGCTTCTGCCACGCTTTCAGCTCCAATTAGCTTTCCCAGCAGAGCATAAATTCACTGACGACAGTTTTAGCCCGCAGCAATATTCAAATAAAAAATACATTTCGGCACGTAACCAAATGTCACAATTTTATAATTCTGCAATTGCACAAGACAGAATAATTCAACAAAACAAAACGACTTTGATTTTTGCTTTACAGTAAGGACAAAAGCATGTGGACAGCGTCTGAGAGAATTTCGCTGGTTGCCCAAACAAGCTTCCTGATCTTAACTACTCTGGGAGAATTGGGGGCAGGGAGAAGGGGAAAGACGTGTGGCCCTAATAGGTATCAGACCTTTCCTTGTGTCATCTTAAGAATTGGGGGTGGGAAGAAGAGGGAGAGGTAAATAGAGAGAAAGAGTAGAACAGGACCACCCACCCTTTAGTTGCGGAATAACAAAAACAAATGCAACAAAAAAATCAAAAAGAACAGGTCCCCTGAGTGAGAGACAATTTCAATCAGCGGGTGATGGTTATGCCTGTGCTCATACCAGAGCTGAGCAAAAAAAAACTTCCATCAGATGTGAGGTTTCAGAGACAGACAGAAATCCATAGTTCCCGGGTGCGAATGAGCATTTAAGAAGCAAAGTTCTCATTTTTACACACACACACATATATATATATTTATTTTACGATATAAAGGACCGTTATAAGAACTGTGAAAAAACGCACGTTTGTATTGTAACAAATGCAAAGCAGACCTGGTACTGTATATTAAAAATGATTTCTCACTGATGTAACTACTTGAGGAGACGCCCCTGATTCCCAGACATTGCTGGCAGGAGTGTGTCTGTGCGGTTAACCCCTTATCGGCCTGGAGTTTGGTCAATACACATGGTGAGGGGGGGGGGCGGCGGGGGAAGTGGGGGATAGGGACCTCTGTGCTTAGTTACCTGTATATTGGTGACAAAAGGGGCCGAGTCCTTCTGGGTCTCGTGACGTCACTGGTCTTCACATGACCCTTCCCAAAATTCCAAGCGAGACACAAAGAACTTTCCAGAAAACCAGTTTGAACCGGTTCCAGGCGACAGCCGTGTGCCGTTAACCCCAGCAGACACCCACAGCTAACACACCCAGCTAGAGCCAGCTTACCCACCTACACAGTGGGAATGTGTGCGTGCGTCCGCGTGCGCTCGCACCCAACCACAAGATTACGCTGTCACGTCAGGAGGACGTCCCAAGGCGCTGGACAGTTTACAGCGTTTCAGACCCGAGCTGGGGTCAGGGGGAGAGAAGGGGGGGTGAGAGATCAGACCCACAGGCACACAGAAACAGCCAACCATCTAACCATGGGGGGGGGGGGGGGGGGAGAAAGAGAGACACACACACACACACAGCTAAGAAACAGACGGTCAACGCAGACAGATGCACCCACATAGCCAGCAGACTAACACAGACACATCACGCGTCAAGAAGACAGACTGCGATCATTAAAGATACACAAATAGCAACTTGCATTTATAGAGCACCCCTCACCCAGGTAGCGCCTCAGAGCGTTCGACAGCGGCAGAGCCGGGGGTGGATGACCGCAAGCATGGCCAGTGCATGAAGGGATTTAAAACACAAGAGATGTGCGCACACACACACAGCCTTAAGAGATAGAGAGATGATGAGACACTCACATGCAGCCCATCCATGCATGCACTGCAACCCTTACTCTATCCCTCCCGATACCAGCATATAGTCAAATGGTTACCAGGAAACCACCAGTATATTACTCTTAAGCCTTGTCCCCACCCAACAACCATACATGTCCATTGCCACCAGGCTTCAACGGAACTGGGGCATCTTCTGCAATATCCCAAAAAACAATGTTCTGACTGAGATCAACTCTTCACAGGTCTGGCGATCAAACACAGGCCTCCCTGAGCTAGTTTTACCCATTATGCCACCCAGGATGGCATCTTAGTCTAAATATAAATTACCAATTCATTTTACCATAAGTTTTGTGGCGTTCCAATCAGTAAATCTTGAATCAGGTCGAATAGAAGGTAAACCAAGATGGCATTACACACAAAATATCAATTAGCAGAATACTACAAGTAGAACAACCATCCTTGAGTGCGTCGGACAAGATTCTTGCGGGAAAAGGAGGGAAGGGCCAGGGTCGCAAAGCCTCGTCACCTTAAAATTGTCTCGCTGATGGACCGTCGCCAGATTTAAGTGGCCCCGAGTTGTGTCGGTAAACAAAAGTAGTCAGCAGACATTTCCATGGGAGCGGTGTCCCTTTAAGAACATGCCACATTCTGTGCAACTCAGCTTTCAAAGTGGTTTGGCACACAGCCAGCCAGCGAGCGAGCGTCACATGACGCCCTCCATATTCCCCACCTCAACCACAAGTTTCATCAAAATGGCTTCCGAAATGGACAGATAACCACTCTTCCCTCCACAACATGGCCCAAACTTCAAATCTGCACAAACTCTTGCTCCCAAGCATCTCTACCTGTCAATTTCAGCTCCATTAGGCACATGCATCAGCGGCCAGTGACCTTTGTGTGCTTGGGTGAGACAGAAAGAGGAACTAAATGCATAGATCATTGGAGATAAGAAGTTAACTCCTCAAAGACAGAGCTGTCACAAGTGGTCACGTCATAGAATCGCAGAATATTTCCGCACAAAAGGAGGCCTTTTGGCCTATCATTGTCAGTGGCAAATCTCTGTAAGAACCATCCGACCCACCCTTTTATTCGCCTTTTCCAAAACCTCATGCGTTTTTCTTTGCCAAATGTTTGTCCAATTCCCATTTTAAAAAGCATTCTGAACTGTTCTTGAAACCACTGTTTGTGGTAGCATATTCTTCCACGTCCCAACAGCCCTCTTAAAATAAATTCTACGCACTCTTCCTTTGAGGTTTGAGTCATGATCCCCACAATTGCTTAGACAAATTTCAGCGTGCGTTAAAATTTCTTTCCGCCATGTCTCAAAGCAGCAGCAGCCTTGAAGCCACTTCGTCGTCAAACTCCCCCCAGCACCGAGATTGGACAATGAGCATCAGGAGGCGAACTGATTGGAAGCATTATAGCAGATAAATCCCATTCCCATCTCAACCCCCCCATCCCATCCCATCACCACCATCTCAAATCCTTGACACTGGTGACCCCCCACTTAACCACTTCCCAAACATGCATTGTGTCATTCCACATTTACCTGTCAAGTCTTGAAGAGCCATCGCCTCAGCCGGAGAGACCGTTTCCAGGCCAGTCACTGGTTTCCCTGTTAAAGGAGGAAAATAAGATGAGTCCTTTTGATAAGCGTAGTTTGGCACTTCTGCATCACAGGTACTCTGAAAAAGTTAACCGTACATTTATTTTCCCCTGCAGAACTTAATGTAGAAACTTCCAGATCTTATTAGAAATGCCAACTTCTTGCAATATTCCACCTCACCCGCACTTACCACCAAAACTGTCACTTTCTAACACTTAAGACCTTTAATACTTAAACAGCCACTGAAGTGTTCAGTCATGGGAAGCCATGATTGGTAAAGCTACTCCCAAATGGCAAACAAACACTCGATCCCCTAATAAGAGATAGACCTCTCAGTGATATTGGATAGATCACCCCATTGGGAAGCTGACATTATAACCCTCCTTGGTTCAAGCGGTATGAGTGGTGGGAATGGCACCTGGCACTTTAAACTGCCTCACTCTTCCCGGGTTTGCTGCAAGGAGGAAAGGTTGGGAGAAGGCAGCTTAGAAAACAAAAGTAGATAGATATTTGTTAGGTCATTGAGAAATATGGGGCAAGAGCAGGTAACTGGGCTTGAGGTACAGATCAGCCATAATCTTATAATATGGCAGAACAGGCTTGAGGGGCTGAATAGTCTACTCCTGTTTCTATGTTTCTAAAAGCTCCTGCTCCCGATTGTTGTCCAGTAATCCATTACCAGGAGGTCAGGTAATAATGTGGTCAGGTTTGGTTCCAATGACCGAGCCCCCTCCCCCCAAAGTCACACTGCCTGCCAAGACATGAGAGATGGATAATGTTTCAGATCATTGCCAGCACCTAATGCCCAAAGTGCATCAGTCATCATCTTCGGGACAGGGCACAACAAGAACTAAAATGGATCAAAAATGCTTCTGGAAACTTCGGATAAAAGACAGATGGACTCTCCATGTGCCACTGATGCAGCAGCGACAGCAAGTCAGTGTAAGTTCCAACATCTTCTCAATGAAGAAGTGCTGTTTAAGATGCAAACTGGGATCATCTCACTGCTGAATCCCACGTAAAGTGGGCCCCAAATTCAATTAAACCCCGGATGGGATACAAACAGATTATTCCAATCAGCCACTTGCTCTATACATTGGACGAAAATAAAATTTGCAATTCTATGTAAAACTCTTATTAAAACTGAAATATCGCTTAATGCAACTAGTTTACAGTATCTGAATGCAAATGTATTGAAGAAACTCAACAACTTACACACAAATAAGCAGCTTTAATGTCAAAACATCGAAGTGCTTCATAGTTTGATTAGAGGTGAGCTGACCACTAGGCAGGCAAATACAGCAACTAATTTGCATAAGCAATAACTCCCACATATACAGCACTTCTAATCTGTCCCATTGGCCCATAACTCCCACAAACAGATCACAATGCAGGAGAATCCTATACAGTGTAAAGTCCAGCCCAAGAGTTTCTGGTGATTCCTGTCCCTGTGGATACTGTCATACAGCCTCACCCCAAACACAGCTTGCAATTCAGAAAATTTCACTAGCTACAATGGAGGAGGCCTGGTGGGGGCCGGTACTGGGTCTGATTTGCATTGGGTGAACCCTGCAGTGTGTCAGTGCCTGCTCCTGCTGAGCATATACAATAGCCACAATGCAGATTATGGATGAACTCAAGCTTCACTTGCACGAGGAGCCTTCCCTCCTGAATTAAGCACAACTTGTATGCCGTGGGAGCACCATTACTCACGTACTCCACATGCGAAGCAGACACCAGTGCACACAACACGACTAGTGTAATTCTGCTCCACAATTTGTAATGTATCTCCCAGGTTACGAAGTCATAGCCTCCTCCGAGAGGTAGAAGAACAGGAATATAAAGAAACTTGAACACAGGTACTCTGATTCATCAAACAGTTTATCCAGGGAGGAACTGACAGAAGAAGATCCATAGGTTCTGGGATCTGTGCTGAGACAGGTGAGCAAAACGAGGGTGGTAGTAGAGGTTGCAATTGGCCAAAGAGACACAGAGTTAGGGAGGAAATCACCCTGGTTCATGATCCCTATCTGTGGACCAAACGTGGATGCCAGGTGAGGACAGGATCAGACTCGGTTGCAGTGTCCTTCACATCAAATAGCTCGGCAACCCATATGGATGAATAGTGGCCACTTGCAGTAAAAAGTTAGGGTTACCCCATTCACAGGTGAATCGTAACCCAATATGGGGGGGTGGGGCAGCAAGTCAAAATGGCTTCAGGAGGGGAAGCAGAGAAAACTGCGATAGTAAAAGTTCTGGGTTTGAGGGAGGGACAGCCAAAATTGTGTCACCACTGCATTTTCTTTTAAGTAGCTTTCTTCTTTGAAGAAGATCAGCATGTTTTCGATCATTTCCAAAACTAAACTGGCCTTTTCTGAGGCGGTTAACTGTTTGAGGAATGTCGTACAGGGAGACACTGCTGTACTAAGCTGCTGTACCCCATTTCACACGATTGTGCTTTTTCAGTGCACGCCATTTTACTGCATCTTCCTTCATGACCTTCTGTGCCATATGTTCCTCCCTGCAGCTGAATATCAGATAGCCACACAGTACATGTACTGTTCTGTTCAACGCCACACATTTTAAAGGGGCAACCACCGTCTCGACGAAAAGGACACAGCCCAAACGAAGCAACAAACCACTTCGCAAAATTAAATGTCCAAGTTTTCTCTTGCAATGCAGGACCTTGCTTGTAAAGAGCAAAACTTCTGTACAAATCAACACTTGTACCTTTTAATCACTATGATCTCAGTCAAGACCCCAGATTTGGAGGTGGGGGAGAAATAGTCTGGGTTCCACTTCTAATCACTAAACAGACACCTTCATTGGAGAGGCACACGTGAACCTTGGTCAAGCTCAGTTGCAAATCCCACTTGCCTTCTATGATTAAATATCCCTCCTGACATATACAGGTGGGGTTCACATATGAAGATAGCCCACTCAGGTAAGGGCAGGGTGGGGGGGGGAAGGGGGGAAGACAAATCGAAGAGATCCCAATGGGATCTTACCAGATCCCACCTCTTCCTAACATTAGATCTCTGTACATCACAACACTTGAATGTTTGCAATGATTAATTCAGGAGACATGTAAAGTAAGAGGGGTAAAAATTAGTGGGTAAAATCATTTGCTGTTCACTCTTCATTAGTCTAATAGATTAACAGACCAGGCCTTCTGACAAAGCAAACAAAATGGCTGCATCGAGCCCTTCACAAGCTATAGCGCCAGCACTGCACAAGGTTAGTTAAGATTTTTTGAAAAGAGTTTAGAATTTTGCAGTGATAGTGATTTTATAGAAATTCTGTAAACTGAGAGGCTAAATTGCATCTTACGTTCAGGAAATAGATTTTCTTCAAAGAAGCAACACTTTATTTTGCCTAAAGCCTTTGCCATCTCTTCCTACTTTAAATTCTAAAGCCAGACACAATAGTGATCGGCACACGATCTCTGCACAGACTTGGACAGCTCGTTGGTTTGCCACAATCACAAGCAGAAGCCAAACGCATTCACAAACAATAATGTTGATCACTGAGCAGGGAAGAAAGCTGAAGGAGTTTTGAGGGTGAGTACCAAAGGAACAGTAAAGAAGCATTTTTTCAGAGGGTTGTGGATAAGATCCCATTCACTTTACTATTTTCTCAGTCGGGTTGACTGCACTTTTGGTCATCTTTCTCCTTCCCACCCTCTTCGGCCTCCACCCCCCAAATTTGGGTGCCCAACAAGTGCTTTGAGGCGTGAAAGGCACTCTATAAATGTAAATTGTTTAGAATTTGGATTTTTTTCCACTTATAAGGTTAGATACTGAGCACTGATGTGCCTGTATGGGTTGGGGGGGGGGGGGGGGGGGGGGTAGAGAGGGAAGGGAAGAAGAGAATGGTTGTGAGTGTTGGTGGGGAGGGAGATTAAAAAAACAGCAACTCTTGATTGCAAGGGTTGAAGAAGTAAGTGGCCGTACCACAGCAATGCCCAAACAAACCTACAACCTACACTCATTAACATTCATACATACATATTCCAAAAGGAAATCACAATAATAATTGTTGCATTTGATGTAACGGCTTAGCACGTCTTTGAGACGTCTCAAAGCACTTCACAGAATATACTGTAAAACGAATCGACTATATATTTGGGGAGCAAAACGCGACAGCCAATTTCATTTGCGATTGTGAATACTTGGATTCTCCATCAGTACATCCAGGGATACATCAACAGCCTCACTGAAATTCATCCAATGCTTTCCCGGTTGACATCAGTTCATTCAGCACAGGCCTGGGATCAAACCCGGGATCTTTCGAATCTGCGGGACTCGATCGACTCAATTCCAATCTGAGCAATGGCTCTGACAACTGCACAGTACAATCGGCTTCACAAGACCCAGAATTCCAGAGTGCTACAGGCCAAGAGAAATTAGGTTCACACAAGTGAAATTAAGCCTGAAATGTTACCAAAACATTGATGCAGTTTTACTTAATTCCCCAGACATAGTTTAAAAAAATATATTTTTCTCTTCCTCTCCCCCATTCGCACTACAACGCACCCATTCGATAGAGGTATAGAGCTCATAACTTGCTAGGAATGCTGTAGAGCTGCCCAATTACAGACCCACAATAATAATAATAATAATAATTACAGACCCACAAATCAATCTCATTAATTTTTCTGCTCACTTATTACTCTCTACCTCTGGAAACACCCATCTTCTACTCTCCATCTCTCCACAGCTCATATAGTGCAGAAGTATATCTTCTGTGAGTCAATTATGGGAGCAAACAAGAGGAAGATTATCAGTCAGATTTTAAAAAAATTGTAGAAAAATACTTTAGATGCAAAACTAACGATGTGGGTGAAAAAAATCTGCATTGCTTCCAAATGCTCTTTTGTAACTGCACAGGAGCAATGTGTGTGATGGTGAATTACTGTTCACACCCAGACAGCCGGGTGCAGGAATCAAGCGAAAGACAATTAAGCATTTCTTGCATATTCGCTGGACATTAATTGAAACGCTGGGATCGAGATTGAAGTTCTACATCCTGTTCTGGAGTTAATAAATCACACAGAATGTAATGCAAATCATTCACTTTCTTTCGCCCCCCTCCCCCATCCTCTCTGAAGATGCCAACTCACAAGAGTACTGTTCCATAAGCATTAAACACCCTCAGGTATCTTTCCCAAGCGGCAAATCTGCCCTAGACTGTTAGTTAACCCAATTTTGAAAGGTGTTTGTGTGGTGGGGAGGAACAGAAAGTGGAGAAAGAATTACAATTGAGCTTGAACCATATCCTCAGCCAACACAACAATCCCTGCAGAAGTCACTGGATAGTGATCAGTCATCCAGTCTAATTTCCCCCTCCCCGTTTTGGAAGCCAAATTGTATTTCTCCAAATAAACTCAAACTCAGTAGAGACAGGAGTGTTTGTGTGTGTGTGTGGGGGGGTGGGGGAGAAGGAGGAGAAATCAAACCTTCCTGGTCTGCATATCTCAGCTCTGCACTGGGTTGCTGGGGGGGTGGGGGGGGGTGGAGAGAGAGGGAGAAGTGATCTCATTGACCGAGGCATCTATAGAGCCCTGAATCATTCCTGTTCTGTTGTACTTTGAAAAGCAACAGCGCATTACAGGCTCCCTCACCTCCCACTGTACAACAACGGGACGTGCCATAGGGTAGATTCTTGTCCTTTGGTGCTACACCAAATGGACAAGAGTAAAGAAACTGACATTGACCAACAGTGCTGGAGGCCGACATGTACGTCTTATTGTCCAGCCTTAGTAAGGTGGAATAAAGATTTTTTTTAAAAAAATGCATCAACACTCAAAGAAACTACAGACCCAAACCACTTAAAAAAAAACTTGACAGATTAAGGTGCATCCTTTTCACAGGAGCATTACACCAATAATCATGTTATACAGTTAATTCACTTTGCGGTATATTCTGTGAAGCGCTTTGAGACGTCTCGAAGATGTGATAAGGCGATATATCAAAGGCAAGGATTATTATATTCCTTCTTCTCTCTTCCCTCGCTCCTCCCCACACAAGAGTCAATAATCAAGGGAAGAAAATTAGAACAAGATTTCAACTATGGCCAAAGTATTTTGAATTCCCACGATGATAAAATTTGCATTCGACACAGGAATGCACAAGATCGGAGGAGTCCACGGTTGTCCATCTGGCCAATCCCCAAGAAATGCTAATCCTAAACTAAAACAGTTGCATTTGTATCTAAACCTTGAACCCATGTCCAACCACTCCGTAACATTAATAAGCTGTGTTTCATTCAAGGGATGGGATGGGAGGGAGGGAGTCGATTATGTATTATCCTAAAAATGATAATGGCAAACATTCTCGTCCCTGTTATCTGGCTCCAGCTGTACACAGCAGTGTGCTGTCTGCCTCCCTTTGCAATAGCCCAAAGGACCGAGAGAGTCAGTGAGAGAAAGAGAGAGAGAGAGAGAGAGGGATGGAAGGAGACTCTTATTCTGACACGCAGAGAGCTCTGGCTGGCAGCAAGGTTAAGTGCCACGAATGGGGCTCAAAAAGGACACCACACACACACACACACATACACACACCCCAACCCTCAACACTGGGAGCGTGGCCAAGTCTCTGGGGGGGGGGGGGGGGGGGTGAAAGAGAAGAGAAACTGCCTTGAAACCTTTTAAGAGGCTACTTTACAGCATCTGAAGAAGCTTTGGCTCCCAGGTTTAGGGCGATTAGCCCCACCGCACGGGGTGGGGGGGAGATTGCTCAACACGTAAACCTACTCACAGACTGGGGCGGACGCTCTTGGGAAGGAGAGAGGGGGGGGGGGGGGGTGGGAGAGAGAGAGAGAGAGGGGGTGGGTGTCCCTTTAAGAGTTTAATAAAAGTCGGCGATTTCCCCCCCAAAAGGAAGGCGCAAACTCACCGGCGGCGGGTGCGGGGCTTCGGGAAGTCGGGGCGGGGGCTGCGCTCGCGGCTCTCTGGCCGCTGTTCGGGAGCCGGCAGGAAGGAGCCCCGGCGCCGGCCGCCGACCGACCAGCCTTCACATGGAGCGGCGCGCGCATGCGCAGCCTCCGCCCACTCCCCCCCCCCACTCCACCCCACGCTCCTCCCTTCCCCGCTCTTAAAGGGGCAGCGCACCCCTCCCTCCCTCCCTGCCTTGGTGTCCAGGTCAAGTGGTGCTTTGTGACACGTGTTATATTAAAAAAAAAGGCTCTCTCTCTTACTTTTTTTTTAATCCTGTGTCGTCTCTCTCTCTCTCTTTACCCTAACCCTCCCCGACCCCCTTCTCCACCCCCACGCCATTCCGGTGGCCCTCTTTCTTTTGGTCAGTCAGGCATCTTGACACGTGCAGAAAACCCGTCAAAGAAGAACGTAAGAAACAGGAGCAGGCCATTCGGCCCCTCGAGCCTGCCCTGCCATTTAATAAGAGCGCACGCGATCTTCTCACCTAATTCCATTTGCCCGCCCTCTCCCCATATCCCTTAATCCCTTTCCCACCTCAACCTTCAAGGTTCTGTCCTTGACTGGTTCAGACCCTAACTTTCACACCACCTCCACTCCGGCCTGCTCCATGTCTCCCGCCCTACCATCGGTGGCCGGGCTTTCAGCCTCTCTGCCCCCACACTCCGGAACGCCATCCCACAGTCCCTTCGCCTCACTTCCTTCCGTGCCTCCTTCAAGGCCGGTCTCAAGACCCTCCTTTTCAGTCGTGCCTTCAGTCACCCTCCCACCCTTCTATCTTTCCTCACCCCTACCCCACCTCTCCCCCATGCTCAGGTCCTGACCCCTGACTGTCCAAGGCCTTGAGACATCCCCCCGACATGAAAGGCACTCTATAAATATAATTTTGTTGTTGTAGTTTTTTAAAAAATCTATCGATCTCACTCTTGAATATGTTCAATAACTGAGCATCTACAGCATTCTGGGGTAGAGAATTCCATAAATTCACCTCCCTCTGAGTGAAGAAATGTTTTCTCAACTCAGTTCTAAAGGGCTGACCTTCAATCCTGAGACTAGGACCCCTAGTTTTAGATTCTCCAACCAGGGAAAAAACAATCTCACACTATCTACCCTGTCAAGACCCTTAAGAATTGTATAGGTTTCTATAAGATCACCTCTAATTCTTCTATATTCTAGAGACTATAGGCCTAGTCTACTCAACCTCTCCTCGTAGGTCAACCCCCTCATCCCAGGAACCAAACTGGTGAACCTACCACTAAGGCGCCACTAAACCTACCACCCCCGCTAAGGCGAGTATATCCTTTCTTAGATAAGGAGACCAAAACTGCACACAATATTCCAGGTGTGGTCTCCCCAAGGCCCTATACAATTGCAGTAAGACTTCCCTACTCTTCTACTCTAACCCCTTTGTAAAAAACGCTAACATGCTATTAGCCTTCCTACCTGCTGCATACTAACTCACTGTGCTCAAAGAGTATCCAAACCAAACTGAGAATTCCATGAATCCCACCTACACATGGAAATTCCAGAGATAGATTGTTGGAATGGAATGCGCACTCTCTCCCTGGAGGGATGCATCCTGCTTACCTAATTCCGGAAAGTATTAGGCGCAGGTTGGCAAGAGCCAAGGCCCGGGGACCTCAAAAGTGTGCATTGGGGTAACTGCTGGAGTGTTGTCGCCCTCTTGAAAGGGACAACTCACATTGGTATGAGAATGCCCAAATGCCAACTGGAGCCTAACCAAAATGAGCAGGCAGTCTTCATGGGCAAACCTGGGCTGTGAGCATCAAGGTTACATAACAGACAGGATTCAGTGCAGAGCCCTATTCTGTCCTCCCTCAACACCCACTACCACTTTCCAGTAGGGGATAGGGCACCAGTAATCTGGACTGGAAACCGCTTATTGGTTTTCCACCCCAGGGGCCTGACCCCAGTGGTAAAGACCTCACTTAGCCATTGTCACCCAGCCCCCCGGCTGAGATGAGCAAACTTGGCCGAATCCAGGAACAGGGCCTTGATCTACCCTGGGCAATGTTTCTACCAACAGAGCCATCCTAACCACTTTTTAAACCCATTAAAGAATCGACTTTTTTCCCTGATGGTCTAGTTCTTGTTCTCTATCCACAAACACCCTGCAGCTTTGGACCGCTGTGCTAACACGCTTCTCATACTGTTAAGGCATCCAGCCAGAAGACGTTTACACGAGTGGCCAACACAAGACTCACCACTTAATTTCATCCATCAAGAAAGTTTGATAGGAATTCTCACTGCATAAAAATGCAGGGGCAAATCCTGTTAAAAATCACTGGGTTCACTATCGTCCTGCCCTTGCTTACGTTTGGAATCAAGATTCCCTCATCTCTGAGCCCTGAAGAATCACAATGAACGCAGAATGGAACTTACCCAGGAGACATTAAACTGTGGACATGGACCACTCCCTAGTAATGAGGTCACTACAGGAAATGATAGTTCAAATGTCTCTCCTAGGTCATTTAATCTTTCATTCTTTATTTCCCTTTCCATGATTTGCATACCAAGCAGAAGAGTAGGACCCAGATGCTTGGAAGCCCCCCCCCCACATTACAACCCTGCAAACTAAATGTCTTCTCATCCCCCACTCTGGAATCGACAGTGGTGAATGAAAGTTATGAAAAAGATGCTCCGCACCCTACCATTTTGTGGCACAGCGCTAGGAGACGCCGCCCTGCATGGAGGGCGCTATAAAATCCAAGTTGTTGTTGTAGCAGCAATTTTAATCGATGCTTTGCTGTCAGACACGGCCTGACCAAGTCAGCCTCAGAATCATGGGAATGAGGGAGGGAGGACAAAGGCACCAGGATGTAGATATCCTCCACTCCCTAACCCCGCACCTCATCAAAAAGATCCACTTGTACACAGCTCCCAAAGTTCACAATGCTAAACACTTGTTTACTAAAAGACACTAGCTCAAGGGCTAATTGTAACCCTTTAGCATTTGGTGTTACTATAAAAGTGAACCTAAATTTCTTAAAGGGCCAACTGTCTGGATTTTAAATCCATTTCTCTCCTTTGCTGAAGACACAGACTCCTTTTGGGGTAGTCACATTAACTCTAACCAGCCCGATACCTCACCCAAGAGGCTATCTATGAACCCTCATAGTTAGTGCTAGCAGGTTCTTTGGACTGGGGAGCGGAGGGAGGGGGTGGGGGCGGGGGAGAGAGAAAAAAGAGGCATCATAATAAATCCTATTCTCCTTGATGTCCCGATATAAGGCCATGCTTTCCATTAGAGTCACTGGCTGTGATCAGAATCAAGAACCCTATCTGATATTGTTCCTCTTTCTACTAAGGACACTGAGATCAAATGTAGTGCCTGAAATCTTCCAGAAATGTCCATTTTAAATCCTAGAATCCAACGAGATGTTCAATAAACCATTAGCGGCTAGAGAAAAGAGAGAGAGAGAATGGTAAAAATAGGAGAGAGAGAGAGCTTGCCGTTTTCTAATCGATCCAAAGATAACAAAAGGTGTGGATTTCCAATTGCCTCAATATACAAATTGACAGGCAAAGCAAAGCTCTCAGAATGTGAACTGGAAATTATTTTTCCTCTCCACCTCACCAACAAATGCAAGGATTAGTATTATTACCTCTTGAAGACTTATTCCCATCACAGCACTAATCTCAGACCACAGGGCTGAGCAAGCCCCTCCAAGGTGCTAGGAACAGTGTAACAGGTGAAGGAATAACAATACTCCTTGCATTTGATGTAGTGCTTTATAACGTCGTTACGATGTCTCTAAGCATAAAACATTACAAAGAAAAAGCTAAGCAGGGGGTGGGGGTTGAAAGAGAAAACAATTCAACATCATTGATTTTAGTTTGCACTGAAGAAGCTGCAGGCAACCAATATCTGCACATTTCACTGTTTGTTAAAAATGCATATTAATTAAATCTTCCAGTTTTCCCACTCAGAATGAAGCGCTCACCCCTCAGAGGATTCTGATCAAAGGCTTATCTTTTGTTTCCTGGTAACTTCATTTTTTTATCTAGCTCGGTGAAAGTCCCCTCGGGAGGCGGAGACGCAGAACAAGACTAGACCCACCCTGACGTCGCCGTTCTGCACTGACGGAGCAACACTGACAGCTGGGGCTAAAGCCGCCCCACCCTGGAGAGGTGAAGGAGGAAGCAATGGCAGTGGGGCAAAGGTGGAAATACAGCCACTCCCTGAGCGAGTTCATACTAAATTACTTTAGCCCTTTCCGTTAAAAAAAATTCAACTGGTATGAATTATTTTCTGCCTTTATAAATCGAGAATACACATGGCTCCTTTTTAGTTTACTGGGTCCACGGGGAACCTTCAACACCTTGTTGAAGTGAGCGGCTGTTATTCATTTGTGAGCCTTGGCAATGAGTTTCGGCAGGTTATTAAAGTGGTTATTTTCTGTCCAGTCCTGACCCTACATCCTCAAAACACAGCCCTTCCATTTAGTCACTGTTCAACGATCAGGTGCGGGAAGCCTAGCTAATATAATAATCCTTGCAATTGATATAGCGCTTTACCACGTCATTGAGACATATCGAAGCGCTTCAATATCCAACATCCAGCGCTCCCTAGTTTACCCCTATCTGAGATCCGCTAACTCACTCAGGTTGGGAATTAATAATAATCCTTGCCTTAACACGTTTTTGAGATGTCTCAAAGGGCCTCACGGAATATACTGTAAAGTGAACTGTCTGCACATTTTGTGGATGAAACGCGGCAGCGAATTAGATCTTTGAAATTCCAAATGTAACTACTAACTATAAAATATCTCAATGTTTGCGTGGAATAAGATGCGAGATCAAGTGTAATTGTTATTACATTAAGATCCGACACTTTATCCAAGTAATATTTACCACAGGGAAGGCAGGTGGGCTTGCTACCCAGAGTTCTTAAAATGCCCCAAACTGGCCGTATCTGAACAACAACCTGCATTTATATAGTGTCCTTCACACAGGATCGTGTCTCGGAGCACATAGCAGTGGCGGAGCTTGATGAAGAGCCAATAAGGGGCGAGATGACTGTAGGCAGTCAAAGAGGAAGGTCTTCAGGTACGACCTGAAGGGATCACAGGGATTGGA